CACGACGCAGCGGACGGACGGGACGGCGTGAGTTCCTCAGTCTAGCCATCTCAATCAGCCGCGCCAGTGAGATACAGACCGACCGACCGACCGAGCAAGAAACATTAGCTGGAGGATATCATCGATTTCCCGATCTGGCCTTCCGCGCGGCTGTCAGGCTTGCTATTGGCACCTGCGATGGACGGACGGAGGGGCATGGTATCCTCAGTTCTAGTGTTGCGAAGTCGGTTGGTTTAAAGCCGTGGTGTCCAAGTCCAAGCAAAAGAACGATGTTCAAGTCTGATGCAGCATGGGATCGGTCCATTTTCTTTTTCTCCGAGTATTTTTTTCCATCCATCATTCTTCATCAAGTGAGACGGAGTCTCAAGTCAACATGTCCCACTCCCCAGTCCTGGCCTGGCCCGGTTCGTTATGCAGAGCAACAACATAACATGTCCTCAAGCAACAAAGAGCATATCGAAGATGCGATGTTGCTGAAACACGCGATAAATACTTATCATGTCTGAAGGCACGCTCATCAGCTCACTGGTTTCCATCCTTCAAGTCCGCGATGACGGATAATATCATATATATCATTCATCGCACCCAGACATGAACCCACTCGCCACAGATATTGCTGCTTTATCTTCCTGCCGGTTAAAGAAGATGCCAATTGAATACAATAAAACCACACCACCAGCCAACTATTCTGGCTGCTCTGCTTGCATAATTAGGATCATCATCAGAAATAGAGCCTCCAAGAGGGCTTGAGACAGGATATATCCCCATGAGGGCTTTAGGACTTCAGATACAGGCAGGCTGCAACTAGGGGTGCCGAAACCCCAGATTCCCGAGACACTCGAGCAGGTTAACTACTGCCTGCTGGCCAAGTACACCGTTCGTTCATGTTTTCCAACGGTGCTGTTCACACGTCGATTCTACCCTCTCCAAGATAGAAAACAGTTCAGATCATCCGCAACGCCAGACTTTCCCAGCAATGTCCAACGACATGTCCTGCACTCGATCCCATCATCGCTGATACGAGGAGGATCGGGTCTCCCTAGGAATGGCTTGACGAAAATCAAACGGATTGATGCGCCCTTGGACCTCATCTTCCAGTTCGGAGAAGAAAGGGTTCAGACCATGGGCTCATGTCTTGTCCTTGTTGTAAGATATCCTCGGCTTGTTTTGGATCTGGCTGATACACCTGTGTATCATTATACCAAGGATTTATTTTCCATCTGAACCACTCTGGGTACACCACCATCCCACTTGAATAGTACAGCCGCAGCTAGACATGGATGCTGCACTGGGACTGGGATATCATGATGATCTCTCGAAATCTTTGATGGAAAGTTTGCCTTCCTTGGGTTATGGTTAATGGTCATTTTCCAATTTTCCACAGTATGTGGAAGGAAATCCGGGGTCCGTCTGGCAAGCATTTCCCAGGGAGGGGGATGTGACAGCGATCACACTCCACGGGCTCGAAGAAGCACAGGAAATAATATGCTACTATCTACCGTCTACCTCATTATATCACGAAAGGAAGATATATTATCACCATGGCATATTACAATGGGTGTAATCGGTGCTTGTGGTGACGCTTAGCATGTTAGACCCAAAGAGGGTCGATCATGTTTGGTTGGTAGTTGGAAATCATGGCCACGGCGCCATTTCCGTATTGGGACAGGCAAGCATGGGGGTTATGGTTACTGCTTACTGAAATTGAAGGGATTGTTGTTCTTGTCGGATTGATGGGTCTGCGGTGGGTATTGGAGTATCCTAGTGAAGGGGGTGTTTTGTTCTCTGTTTATGTTGATGGAAAGAGATGGAATAAAGTGTGATTATGGAAATAAATGTTTGAAAATTATTATTGCGTGAAGTTACACAAAACAGAGGATTGGATTGGACTCTAGGATGGGATTCTGAAGATTCTTGCCTACAAACTGATCTCACTGCTGATAGGGGAGACTTGATAATGGATCAGATGTACAGTTAGTGGTCTGCTCGATGTCATTGTATATAGAGGGGAAATAACTAGTACTGGGTTTCTGAGGTGTTCTACTGTTTACTGCTTTAAGACTAGAGTAGTGGGGGTGAAAGCCAAATTACTCGTGTATTGACTAGCTGTCAGGGAGGTAAAGGGGTATAGCTGCAACTAAATACTCACTCCAAACGCCAATCCAAACATCGATCCAAATCTCAACCAACAACTACTTTTCCCGCGGCTCCACAAATGATCCGAGAACATTTCATAGACCAACGACCGGAAAGCCTTGCTATGCATGCAATCCGTCCTTCCAAAGAGAGGGGACATAGGAAAAAGCAGTCAACGAATGTACCGCACCAGATATTCATAGCTTCATATCCCGTTAATCACCATTATCGTTAGCACTCATATAAATCGAAGGAGATGTAATGTATATGGTCAGTCACGCAATGATGCCCGACCCTGAGGTTCCCGATCCCCAACGGATGCGTTTAAGACCACCGCGGACTGCTTCTTGGCCGCAGCCCGCCGCTGCTCTGCCGGGAACGCCAGTATCGCCAGCCACGGTCATTCCCGTGCTGGCCTCCAGGCGACCGACTTCGCGGCCCAGCACGTAGCCGGCGGAGAAGCTGATGGCTGAAAACAGGACGACGACACCCGCGCTGATCACCCAGGTCATGACGGTGGGACTAGCAGTCGAGGCATCTGCTATGCTGGCTCGACGACCCTTCTTTGCAGAGGAGTGACTACGTTCTTTGGATGGACTGGATCGCCGCTTGGGTCGAGGGGCCGACTGGGCATCGCGGGGTGAGTATGAGGCCGGCTGCGGAGTGGGGCCCTGCCGCGGGGTACGAGTGGGGACAGTCGCTTCCATCCCTACAGCTTCCTCGCCGACTTCTCCTCCCATCGCTACTGACTCCGGTACTAAGCGGAAGGAAGAGGGATGGCCCCGGGAAGGACTGGCCTGTGAGGGAGGAGGGTCGGATTTAGGCAGACCTCGAGCTGCAGCGGCACAGGAGAGTAATGTGGATAGACTGGCACGCAAGGCGGCATCGTGATCCGCGTGGTGGGACGGTGAGATCATATTGAATGGACTATGTTGCTGGGAGGATCTCCGTGCGGAGCGTATACTTGCTTGAGAGTTTCTGCGGATCGCTGTGCGACGGCTGGAGTTGGACACCTCACTCGGCTGTGAACGGTGTCCTCCGGTAGGCCTCCAAGAGGTGTTTTGGGATGCAGGTGGGTGCGAGAAGACGTTGGGCTGAGGAACAAAGGGAGCTGAGCCCATGCGCATTCCCAGCGCCGTTGAGTTGTCATCATCATCATCATCCTCATCCTCATCACTGGCATCATCGGAAGCGGTTGAAGAGGGGCCAGGTCCCGGGACGAACGGGGTGGGTAAAGCTTGACGGACCATGTCCTCGTTCGAGCTGCTGAGGACACGGTCCGACTCACTCTCACTCTCCTCGTATTCGTCTTGGCTACTGCTTTGTTCGCGGGACGAGTAGTCGACTTGGGCGGTGGTGACGGCAGCCAGCCGCTGCAGACGGCGCCGGCGACTGCGATGGTATGCACCGGCTTCATTCTGCTGGACGCGGAGACCCGTGGTGATGATATCATCGTTGGTGCCGGCGGAGGAGAGGGAAGAGGAAGAGGGCTGGGAGGAGACCTCGATCCAGGAATCTATATAATAACGTAGTGAGTACATGGTGGTGGTACAAGTAATAGTGACTTTTGAAAGAGGACTGGCAATGCATGCAGATCGGAGTGAATCAAGATGCAGGGGAAAGGTGCAGAAATGCCAGGCGTAGGGCAAATATCTGGAGAAAACCAGGATGACGCACCTTCGGATCTCGTGGGCGCAACAGCAGCAGGCGACCGGGACTGCTGGAAGGCGTGAGGCTCGCGCGACGGCGGCTGATGGGCGTCTCGCGTCAGTCGCCCGACCGATCGAGGGTCATCGTGCACCTGACCCAGTAGGTCATAGTGGTTGGGTTGCATGATGTGAAGAGAAAGGATAACGGGAGAGACTGACGAGGCGGGGATGGGAGGAGAGCAGTAGAGAGTAGGTAAAGAATAAATAAGAAGGCAGAAATAGAAGGTAGAAGAAGCAGCGGTGATGAGATGAGTGAGCAGGCAGGCAACACACGGTCAGTCAATCCTCAGACCACGGGGAATGCAAGCGGACCGTTCAGCTCGTACGCTGAGCGGTCAGAAAGGGCGGGGTTGGGATGCAACAGTTTGAATGGATGATGAGGGAGGATCCGTTAAGATTATCTTATCAGTACTTAGTAGTAAGTAGTTAGTTTGCAAGTGGATGCTGGCAGTTGCCGTGAAGAAACATCGATGAAATTGCAGGTTTAGGTTCCCTGTCAGTCTCCAGCATCCAACCTGAAGCTCGACCAGAAGATACCTGCTGCTTCTTCTTTCTATTCCCTCAGGTTGAACGGGATAATCCAGGACAACGATAGACCCGAGCAACAAGCGAGACGGGGAGAATAAGAAGGGAGAGGCGAGCACGAGGGCTGGTCCATCATCCGACCCTCAAACAGCCTTTCCCACTGCACAGCTGACTTGTCCCCCGCTGCCTCGACCCGCTGATAGGCCCACCATCACGCACTCGCAGCAGATCTGGTCGATCCGTGCCACCATTTCACCCAAACAAAGAAGAAGAAGAAGAAGAAGAAGAAAAAGAAACGTGAATCATTCTGGTCATAGCCATTCATTAAATTGGTATGCTACCTAGATAAACAGGCAGATAGCTAGCTAGCTAGCTAGCTTGCTAGCTTGCTTGACGTGATGAGACAAATGCAGACAACTTTTGGGGTACCAGAAACAGTGATGAATAATAACACAACCCCGGAAACCATAACCCATTGCCCAAAACAAATATTCTAGAAAAACATCGGTATACGTCGGTTAGTACTTTTACAAATTGACTTAGAAAGTGACCTTGGTGCCCTTGTACTCGGGGATACCACCACGAGCCTTGTTGGGGGCACCACCACCGCGGCCACCGAAGCCACCACGGCCACGGCCACCACGATCACCGAAGCCACCACGACCACCGCCACGACCGCCGAAGCCGCCACGGCCACCACCGCGACCACCACCGCCGCCGCCGTTGTTGGCACGGGGAGTGCTGAAGTCCAGACGCACCGGGCGTCCGAGCAGGTCAGCACCCTGGAGCTCGTTGAAGGCAGCGCGGGCCTCGTCGACAGAGGAGTACTGGACGTAGCCGAAGCCCTTGGGGCGGCCAGAGTCGGGGTCGGTGGGCAGGCGGATGCCGAGGATGCTACCCTTCTCACCGAACAGCTCGCCGACCGAGTCCTCGTTGGCATCGAAGGGAAGGTTGCCGACGAAGAGGGTGTCACTCTCGGGGCTGGCCTGGTCACCGAAGGAACGGGCACGAGCGTTGGCGCGGTCCTTGAAACCACCCTGCTGGTCCTTGTTGGCGGGACGGCCAGTGGCATAGTCCAGGTTGATCACACGTCCGTCGATCTCAGCACCCTTCTTGGCCTCGAAGGCCTTGGCGGCATCGACAGCGTTGGTGTACTCAACGTAACCGAAACTGAAAGGGGTTAGCAGTTGCTCGATAATTATGGACAAAGACTGTACTCACCCACGAGAGCGGCCAGTGTCACGCTCAGTCATGATACGAACACCGGAGAGCTCACCGAAGCTCTCGAACTCGGACTGGAGCCAAGCCTCATCGACGTTCCAGGACAGGTTACCGACGAACAGGTTGGCAGAAGCACCAGGAGCAGGATCCTCAGTCTTGGACTTCTTGGGGGTAGCGGAGGTCTCCTCCTCAGCCTTACGCTTCTTGGAGGGCTTCTCGCTCTCCTCAGACTCGGAGTCAGAGTCGGAGTCGGAGGAGTCGGAGTCAGAAGAGTCGGAAGACTCCTGTGGTCGTTAGCATAAGACTATTGATTGAAAGGGATGAATCAGCATACCTTCTCGGCCTTCTTCTCCTTGGTCTCCTCCTCGCTCTCAGAGTCAGAGTCGGAGTCGGAGTCAGAGTCGCTGTCGCTGGACTCCTTCTTGGCGGCCTTCTTGGGGGCCTCCTCCTCAGAGTCGGAGTCAGAGTCAGAGTCGGAAGACTCAGACTCGGACTCAGCCTTCTTGGTTTCCTTCTTAGCAGGCTTCTCATCCTCGGACTCGGAGTCAGAGTCGGAAGACTCAGACTCAGAGTCGCTGGACTCAGCCTTCTTGGCAGCCTTCTTGGGCTCCTCCTTGGTCTTCTTGGCAGGCTTCTCCTCCTCCTCGCTCTCGCTGCTAGAGGCGTCGTTCATCTCCTCATCGCTGTCAGAGTCGGACTCAGACTCAGACTCGGAAGACTCGGACTCGGACTCAACCTTCTTGCCCTTCTTCTCAGTCTTCTTGGCGGGCTTCTCGTCCTCACTCTCGCTGCTAGAGCTGGAGTCGGAGGCCATCTCCTCATCGCTGTCGGACTCGGACTCGGAAGACTCGCTGGGAGTAGGCTCCTTCTTCTTCTTCTTGTCCTTCTTCTCCTTGGAGGCAACCTCACGAGCAATCTGCTTGCTCTTGGCCTTGGGGGACTGGGAGGACTTGGTCACACCAGCAGACTTGACCTTGCTAAGGGTCTTGTCAACCGGCTTCTCAGAGCCCTTCTTGGTAACGGACTTGGTCTTGGACATTTTGATCTGAAAGGGATAAAAATTAGTATAGGGAAAAACAAACAGATTGATAGGAAGGGAAAAGACGAACCAAAGAAACTGTAAACTAGGCAAGTATACAGTGAAAAGCTAGGAATGTGCGGCAGATCTTATAATCCCACAATCACCCGATTTGTAATGGAAATTTTCAAATACCCACAGGTAACCCACAACGACAGTGTCTAAGCCCACACGAGACGACAGGGAAGCTACCGTCTATGATATGAAACCCACGAGAGTATCCCACAGATCCCACAGAATAGATGTAGTATGCTACAGCCCACAGCCCTCAATGCAAGAAGCCCACAGAGTGTCTGTTGAAGCGTACCGTTAGATATGCAATGAAAAGAGATAGAACACTTAGTTGAACAGACAACCAAGTGAAGAAGAGTGATAAAAATGATGGAAAAAGGTGAAGGGGAAGAGTAGGACAGGAATGAAGGAAGAAGAAAATTCGTAGCTGGGGGAGCAGCTCTGATAAGGCGACTAAACGCAAAAAAAATTTGGAGGCTGGCAGAAAAAAATCAACATCCCCTACCGCCTGCTGCAGCTGAACTAGCTCAGGAACTAAGTGGGGAACTGGCTAGGAGACTAACTTGACTTGGCCCGACTCCGACCGGGCCTCTCATTGGTCCACCGGCAGACCGTTGGAACCAGAGTGTCCCTCCGCAGTCAACCACCTCCAGCCAGTCCACTAACTATCGACTCCAACTACCTGTCATTCCTTTAGACCTGTCACGGCTGCTTGACATCTACGCGCAGTCAATGGAACTCTCGTGATTTGCTCCATTGCTTGTGAATCATGGCGCCTCCTCCGTCCTCTTACCGTCCGCGGAAGAAGAGAAAGCTTCCCTCGTCTTTCGCCGGCTCTAACAATTCCCTCATTGTTGACGTTGGAGGGAAGGCCTCCCCAGCTTTCCCATTGGTGTCTTTCCTCTGGTCTGCTCGCGCTGGTGTCTCACAATGGCTTGTGCTACCCTTGATATTGATGGCAGTGGGTTTGTTTCGCTGGGCTGTCAGTTTGTGGGGATATTCTGGTACGCGAATCACTGCTCTCTCCTATACCAGGCGTCACACACTAACAGTCACAGGCTTCGGAGTACCCCCTATGCATGGTGACTTTGAAGCACAAAGACATTGGATGGAGATCACGACTCATCTACCCATTTCCAAATGGTACTTGTACGATCTGCAATACTGGGGGTTGGACTACCCGCCGTTGACTGCATACCACAGCTGGTTGCTCGGAAAACTGTACGTCATGAGTGCTTGAATTTGTGGTGGTTTAGACTGACTGGCTAGTGGTTCTCTCTTTGACCCCGCATGGTTTGCCCTGGACCAATCCCGTGGCATCGAAGATCCCTTGTTGAAGGTGTTCATGCGCGGAACTGTGATTGCTTCGGAATACCTTGTCTACATCCCGGCCGTCGTTACCTTCCTGCGCCGCTTCACCCGCATGCAGAGCGTTCCGGTTTGGTCTGCTTCAATTGCCCTCACTGCGATCCTCCTACAGCCGGCGACTATTCTCATTGACCACGGTCATTTTCAATATAACACGGTGATGCTGGGACTGGTTGTTGCGAGCTTGGATGCCATTCTGGCTGGACGCATGCTATGGGCCTGCATCTTCTTCGTGGGTGCTCTGGGTTTCAAGCAGATGGCCCTGTACTATGCTCCAGTTATGTTCGCCTTCCTTCTTGGTGTCTGCATCTTTCCCAAGATCCGGTTCCTCCGTCTCATCTGCATTTCTCTTGTCACCCTCGTTGCATTTGCTGTCCTGCTTGCTCCAATGCTCATTGGAGCGATTGGTATCGAGGCGCAAGCAACTCTGGCATTTGCCCCTGCACCTCCGCTTTTGCAGATCCTCCCGATCGAGCTGGACAAGAGCTCAATGCTTTATGCAGTCATCTTCCAGCTGACTCAAATTATCCACCGCGTCTTCCCCTTTGCTCGTGGTCTGTTCGAGGACAAGGTCGCGAATGCGTGGTGTGCCATCCATACGTTCTACAAACTCCACCGATTCGAGGCCACTCTGCTCCAGCGCATGTCCCTTGGAGCGACGCTGGCATCCATTGCCGTCCCGTGCGCCATCATCTTCCGTCACCCGCGCGCCTCGCTACTCCTCCCAGCCTTGTCAAGTGTAGCGTGGGGCTTCTTCTTGTTCTCGTTTCAGGTGCATGAGAAGAGCGTTCTCCTTCCCTTGCTCCCCATGACCCTTCTCCTGGCTGGAGATGGCGGCCTAAGTAAAGAGACCCGGGCTTGGGTGGGCTGGGCCAATATGCTTGGCTCGTGGACCATGTACCCTCTCCTGCAGCGTGACGAACTTCGAATCCCCTACTTCGTCATGACTCTGCTTTGGGCCTACCTATTGGGGCTCCCTCCAACGTCGCTGGGAACATTCCGCCGCCGTGCCTCCTTGGAAGACACCACCCCCGGTGCCGAGCTTCATGTGCTGACCAAGCTTTTGCATACCTGCTTTTACCTTGCTATGATCGCATGGCATGTCCTGGAAGCCTTCGTGGCGCCCCCTCCTGGCAAGCCGGATCTGTGGGTGGTGCTGAATGCCCTCATCGGTGCTGGAGGATTTGGAATTGCGTATCTGTGGTGTTTCTGGAAGCTGATCCAGCAGTGCCGCAAAATCGACCAAAAGGCAGCCGAGGAGACAGAGAAGAAGAACCAGTGAGGTTGCTGGGCGGTGATTTCCTTTCATAGTCTACTTGATTCTCTCGTGATACCCATTTTGATGTTCGGGACTGCCTTGGGCAGATCTTATCGGCGATAGACTGCGAGTTATGCTTCTTGCTCCTGGTGGAGATAAAAGCGGTTGCTTAAGCCTTCGATCCATACAATATTCCCAGAACATGATGACATAGATAATATACAATTTATTGCACAAGAAGGGAGATGCTCCACCTATAGACGTCGAAAATGACCTATACAATACATGTAACCCAGAATAAACCCATAACCGAACACCAATATTTGCATGCGCTGAACTCTATGTATCATCCTCATTGTGCAGCTGTCCCGGCAGCAGTCGGGTATGGTGCAACTTAGACCTTGAAGCCGTAGCCAGCCATGCAGGCCTTGTACTGATCAATCAGAGGTTTGCACTCCTGTGTGGGATCGTCGGTCTTGGAGAAGAGCATGCAGTCATCGCGGGCGGTCTTTTCGGTCTTGCAAACGCAGCATGGCTGTGACTCGGTCAGTCGGACATTCTGGACTACATTGGTGTCGTGTGAGCAATGGGCATACCTTGGGCTTTTCCGCAGGCACCGACTCGGCAGGAGCAGGGGCAGCAGCCTTCTCAGCTATTATCACGAAAGATTGTCAGCCTTGAGTCACTCCGATATACTAGCGAGGCAAGAGGTATGGATCCTGCGGCGAGCATGGATGGGAATACGTACTGTTGGAGGAACCGGACAACCACGACATGATGAGGAATGGAACTGAAATGAAGCAACAGGCTCAGTGAATGACAATGGGCAGAGAGCGACAGGATTGACGACGAAAACGAACAGCAGTCGGAGGCTGAGCAAGACGAAAAGATGCTGAATAATGATGCGATTGCCCGGAAACGGCGGAAATGGTGCCTGTGGGCGGCCGGAGCGGCGGTCGGGGAAAATTTATGGGAACAAACGGAAATAATTGGGTTGTCAGGGGAATGCTGCATCACGGCCCGCTGCTTCAAGTCTTTCTTTCTTCTTCACTTTTTGCCCCTCCACGGTCGCATTGCCTCCCACGCTCATTGTCTTTGCTTTTCCTGCTACTATTCAGCCGTTGCTTACTTGGACCTCCCTCGAGTCCTGCTACTTTGATTCTTTTGCACCTTTTCCGCATCGCACTGTGCAATTCCTACCCCTGAAATTTACCCCACCATGGCCCCTCCCAAGGTCTTCTCTATCGAGGGCAAAGGCCTCAAGCTCGATACCGCTGAGGATATCGAGTCCCATATCAAGCCTCTTCTCGAAGCCACCGACTACACTGAGATCCGCTTCGGAGGAAACACTCTGGGTGTGCCTGCTTGCGAGCGTCTCGCCGCTGTGCTTTCTACACAAAAGAGCCTCGAAGTGGCTGAACTTGCCGACATCTTCACCTCTCGTCTGCTGAGCGAAATCCCCGACGCTCTGACATTCCTCCTCAATGCCCTTCTCGAAATCACGACCCTTCACACCGTCAACCTCTCCGACAATGCCTTCGGCGCCAACACCCAGAAGCCCCTCGTCGACTTCCTCGCTCGCCACACCCCGCTCCGCCACCTGATCCTCAACAACAACGGCATGGGCCCCGAGGCTGGTTCGAACATTGCGAAGGCGCTTACGGAGCTGGCTCAGCGCAAGGAGGAGGTCCGTAAGGAGGGCAAGGAGGTCCCTCTTCTCGAGAGCATCGTCTGCGGTCGCAATCGCTTGGAGAACGGCAGTATGGCGGCTTGGGCACGTGCCTATGAGGTGCACGCTGCCGGCATGCGCTCCGTCAAGATGACACAGAACGGTATCCGTCAGGAGGGTATCTCGATGTTGCTGAAGGATGGTCTTCGCCACTGCTCTGCTCTGGAGGTGCTCGACTTGCAGGACAACACTTTCACCATCATGGGCTCCACCGCTCTGGCTGGTGTGGTCTCCAGCTGGCCCTCTCTCCGTGAGCTCGGTGTCAGTGACTGCTTGCTGTCGGGCCGTGGTGGCGTCAAGGTCGCTCAGGCTCTGGCTGAGGCCAAGAACCAAAAAGTCCAGACGCTGCGTCTGCAGTACAACGAGATCACCGCCGAGGGTGTCAAGCAGTTCCTGCACGCCACCAAGACTGCTCTTCCTGCCTTGCGTCGCATTGAGCTGAACGGCAACATCTTCAACGAGGATGACAACAACGTGACGGAACTGCGCGAGATTCTGGAGGCCCGTCAGGAGGAGCACGGCCAGGATGATGACCCGGAGGATATGTGGGGTGTCGACGAGCTGGACGAACTCGAGGAGGAGGAGAGCGAGGAGGAGGAGGAGGAGGAAGAGGAGGAGGAAGAGGAAGAGAAGGCCGAGAAGCTTGTCAAGGACGACGAGCAGGCCGAGAACGAAAAGGTTTCCCAGAAGAAGGACGACGATGTCGACAAGCTTGCCGACGTCTTGGGCAAGACCGGTCTGTAGACACGTCGGGGCTTTTTGGTCACATTCTTACCTCGCCCATCCCCTATTCCCATTTTGTCGCCTCGGTGCAACGGCAGTGACTTCTCGCGTGGCGAGAGCTGGATGCATGGTCGTCTAAACGTGTCAGGCCCAGACTGACCGCGTCCGGTCTGCATGTGGCCGGCAGGAGAACTTTGAAGACGAGTTTCCTAAACCAGCCAGAGCACGCGCCTGATGAAACTTGGCTGTTCATCTGCCGGGAGGTGTCATCGCCCCTTGGATAGAAGCAGTGGTTTGCTTTGAGCTTTGATGTTGCCCTATCAGCGATATGCGTTGGGGGCTTAGAAGTAGACACGAGCCTTGCCCTTTGCTGATCACAACATGTTACTGCCCGTGATGTATATAACGTTTCAACGAATGATGTGCATAGCTATGAGCATGATTTACTGAGTTGCAGAGTACGGAGTAGAGGAGTGGAAGTAGAAGAGTCGGTGTAAGTCCAGGCCGTGCCACACTAGCACATACTAGGCTTGAACCGTCATAATCATTCCAGAAGTATCTATCGCTATCTACATCCTTTAACGTATAGTAATTACTCCGTAGATATGTTGATATACACTGATTCATTCAATTGCATTTGGTGAGAATCTTACCGCAGCCTGAGGCACCAAAGCGTCACCTGCACGTCACCTGAGATAAGCCTCCAACAACCATTCAACCTCATCACAGCTTACTATGACTATCATTCTTTGATGCTACATCCCCTCAAACGAAACAAAACCTCCGACTAGTAACTACCCTATGTGGTGAACATCTTCTAACTACAATCCCCTCTCCCCACATCCCGCTCAACCCCAACACCCATCCATCCACTTAAACACCCCCATAAAGTACAAACAAAAGATTACATCGAAGATGTCCGCTTCATCCCTCGTAGACCTCGACTCCCTCGAAGCCACCATCCTCATCGACAATGACCTGGACCCCATGTCCCCCGTCCCCCCAGACACAGTAGAAGTGACAGGTCTGATGCGCACACTGGCAACATCCTCTCCACACGATATCCACGACCGGGGAGATGCGCACAAGGAACTTCAAATGGAGGATATATGCTGCTCTGCGCATGGGTTGTGATTCTTGTGGTATGCCCCTCCTCCCCTTGGATCTTGAGATGAGTGATGCAAGCTAAGAGAATTATCCAGACAGCAACAAAAGACAACAAGCAGCACACGATCCTCTTCGACGCCGGACCTGAAGGCGACGCCTGGGAGAGGAATGTTAAGCGCCTACGGCCTGATTTGGCGAGTGTGGAGGTTGTGCAGTTGTCGCATTGGCATCGGGATCATTCTGGTACGTTACTCTTTCTGTTATCATGGTGTAGTGGGCTTGGTGTGTGCTAAGTGGGTTAATGCAGGTGGTCTTCAAAGGGCTATTGAGATGATTACGGATGCTAAGAAGAAGGCCGGGGGAAATTCCTCTGCGACGGTAGTTGATCTCCATCCCGATCGACCAGATTACAGAGGCATGGCTATCGGAAATAATATCATATCATTGCAGGCTGATCCCAGCTTCGAGGAGCTAGAAGCCGCCGGAGGCGTGGTGCAGAAACACGCTGATGCGCATACCGTCCTGGACGACTTTTTTTTCATATCGGGGGAGATTCCTCGACGGACGGGGTATGAGAATGGGTTGAAGGGGGGGATGCGGTTCGATGCGGAAGAAAAGGACTGGTTCTCGGATGAGGGGATTGCTGATGAGAGGTTTTTGATGTGTAGGCTTAAGGGTATGCTATCCGATTCGATTCATATTTGATGATAGCTATGCTTGGGTAACGCTGACTGTATTCAGACAAGGGCATCGTCATGTTCACGGCGTGCAGTCACGCCGGGGTGGTCAATTGTGCGCAGCATGCGGTGGATTCGCTGGACGGCGAGGTCCCTCTGCATGCTATCGTTGGGGGCTTTCACCTTGCTACTAGTGAGACGTCGCAGATGGAGAGCACGGTTAGGGATCTAAAGAGGTTGGATCCTGCGGTTATTCTTCCTGGTCATTGCTCTGGTTGGAGGGCTAAGTTTGCTATTGAGAGAAGTATGCCGGGGGCGATGGTGCCTTGTTCGGTGGGGATGAGGATTAAATTCTAGTTCTCTTCAGTTTTGCTGGAATTTATTGTCATGATGGATGCTGGTGTGCTTGAGATGATGCCAGTCCGGGCTGTGTTTCAAGACATCTCCAGCGACAATGCTTAGTCGGACAGTCGTGCCATGGTGACGACTTAATGCGATTACAGGTCATCTGGCTGTAATTGGATGCTCGTCGACCTGGTTAGTCTACCTTGGCCGAACATCATGGCGGCATACATGCTGCAATGTCAGTGGTATATGCTTGTTCCCATGGAGCTTCGATATCAGAGCATCGAGTTTCAGCCATGCTCGATCGATATTCTGACTCGGATGATAACGCGAACAACATGATAAGTCTCGCGGGGAGTCCTCAGATATGGTGGTTCCTATTTAGTTGCATCGTGGGCATCTCAGTGACACCGTTCCATTGGCAGCTTTGATATAGAACCGGGGGTCACAGTGCACATGCTGAGCGACAGTGAGGACTATCAGAGTGTGTATATAGGTGGCCTAGAAGTATATGAACATATGTGAGAGATATATATCAGCGCTGGCACAAAGTTGAGACGGTCTGAATGTTTGTTGGGATTGTATATATACCGGTGCACATTTAGACTCAATATATATTTACTACACGAAAGAATCCGACCACACTAGAACACTTCATATAACCACCAATTCTCAACTAATGGAATACTACAGTAAAACCTCCATGTCATTTACAACCATAACTCACTATAATCTACCCAATTCCTCCATCCCACCGCCTCAAGCACCACCATCTGACCCATCCACCGCCAACATCACCGACTTCACCGCACCTTACAGCCAAACTACAACCAAATGGCACAACATGACAGCACCACCCCAAGCAAGCCAAAACTCAAAACTATAGCCAAGTACCAGCCCAGCAATCCAGATTCGGACCAAGGGACTAGAAGCAGTCTAGAATGGCTAGAAATCATCATCATCATCATCACCCATCACTACGGCATACCTGCATACATACATACTGCAATGCACATTCCATACCGCCAAGAGTCCGTCTCACTTCATCTATCCATCTACGATAGTATTTGGAAGGTTGTAACGTCATGCAATGCACGAAGGAACATATTGTAAGAGGTTGGGTACGGTTACTGTGCATGTACATTTACATGAGATGGGGAGAAGGTGGTGGTGATTGATGGATGAATATGCAGAGCAGAGATTAGAGTTAGAGTCAGTTGGTTGGTTGGATGGATGGAAGGCTTCGTGGTGGGCGGTGATTCGCTTGCCATACTAACTTTACTCTTCTAATATCTTGTTACATTTGAGATAGGTCTGTTTGTTTCTCAGACAGAGTCGAGTGAGGTTGGGGTATAGCGAAATGTACGCAGATGTATGTATGTTTGTATGTATGTATGTAGGAAGGAAATTAAAATATCGTGTAACACCATCCATCTCCCCATCAGTATCTACCGTAAGTAACTATTCCATCTCATTTCTTACCATACATACAACATGCATCTACCCAGATTCTCATGCTGTATGACGTATTCCTACAGAGTACAGCATGAAAGTGATGACGACCACTATCTTCGCCAAGTGTTCTATTCAATTCTCTACTTCCTCGTTAATTTATTCCGTAGTTACTCTAGTTAGCTACTTACTTAGATGCCTACAAACAACTTATCCATCAAACTCTATATTGAGTATATACTGTAACCTAATAGTGGCAGTATCATCTGATCAACCCTGCAGAAGGTTAACAACTAACGCTTCTTACCTGTTGATCACCCGCGACTCAAACTTCAGGCTGTGCTGTGCTGGGCTGTGCTGTGTTTTCCCCTGATGTGATTTTCATCCCGTCCCCTCTCCGCTGGCTGCATTACACCCAGAAGGGAGGGAGGGGAGGGAGGAGGGCGGTGCAGGAGGCAGCAGGACTCCGATACCAACCCCCCTTTGCCAAGAACAATTAAGAAGGGAGGAATGCACGGCAGCGCTTGGCGGGGAGATAAGAGGGAAGAAAGGGGTAACTTTTAGTTGTTTGTGTTTGTGTTTCTTTGGTATGGGGGATGAGCGTGAACAGATGGGGTTGAGTTAGTAGTTGTTGGTGGTGGTGATATGGGGTATGGGGTAAAACTGGTTTGAATGAACTGGTGGGAATGTTATATTCAGTAAGTAGTTACTTGTATGCTACTTAGTATGCTGGTAAGTGAGTATATGACTGGGTTCCTTGTTGTATGGAATGTAAATACTAAACAAAGGGAACCAAGACATGTTTCTTTCTCTATTCTGCTCCTGCTGCTGTAGCGAAAACACCAAGTAAACGACATAGTGACTCTCCCGCCAAGCTGCAGCACCCGTCATCATCATCATCACCTTCACAAACGTCAACACTACACCCAGAGAAGTAACTCGTAACCATTACACTGATAACAACAACCACCCCAAAATCAAGTCATTTCATTACACTCTATAATTAGTATCCCTAAGATACACTGCCTCGCTATGTTCTGTGCACATCCCAACCTGGCAATTTCGCACATCCAAAAGGGATGGATGATAGACATGCCAAGAGAAGCCTTGCTGAAGCTGCACATCTCCCGCTTGGCGCAAAGTAATCTGCATGACTATTGGCTTGGAAAGGGGGGAGGTTAACCTAAGAGGGAGTCACGTTTTTGAGGGGCGGGTTAAGTTACTTATTTGTTTTTTGCTTTTTGTTGTTGCTTGGCTGTATGGAATAGTTGCGTGTGATAGGGATGGGGTAGTTACAAAGTAAGTATATACCATAGCTTAGCTAGCTCATGATTTCAGTTTGTATAATGGCAATATACTTTCTACAGTTCATCAATTGCAGCAACGATATTCTGATTGCTCGCTTAAATGCGATCTTGGCAATGTAAGTAGCCAGGGCAGAAGGCAGCCAGCCAGCCAGCCAGCCAGCAGCCCCTGATGAACTGTCGATCTGATATCATCTTCATCATGGTTACGGATTATCCCGACGGGGATAGAGCCAGGACATCCTCGCTCGGCAATTACTTCCTCAGTACTTATTCACTTATTTTACTTAGGTTCAAGGGAAACTCTATCATCCTGCCAAGTAGTAAACTACTGTCTCACGACTTGTTCCGTAAACTCTGAATCAGACCCATACGAACGGAGTCGGAGTATATTAGGATATCGCATCAGACATACTCCGTACTCTCACGGACAAGAGTAGTACGTAGTTAGTGAGTACCCCATCTGACATCATATGCAGGTATACATAACTACCTACCTACCTAATCAGGGACTACTCTTCACGCATCTAGAAAACGAATAGCATATTCGTAAACTCAATCATACCGATCTACACGATTATTATCTCCCCCTTTCCAATGATATGATACAATAACTTCCTGGATGTACGTATAATCTCCGCCTATAATTTGTCCATGTGGCTATTGCAGTATCTGTCTGTTCGACTAACCTGCCTTTCTCGATAGATGAGGGGGTGTGTGTGGGTGTGTGTGGGTGTATCAGACAATGATCCGATAATTAAACTTCATGTAAAACATGGCATGTAAGTCGAGGATAGTATGAAATGATGCATGGAGAGGAGAGACGAGATGAGACGGAATAGGGATAGAATACGGTCGGATCATCAATACTTATGCTACTTGGGTATGATTGTCGATGGTACCTACTTCTGATTGATGCAAGAAGGGGTACCTACATATGTATTAGATGGAGGACGTAGGCACGGGATATATACTGAAACAGGTTGACTGGATCAGGACTGAAGCAGATTGCACTGCAGAGACTCAAGCAGTTGTTTTGTCTCAGGTATACCTACCACTTCTACTACTACTGTCTACCGAGATAATTCTAAGGATTGTATGTAGTGTTGAGTGTATGTATATATTGCGGGGTGCCCAACCCTTCACCAATAAGTACAGATATAAACGTCCAAGTACTTTAATAATTAGACATAATAATCCATGCTGGTGATCCCTTGGCATCGATCCCATGCTGTTTAGTAAACTACATAGTGAGCGAGCATCTGGCAACAAGGTTAAGCATGTATCAGACACAACGTCCATAGATGAATCACTACAGAATACTACCAATAGACATGAGACATCACCACTACGAAGTGCATCCCTGCCCAACCATCCCTCCCTCCATCAGACACGTCTCCTCCAAAAGAAGCCACAGAAGAATTCCCTCACTTCAGCCTTACATCCATCACACACTCCCGACACTCTATTCCGGAAAAATTCTTCACACCCACAAAAACCGAACTTTGAACTTGGGAAAAAACCGGTCCAGTACCACGGTTCATACCCGACAACATGCAACCATGGAAAAGGAGGCAGAGGGGATAAAGTCAAACGCCTGAATGGAACAAATGGACGAATGTATGATTGGAGGGTGATGAATTGGTGGTCTTTTCTCCAAACGGCGCGCCCGTGCCGATTCCCGTGTCGCGTAGTTAGCCCGTTAGCAGTCAACTTAACTAAACTATTATCCTACCAGTAAAACAAGACTTCGGCGACCCTGACTACTCATTTGACTGGAAGGGCCGAATATCCCGAGGAGAAAGGCCGACAAGGCGAGACATTTACTCATACACACGGCCCCGAGTGAGGGATAATGATGATTACACCCACTCAATTCAATTCACTCAAACTTAATGGGGCTAACGCACTTGGGGAGTTGTGTGCGTGAGCGCATTTGGAGAGCAAATGGCGTCCCTCCCGGGTTGTCAGCCCGGCAATCACTAATCTATTTTGTTTGGTCTGGTCTGTGGTGAGCTGCACGAGGAGGGGTAGCTAGGATACGTATGTAGTTAGCTAGTTAGAAGCTATTTGACACAGATAAGCTGGCTGGCTGTTGCAGTTGCGAATTCGGGATCCCTCCTCTGGTTTGACTGACGCTGCCGATATCCGTTCCAGACCCGGGTCGTTTTGGAGTCCCATGTCTATCGACTGACTAACTATTGGGTTCTCGCTTCCCCCAGGGTGTCATTCCCTATCGGTAGTTACCTGTCTATGGTGCAGTAGTTTAGTAGGTCAGTTGTTACGGTCGGTCCATGATAGGCAGGGAGCGACTAACAGTATCCGGCTTGCCGCGCTCTATTGCTATCTACCTAGTCCATCTAGAATGGATATCTAGCTATTTCTCCGGAAAATAGCTCTCTGCATCGAAACACTGCAGTCTAGTTCTAGTTCTAACCCATTTCGCCGACCGTAGCTTACCTCCAAGAACTGGCCAACAGCAAGTCGTCCCAGGTATGGACGGGCAATAATTCCCCGAGTCGGGGAGGGTTCGGGCTAAACCCGATCCAAGAATACGCACAGCAAAATGCCCGGAGGGATGATCCAGTGCCATTGCACTGCTACAAAGTCACTAAACTAACCCATTTATCGGATTCTGCTGGTCACTGGGCAGAAGCAGTTCTGCAAAGCACTGCGCGTCATCCATAGATGGTGGGTTAGCTGCCACGGTGGCACGCTGGGGCGCGCGGGCGCGGCATGGAAATGAGGTTAAAAATCTCTCATACAAGCAAGTCTTCTCCGGAAATGTCAAAAAGGTAAGGACGATAAAGCTCCTGCAGCAGCTTTTTAGTGGTTGTCGTCAGAGCGTTTGAGCTCGGCGAGGTTTTAGAAACGTACGCAGCCAGCCTAGCTAGCTAGCTAGCTACTGTAGGCTGGTATCGAGCTACTGAGGAAGGGTGATTGGAGCGGGCTAAAATTGCGCTGCTGCTGCTGCTGCTGTTAATATCCAGCATCTGTTGCTGCTGGGGACGACGGCTGACCCGTTGACGAATGACGACCTCGTATCCTCGTACTCGATTGGGATCTCCGATGAACAGTCGGAGCTTCCTCCCGCCCGTGGGGGCAGGTACATACGTGTAGCTGTGAGTAGTCAGTGGTCAAGAAGTACCCTCCCACTACTAGTAGTAACTGATTAGTCGTCATCATCGTAGCAATTGGTCGTACTGCCAATGCTGCAATAGCAATAGTATACTTGATAGTGTGATACTTTGCAGTAGAATACAATCCATTGAACACAACACTTCTTGGTGCTCTTGGCAATGGTGCTGGCAGTGCCGGCAGGACTGGCACGAGCCTCTCCATTCGATCGAGATGTGTGCTGCAGTAAAGTACCTCGACCGCGGAGGTCCGATGCGCGACTGGGATGATGGATGGAGGTGCTATCCTTGAACCTCGGGTGAACGAGGGCAGACCAGGGCCGACAGAAAATCCCTCACCAGGATCCTCGATGAGACAGCTTGGCACGGGCGATCGCCCGGTGGGGGGGGAGGGAAGAGGAAAGGCAGGCTCACAGCGAGTTGGGACCGCGATTGGTATCATAATTGGGGGCCGCTAACTGTATTCGCAATTAACGTCGGTGAAGTGGGAGAAATTGGCCCCGTTGCCGCGCTGAGTCGATGGAGTGACCACTGACTAGCTACCTAGTCTTGGTCACTACTGTAGGTACCAGAAAGCCAAGAACGAGCCTAGCGGTATCTAGTGGGTGCTCCACGGACGCCCGTGGTCGTGATCGCATTTTCGAGGTCGTTTCTTCGTCTTCTTCTACGTTTTATGCACCGACGGACGGAATTAATTGCCATTATGCCGGACTGTATTACCTAAGGTCGTATCTCGGCCTGTAAGTAGTCTAGGCGATGAAAAGCAGATAGGGAAGGTTACGAGGTGTAAGCCATGACCTTGTCATAACGCGCCAACACGCGCCGTCACCGTGCGGATAATTGTCTCACCACCGTCACCTATACACGGCTCATACGAGAGGGTCGGCCCAAAGTGGTTTAGCATCCTTACGGGTAGCCGACCTTATCCCGAAGGGGAATTTCGTTGCCCCCATCCATTAGCCAACACACTGGCCTGACCTGAGCTGACTTGACCTCTGCTTTGCAAGTCCCTCAAAGAGGCACCAAAAGTCGCATTAATTATTGGCAAATTGCCCCAGAGGCCAAAATCAATAATAAGGACAATCCCACCAACACTATGACTTTACCCGATTTCCCTATCGGACTGCCGATTATGACGTAGCACTCACCCCTCCCCCCGGTCGCCTTGACCCCTCGACAAATCCCAATTCAGTGGCCAACAGACTTCCTGCTGCCGACATCCGATGTGCCATGTCAGCCCCAGAAAAATCTCTGTTCTCGAACCCTCCCTCCCCCAAAAATTCGGAGCGGCAAAAATCAAAAAAGAAGAATCGTCTGGACGAGTAATGCAGCTAACTGGATCAAGGGCCCCAGTCGAAGCCTTCTAGAAAACGTCGAGAACGGCGAATCTGCGGGTTCGATGCGGTCAGAAGGTCTTGTTGCCCCTCACTTTTTTGGGCCTTGCATTCGGCTGGTCCGGTGGCGACCAGTCAGTCCAAGTCAGTCCTTCCCAACTGAGTATGGCGCTACTGAGTAGTAGTACTAGTAGTTACTGTGGACAAACTTGGGCCCTCACAATCAATCAATCAATCGAATGCCCTGATAAGCCCCATTACTAAGGTATTTTAGTCCGCGCTCGGGGAAGTGCGGGCTAGTCACTTAGTCTAACCCGTAGTGGGAGTTAGCCTCTTACTATCCACTCCGTACTCCGGTCTACTACTCCGGACTTTTTGGCAGCCGCCCGCACGGAATAGCCTCACTTTGTTCGAATCTGTATGGCTCCATTGCGGGATATAATAGCATGCACTATTGTGGTCATCATCCATCACTATGAGGCGAACTTGTGACTGATTGATTCTCCATTCTCTATCCTTTGTTCAGTCATGATGGACGCGGGGAGGGTCTCGGTCTCGCCTTTCACACCCACCGGCAATCCCGATGACCTTCTTTGACCGTTCTCGAAACCCTTTTTCTGTGTTTTCTTTGGTTGCGATCATGCAGAATGCTTACTGCTGGGTTGGCATCCCTCACGTGTCCCCTGTCTCCATGCATTGTTATGTAGGCTCCACGTCCGGAGTAAGTAGGTACGTAGGTACGTAGCTCGATTCACCTTCCCGGAGGGAAATCAGTCAGTCAGTCAGTCAGTATCAGTATGGGTAATTAGTATCATCTAAGTAGATTAACTAGACGACGACAACGCCATACCTCAAATTCAGCCCAGCTGTCAGAGAACGGTTTCAACGAACGACCAAATACCCTAACCAGTAGTAAACTAAACTACGGAGAAGAACCAAATAACCTTCAAACCCTGATACAACAAAAGTAGCAAGCACAAGAAAGAAACCCGAAACAAAGCCCAAACCCAAATATCGACAACGAAACGACCCAACACCCAACGAACCAAAGACGATTACCATCACCTCCCATCCTATGGTTCAGGGACAGACAAACCAGACGAACAAACGACAAGCGACAGGACTGACATGCCGACCGAGAAACCTCACCTCGACTCGTTCCACGGTTTGCAGTGTGGGGAGCTTTTGCAACACTTCGGGAAGTGATGGTAAGGTACTTTCCCGACTAGGCGAGGTACCAGGTACTAGTGCGGTTTTAAAAAACAAATGGGGGACGCACAACAGCCCTCTTATTGCCACGGCACCATACATAACTTACCCTTCCGGTGTGAGAGTTGTGGGTGGGTGCTCCACTTCGGCTAAGTAGGTATTCTGATTTGGGACTAGCGCGACGGAGAATCCAGGTACTGGGTTGCGGGTTTTTGGGGAATCCACTTTGGTGTTTTTTTATCTAAAAGTATCTCTATCTAGCTAGCTATATTCGTGGATTATTACTCCAAGTAATCTATCTATCTACGTAGTCTAACTGTGTAAAGAGATGGAGAGGGTTAGTGTGGCTCCACGATAGCTACTCACTGACTAACAACCACTTATGGGCTGTTGGCCCTTGGCCCTGGTCCTGGTCTTGGCTCTTTGGGGAAAATATGGGATGAGATTGGGATGGGATGGGGTAGAACAACCACATAAGGGGGGGAAAAAGTGTGGGATGTGGGATGGAATCAACTAATTAACTTCCTTTCTCCATAGTAGTAGTAAACTCCCTCAGCTGACCTTCTATGGGCCGGTCGGCCCCCTCCTCCTCACCCCCCTTTGAACCCCAGAAATAGTAGTAGTAGATAGGGATCCTGTAGTTTGGTATTTCCAGATGGCTGGGGTTTTGGTTTCGGTCTTGGCTGACGTGAGTTGTGTTTTTGTTTGCATACCTGAGGTGGTGGTGAGTGAGTGACCTTGCCTTGCCTTGCTGCCCCAGGTTCAGTTCAGGCCTACTAGCAAGCTAGCTAACCCCCCTATCCCTGTAATACCGGGCAACGGTGAGAATCCCCCGGAATTCTGATCACCATGGACTGCATTCGGGTTTGTGGTGATGACTCGGGGGGGCGGTTGGGTGCACGGGCTGTAAGTGTGTTGCTGGGGTGTTAATTGCGTATGCTATCTGGCTTATTACTGTAGTAGTTAGCTAATTATGTAGAGAGCACCAGGAGTTAGTAGTAACAATGGTAGCATAATCGGGAATAGCATCATCATCATCACCATCACCATCACCATCACCATCACTACCATGATTACTACTACTCACCCCCATCAATATGGGGTAAGGTACCACCATCCCTATTCTATTCTATTCGTCAGGAACAAACCCCGACGGCCAAACTTCCTCCGTGAGGTAACCCATCCATATGGGACCTACCTGTTCCCTATCCAGAAGTCTTCCTCCCAGGTACTAGTCCATCTACAGTAACTTAACCACCAAACCGCGGAAACCGCTCAATCGGCCCCGTCGGGCGAGGCGAAACCAACCACCGCCCCCCATCCCTTAACTACCTCACTAACCCACCTAAGTAACTACTTAACCCCGGTGTAAGTAAGTAGCACCGGAACTATCATATCATATCTGAATTAGGTTAAAGTCATTCTCATCCTCAAACTCCGGGATTAAACTTCGGGCTTGCTGCTTTGCCAGACTAAGTGAGCGTCACGGTGAGAGAATGCAGTAGATGAGCGGGATTACCCTCCGTAGTTTAGTTACGTAGTTAGGCTTGCATGTGGTTTTGAGTTAATATTATGGTAAGAGGTAGAGTAGAGTAGGGTGTTATTTCCCCGCGGCTGATCAGATCAGTTCAGCTCAGCCCAGCTAGACCTTACCTGATAGTTAGATACGGAGTAGTTAGTGTGTGATTAAGTGATGATGTTCAGGTCATCGGAGCAAAGAGAGCGAAAAAGAAAACAGGTTGAATCCGCGTGAAAGGGACACTGACCCCCATGCCATGGTTCGTCTTGCATGTGTCTGTACGGTCGCCTTTTCAGAGCTCTCTCATGTCCGTTGGGATGAATGGAATGGATGGATGGTACGGCAACCATAATGTGATGGATGGGGCGCGAGGCCGCCCGCCCGATGGATGACTGACTGACTGACTGACTACCTACAGTAAGTAGTAGTAGTATTCTGCAGGTATGGTTGGGCGGATGTGATGTTCTCCTCCTCCACAAACATCATCGGGTTTTATCCCGCCCGTCTGGGGTTGGATGGATGAATGGATATGCGGTATTTGGTTCAGGACTTTCGGACTTGGGTGGGAGCTGAGGGCGGCGGTATCGATCGAGACCCGGTCGGGATGACGGTAAATCCCATCCCATCCTACTACTACTACTACTACTCAGCACGGAGTAAGTTGGTGGCTTAAAGTTGGACTTTTACATTCCGAAGCTTTTTTTTGTGTTTTGTTTGGAATAAGCAAATTGGATTTTCTAGTATTATCCTAGTGGTAGATTACTGTGTATATCTCACTGATCTTCACATAGTATATACTAAGATGGGGGCAACGCAAGGCTGTAGTATACAATAGAGTCGGCAATCTCGAGCCTCAAATGGTGGGATATATTATCGACGAATACTACTCCGTTACTGACCCATCAACTCCGATTCTACTAGAGCCAGCCAAGAACAATTATCGCCAATGTTACTCCGTAGATACCCAGTTGCATCACTCTTAACCGCCCACGTAGCGGAAAGCCGAACCTACTAAGAATATCTACTACGGCGTTGCTTGGAGATAAACCAACCCCCATCCGGATTCGGACAGCATCCAGCCCAACCACCGAAAAAGAATGTGGAGGAGTAAGTAGTACTCCATAGAAAGGCAGACCAAGAACAAGGATACCGACAACGGATCACCCTCTTGGCAAACTACCAAATGGGCCAAAAACAAAATAGACCTTGGCAGTGAGTCCAAGACAAGCCTTATGCGCGCTGAAGCTTAGGAAGTGCGGAGGAAGAGTCACGAACATGGGAATTCCCTGTTATCAACGAAAGGTTCTAAGTCATCAAACGGAAGAAAAAGTTTAATGGCGAGAAGGCACTGGAAAACAACTGGAACAATCGTCGATGGATGGTTGTTATTGAACCCGCGATGTACGTTGTCAGGCGATCTGGGGCGCTGCGCGCGCCCGGACGCGGGCTACGTGGTTGTGGATTAATGCCGTGCATGCATGCATATCTTTCTTTCTTCTTTCTCTTCTCTTGTCAGACAAGCCATTTTCCAATAATCACAAGTACTATGCAGTTTTTTTCGGGACTTCCGTGGATCCCTGAGGGAGATAGATTGCTTTTCCTGGGAATTCCGGAGAGATCCTGATTTGTCTGGGCTGAGCTGATGGAAAATGGCGCTTTTCTTTAGCATCACCGGTGGTTTGATTTGCTTTGGTTGACGGTATCGGATAGATAGATGGTCTAGGTTAACTACAGATTATCTGGAGAAGCAGCACGGGTAGAATCGGTCGGAGGAGGGGAAGCACTGGGCTGGCTGGTAAGGTTAGAATGATAGACGCAACCAGTGAGTGTGCATCTGAAAGGGAAAAGATGCAAAAATCTTGGTTCGCTGGGGTCGTGGCCATGCATGCATGCCTCCCACATCTCCCAAGCCAACCTGTCAACCAGATGGCTTCGTAGAAAAAAAAGCCCAGGAAAAATCGAAAATCGAAAATCGAAATCGAATCGAGCAAAATTGGAAAAATGTCGCAACGTGCTCTGTACAATGGGCGGCGGCGGCAGCGGCAGCAGAAGCAGCAGCAGCAGCAGGGTTATCTGCGGAGACCATCTGGAACTGGGGTTTCGGTCTGGTATGCGATCAACCTTGGCTACACGCCCCCAATAGATAGATGAAGTCAGCGTATATACGAAAACGATCAATGCCCAGACGAGGCTATTATGGCTACTATTGTTGTATCATGAAACTATCTTGCTGCGCTCATTTCATTTACTGCTGCCGCCAGACTTGGCTAATCAATAACGCGACGATAGCAGGGCCGAGAAAGAGAGAGTAATCTTACTCACTTGATAGCAATAAGACCACACACCAATCCCGGCCAGACCAATGATACGGGCCCCAGCAACAATGGAAGCAAATAATCCCAGACTGGAGTCCCGAGTGCCTAGCCGGCGGAGTCGCATCCCGATGTCAACCAGTCAGACAAAAATGACGCTCTCCGATGGAGCCCATGCCTCCCCACGAGAGGAAATCGGATGAAACTCAATCAGGGCTAGATGCATGGGATTGGCGCGCCGTAAATAAGGAGGGTGGAGAGCACACACACCTTCCACTTCCCTCCCCGGTCGTCACACGCTCACAGGATGGGTTGGTTGGATAATGGGTGGGCGATCGACTCCAGGTTGGCATTAGTGCGAGATTGTGAGAGACAATGCTCATAACAGCGATGCTAATATGAGGGAGAGAGTGAGAGAGAGAGAGGGAGAAAGAGAAGGAAGGGAGGGGGGGGGCCACAGCGAGGCGCGTGGGGACAAACTCGGGAAGTGCGTAGTCGGAAGATAACGAAGGGTGCGATTCGCAATGGTAATAGCATGGTAATAATAATTATAATTATGGGATGGAATCAATCATCCCATCTATCCATTCATCCATCCCACCGATAACAAATGATCGCACAGGAGAAAATAATCCCGATGACATAATTCTGGATTTGGATAAGGAAGGGGGTCTGTTTACTTTACTGTGTACGGCTCATCCTGACCTACCAGTGACTTATTACTTCCACTTACTTTCCTACTAACCTTCTACGGGGCCGCACCGGGCGGGCAATGGAGTCAGTTCCCGAGTCGGCACGATCATCACCACCATGAATTCATCATCATTTTACTTACTACTCGTTTCCTGGTGCCCCCTCCCTCCCCGAGACACGGTCAATCGGCACCAGGAATGGGAAGTTAAAAAACGGATCGTCTGACAGCACCGACCATGGCCACCTACGACATGCGACGATGATGTCAATTTAATTCCGTAGACTGAAGAAAACATCGAAAGAAGAGAAAGTAAATCGTAGGGAGAGAGTAGACTATCTATCTAGCTGAATTGTTTCTGACCCTGCATGGCCGGAAATGGTATCATCCAAGTCCTTGGAACTCGCCCCTTGCGTTCCCGTTTGGCTCAGCTCGTGGTTCCAAGATCGGGTAGGACGGCCCTGGCTCTGCGCTCTGTGGCACAGGGAAACCAGTCATTCCAGCGCTTCACAATCGGAGTATTTCGCAGCAAGTAAAGAGACACGCTGATTCAATCTGTGTACACAGTAGTGTGATAGTGTATCGAGTAGTTGGTTCGTAGTGTATGTATGTCTCGTCTGTAGCGGGCCTTGGTTTCCTCAGATCATGTCCCTTTCATCCCTCTCTGGTGGGCAGAAGAAAAGAAGAAGGGCAACGATCATTTCTTTTCTGCAAGGGAACTACTGAAACTATGAAGTCCGATGTCATCGCAGTGCGCCAGGTGCTTACACAGAAGGAATATGCCAATGATTTACACATAGAGGGTCTGATAGTGTATGTGTGTATGTGTATGTGTATGTGTCTCTGGCTTGTCCCTTTCTTTCTGTCTCGTTCTACCCTTTAATTTACAATTTTTTTTGTTTCTTTTCTGTTGGTCTCGGCCAGACAATGCCGATTGACTTACCAACAAGCAAATAGCATGATTGGGATGGGTTATTACTATTACTCTCATCAATCGCGAGGGTCAAAAGGCGACGACGAAAAATCGCGCATAGTAAAGAGAGCGAGAGTAGGGAAAGGATCAGGAAAATTAACGAGGGCCACCACCCGCACGCGGCAAAAAGGCCATTCACACGGTACATTCTGTACGTACGGTAAGGAATCTTTTTCCCAAGTGGAAAAAGTGAGCGCCCTGGGCTGGCCGAAAGGCCGACAGAGCCGTCCTCTGTCGGCTCTCGTACCTGTATCTTACCGGTAGCATACAGTAGCATACCTCATGCCCATAGTGAACTCCGAGGAAATAGAGTCAAGCTCCTTCCGACGAGTGTATCGGGTGCGTACGGGGAGTCCCATCTTTTCTTGGTCTCCCCAGGATTTACGGTAGGGGAACGAGCGAGAGTGGAGGAGGGAGGGGAGAGGGGGGGCGAACTCGGCACAGCGCTGCCGGTCATAGAGCAACAAGAAGAAGCCATTCAGTATGAGATCGAGACAAATGGAAAGGCGAACGGCGTAAGGTGCCGTATCATTGGTGACCGTCTGGGTATAGTCAGAGTTTTTCCACGGCCCAGACTAGGCTCGATCCGGGAGGTGGGATCCACTTGGCAAACTGGGCTGGGCAACCCAGAGAAGGTAATGAAGCGGGAAAATAAAAAAACAAAAAATAAATAATCACTTCGAAATTCACTCGGCACTAGCGATGCGTCGGGTTAAGCAGAAAAATGTGTGTGCGTGGGAGGCAAAAAGCGGGTCCCAGTCACAACCTTACCTTACCAGGGACAGCGAACTTTCGATCAGTGGCTACTGCTGCTCCCGGCCAAGACTAGACCAAGTTGGAGAATATTAATGAAAAAAAAAAGAAAATGGCAAAAAAGAAAAATGGAAAATCGGAAAATCAAAAAATAATAAACTGGAGGAAGGCGAAAAAAAAAAAAAAAAAGTGGGCTTACGCACAGGGAAGGTCGCCCGTTGGAGCTTAGAGAAGACAGACGTGTTTGTCTGGTCCCGTGCAATTGAAGGCTGCCCACCCCCAAATATTAAAGAGTACATTCCCTCCCTTCGCTCCCCTCTCTTCTTCTTCTCTTCTTCATAGGACTATCCGACTCTTGCCATTCCTGCCATTTTTTGTTTGCGTCTGCTCATATCGTTGGGTTCGAAGGCTGTGTGAGCCGAAGCAACAATGGCGGAGCGGAGGATTTCCTATGCTCCCGACGTGGAGAATGGTGACCATTCTCGCGCTCCTCAACTTGATGATGGTGCTGGTCTCGACGAGTACGCCGCGTTGAACCGTTACATCTCGACCGCCCCCGACAAGCGCCGCGGTTCGACTGCTAGTGCCGGTGGCGTGAGTGCCGGCAAGAAGAAGAAGGGTTTCTCCCTCTTCGGTAAGAAGGGTGATGGTGTGGAGGATGGCTTCGTCTGCCCCGATGACTGGCTCGAGACCGACATGCGCTCCGGTCTGCGCTCCAGCGACATCGAGCCTCGTCGCAAGCGTACCGGGTGGAACGAGCTGACCACCGAGAAGACCAACTTCTTCGTTCAGTTCATTGGTTACTTCCGTGGTCCTATTCTTTATGGTAAGGCAATCGACTCGGACATTGCATTGCAGGGATGTCTCTAACAGTGCTATAGTTATGGAATTGGCTGTCTGTCTTGCTGCTGGTCTTCGTGACTGGATCGATTTCGGTGTCATTATTGGTATTCTTATGCTTAACGCTATCGTCGGTTGGTACCAGGAGAAGCAGGCTGCCGACGTTGTCGCTTCCCTCAAGGGTGATATTGCTATGAAGGCCATCGTCATTCGTGATGGTCAGGAACAGGAAATCCTTGCCCGTGAACTTGTTACTGGTGATATTGTATGTTTATTCTACGCCGTTTCCACTCTGTCGGCACTGTCTAACATGCTTTCCCATAGATCGTTATCGAGGAAGGTACCGTTGTCCCCGCCGATATTCGCCTGATCTGTGACTACGACAAGCCCGAGAACTTCGAGACCTACAAGGAGTACCTCGCCACCGTTGGTGACGACACCCTTAAGGAGAAGGAGGATGAGGACGACGAGGATGGTGGCATTGAGGCCCGTGCCGGTGTCTCTCTCGTCGCCGTTGACCAGTCCGCCATCACTGGTGAATCTCTCGCTGTCGACAAGTACATGGCCGACACTTGCTACTACACCACTGGTTGCAAGCGTGGTAAGGCCTACGCTATCGTTACTGCCACCGCCAGACACTCTTTCGTCGGTAAGACCGCTGCTCTCGTTCAGGGTGCCCAGGACCAGGGTCACTTCAAGGCTGTCATGGACAACATCGGTACCACCTTGCTTGTTCTTGTCATGTTCTGGATTCTCGCTGCCTGGATCGGTGGTTTCTACCGTCACCTCAAGATCGCTACTCCCGAGAACGAGGACCGCAACTTGCTCCACTACACCCTGATTCTCCTGATCATTGGTGTCCCCGTCGGTCTCCCCGTCGTCACCACCACCACCCTCGCTGTCGGTGCTGCCTACTTGGCTGAGCAGAAGGCTATCGTCCAGAAGCTCACTGCCATTGAGTCCCTTGCCGGTGTCGACATTCTCTGCTCTGACAAGACTGGTACCCTCACTGCCAACCAGCTCTCCATCCGTGAGCCCTACGTCAACGAGGGTGTCGATGTTAACTGGATGATGGCTGTCGCTGCCATTGCCTCCAACCACAACATCAAGAACCTCGACCCCATTGACAAGGTCACTATCATGACCCTCCGTCGTTACCCCAAGGCCCGTGAGATTCTCGCCCGCAACTGGGTCACCGAGAAGTACACTCCTTTCGACCCCGTCTCCAAGCGTATCACCACCATCTGTACCTGCGATGGTGTCCGCTACGTCTGCGCCAAGGGTGCCCCCAAGGCTATCCTCAACATGTCCCAGTGCTCTGAGGAGGAGGCCGACAAGTTCCGTGAGAAGGCTGCTGAGTTCGCTCGTCGTGGTTTCCGTTCCCTCGGTGTTGCCGTCCAGAAGGAGGGTGAGCCCTGGCAACTGCTGGGCATGTACCCCATGTTCGACCCCCCCCGTGAGGATACCGCCCACACCATCGCTGAGGCCCAGCACCTTGGTCTGTCCGTCAAGATGTTGACTGGTGATGCTCTTGCTATTGCCAAGGAAACCTGCAAGATGCTTGCTCTTTCTACTAAGGTCTACGACTCCGAGCGTCTGATCCACGGTGGTCTTGCTGGCTCTGCTCAGCACGATCTCGTTGAGAAGGCTGACGGTTTCGCTGAGGTCTTCCCCGAGCACAAGTACCAGGTCGTCGAGATGCTCCAGCAGCGTGGTCACTTGACTGCCATGACTGGTGACGGTGTCAACGACGCTCCCTCTCTCAAGAAGGCTGACTGCGGTATCGCTGTCGAGGGTTCCACTGAGGCTGCCCAGGCTGCTGCCGATATTGTCTTCCTTGCCCCCGGTCTGTCCACCATTGTCGATGCCATCAAGCTCGCCCGTCAGATCTTCCAGCGTATGAAGGCCTACATCCAGTACCGTATTGCTCTGTGTCTCCACCTTGAGGTCTACCTTGTCACCTCCATGATCATCATTGACGAGACCATCCGTGCCGATCTGATTGTCTTCATTGCCCTGTTCGCTGATTTGGCCACCATCGCCATTGCCTACGACAACGCCCACTACGAACAGCGCCCCGTCGAGTGGCAGCTGCCCAAGATCTGGGTGATTTCCGTCATCCTCGGTATCCTCCTGGCTGGTGCTACCTGGATCATCCGTGCCTCCCTCTTCCTCACCAACGGTGGTATTATCCAGAACTTCGGTTCTCCCCAGGAAATCCTCTTCCTCGAGGTTGCCCTTACCGAGAACTGGCTCATCTTCGTCACCCGTGGTGGTAAGACCTGGCCCTCTTGGCAGCTGGTTGGCGCCATCTTCATTGTCGATGTGCTCGCCACCCTGTTCTGTGTCTTCGGCTGGCTCTCCGGCGACTACCTCCAGACCCACCCCGTTGACCGTGCCGACTTCTCCGTCAACGGTGATGTCGACATTGTCACCGTTGTTGTTGTCTGGGGTTACTCCATTGGTGTCACCATCATCATCGCTGTGGTGTACTACCTCCTTACCATCATCCCCTTCCTTGACAACCTTGGTCGCAAGACCCGCTCTCGCGCTGACACCCAGATCGAGAACCTGCTTGGCCACCTGTCCAAGCTGGCCATCGAGCACGAGGTCGACGCCCACGGCAAGAGCCGCTACATGCTGGGTGCTCGCGCTGAGGTCGAAGAGGATGAGTAAACGCTTGATTGCGCTCCTTAATACCATCCGACCTGGATATCACTTGCTGCGCATACATGCATGAGCTGGGATCCCGGCTACCCTTTTTACCCGTATTATAGACTTTTTTTTCCCTTATTACCTTGTCTCTACTGATAGAGTCAATTTCTTTTCTTTTTACATGTATGTATGTCATTAATAGTGGTAAATTTAGTCAATCAAGGGTTCAATTAATACATCTTCCATTGTAACTTCACTACTACTCAAACTTCTAACCTCTTCACCTTCAACCAAACTAATCCCTCCTTGCAATCCACCAAATCAATAATCAAAGTGCGCCCACTGCCGACCACTTAGCCGAACCAAACCACCTCAGCCCTGACCTGACCACTTCACCACGGTCCACCCATCGGACCAAGTTCTGGGTGCAGTGGGACCCGGTAAATTGGAGTCAGGGGCGCACCACTTCACTCACCATCTCCTCGGTTCCCGTTTCACTTGCGCCCGTTCGGACTCCGGCCGATAGCCAGACAGCCAGTTGCGTCGCACCTCACCTTCGGTCCTTGACACCGAACATACGTGTCTGAGAGAGCTCGAGTGGATCCGAGCTATTGATTCTGGTCCGGACAAGAGCGAGACAAAACTCTCGTAATTGCGCCTATCAATCGGCCTGTACCTGCCGAGTCAGTCGTCGACTAATCGGTCGGCGTCTTGGATACGTTTACGAGAGAGGCCGAGGTTAGTTGTAGATGATAGTTTAATTGGCCTCGTATTGATGAGGAGGGTGTAATTTGCCGATGCCGATGGATGGCATTGATAGTGTTTGTTAAAGTGGTGCACGGATGGTGTTTGTGCTGGTTACTCGCGCCTTAGTGTGGTGGTGGTAGTGGTAATCGTACGTACGTAGTTGGGAGCTGTGCAGTGGATGGGAGTGTTTTGAATAGATTGTGCTTGTGCAAGGTGGGCGTGCATTGCTGCTTTACTTGCTGGGTTGGGTTTGGGTTTGTCCAGTTGGTGATGTGCGTTGGATGTTGAGTCGGTCGTATTTGAGGTTTTTTGCTTGGTGCCTTAGGCCAGTGCTATGAGCAGCAATGAATGTCACTTGCACAGTGTGAGGAGGGCTTACCTCACTTTAGTCAATCCACGGATTGTCTATGACAAACTGAAGCCTACTGAGCATATGAGTAACTGCTACTCAGGTTGACTGACTAGTATCTGAGAACAGATGGAATAGTTCTTCCTGGCAAATAGCAGGTAAGTAGCTGCTTTCCTGCAGATCGGAAGCTTCTATCTCATATTTGACTCTACAGACTTCATAAAATTACGCTACTTGAATCCTGGAACTATCTAGTGCTTCCCATACACTCATACTTAAAAAGAGACTTGACTACATGGACAACTTGTACGCTTGCTGCCAGCAACGCCCAGAAATCGCAATGGGACAGGTATCTTGTCGGCATGAACTGACTCGATGTCTCGATCAACTTGTGCTTGGCTATCGGAGACAAAGTATGACAGCTGTTGCTAATTGGTGTTCCTTGATCCGAGAGCAGGGGCTTACAACTGTTCGTCGTGGCCTATATGCCGGCACTTTTAAGACATCAATATGCTTCGAGTTGCCAGCAGACAAAAGAATCACCTTGCTCAGACATTGGCATTCATAGAGGTTGCGGTATGATGGCAAGCTCTAGTGAGGAATTGGCCTTTCCTACGTGCTTACCATGCATAGCTGATGCATTATCTTTGCTAAAGCATCGTTTGCAAACCAAGCACTTCTTCTTGAGGGAAAATCGTCGACATTGCTTGGGCTCAAGCCCATTGCCGGCTTCATGACAGACAAGTCTGACCAGCTCCAAAAAGCTTAGCCGTGATATGGCTCATGCAGGATTCTCCATACTCCATTAGATAAGTCTGATGCATGAATGAGGGATTAAACACGACTAGGACGAATGCAGCGCCTTCGTGATAGCGCATCGAGATATCGGCCCCCATGGCTGTCCGCGGAGCATCACCACGTCAAACAACTCACTAACTGACTCTGGAAGATACCCCCGACCAAAATGAAGTCAACATCATCCCAATAATGCATCTAACCCCAGAGCAAGTTCTCTCCACCAACTGCAGTCCAAGTGAATCCGATCCTTCAACCCGACAGGTGGAACGCAATTCTCCGGCGCCTCCACATTTCTCCGGCCTCCGTCTGGGGAAGAAGCAAGCCATGCATCACCGTATGATGCCATGATAGAATGTCAGTCTGGGGTAACTGACATTATGCAGAAGCTTGACCATCCCCGCATCCCCGGATTGCGTTGATCATCATATAAAATGGCCACAAAAATGAACAGGGTCAACCACCAACCAGCCAATTCCACCCCAATCCCAGACAATGCTCCTCCACGGCCTTCTGTTGGCCCTCCAGGCCATTCTAGCCTCCTCAGCAGCCATAACCTCCCCATCTTCAAACCATCTCTCAACGGCAGCTCGTGAGAAATGCCAAACAACCCTCCAATGCCCCCCCGGCACCCTCATCGTCTCCAACACCCACCCCCAACTCTCCAACTTCACCACCCTCCAAGCAGCCATCAACGCCCTCCCCAACGACAACTCCTCCCAAACCATCCTCCTCCTCTCCGGCACCTACAATGAACAAGTCAACATCACCCGCTCCGGCCCCATCACCCTCCTGGGCCAGCAGCCAGACCGCGCAGCCCTAACCGACCCTGCCCGCAACACCGTCAACCTCACCTTCGCCGGCGCCAACAGCGACAGCACCGGCGACATCGACAACGTCTGGTTCAGCGTCATGGTCGTTGCCCCGACCCTGGACGCGAGTCTCACCGGCTCCGGCACAACAGGATATCCAGTGCCAGCGGATACCCCGTTCGGGAACACTGATTTCCGCGTGTACAATATCGACTTCCGCAATACCTATGCGCCGTACTCTGCTGGTCCGGCGCATGCTATTAGCTTCAGTCGCTCCAATGGAGGGTTCTACTACTGCGGGTTCTACTCTTACCAAGATACTGTACTTCCCCCTCCCTCCCCCTCAACCCTACCCCCCCCAACCACAATACTAACAAGTAAAACCAGATCTACATCGGCAAACTCGGCTCCGCATACATGTACAAATCCATTCTCGCGGGCCAAACCGACTTCCTATACGGCTTCGGCACGCTCTTCATCCAATCATCCCAGATCGTCCTCCGCTCATGCGGCGGCGGCATCACCGCCTGGAAGGGCACCAACACAACAGTCCGGAACAACTACGGCGTATACATCCACGACTCGACCGTAAACGCAGCGAACACCTCCATCGCAGAGCAAATCAAGGGATCCTGCGCCCTAGGAAGACCGTGGAACTCACTGCACCGATCCATCTTCGCGAACACGTACGAAGACGGAAGCATCGAGCCATCGGGATACATTAACTGGGAGGATCGGTGGAGTCAGAACGAGACGTTGATGGCGGAAAATAAGGCGTATGGGCCAGGATTCAACCTCACAGGGAGGAGAGAGAGCGAAGTGTCAGTGTTATTGAGTAGCAGCGAGGAGGAGAGGTATCGGGATCCGAGCAGGGTGTTCTTGTTTGAGGATGGAAGGGAGGGCAATGTGGCGTGGATTGATTGGGATGTGGTCTCCTCCTGATAATCTCAGTCTTCTTCCCTTGAATCAGTAGTTATGTACATAAAACACACAAGTCAATCAATCACCCCTTCTGAACAAGATCATCCAGTTTCCCGGAAATGGCTAAATACGCCGCTCCCGTATCAGCCCAAACCCTATACTCCTGTACTTTCCACTCTCCATCAGAGTCTTCTTCTTCTCCTCCATCTTGTGCAATCGCCAATCTATACACAAATCCCTCGTCCCAGCCCATTTCTGTGCGTTTGGCAATGAATCTCGCCCATCCTCGTACACAAACACATCCTTTCTCCTCGTCGATCACCCAATCCTGCTCGTCCTCGAATCTCATCCCTTCGTAGCGTAGCGCAGAGCCCATCGTCTCGAAGTAGCGTTTCACTCCGTCTTGGCCGGTGAAGTCGCGGCCTAGGAAGGGGGCGAGCTGGGGGAGGCCGGCTTCGTGGATTAATGGGGGTGTGGAGGGGGAGGAGGTGAATTGGGCGAGGATCGTGGATAACGGGGGAGGGGGCGATTGGGTGAGGGTTTTGAGGAAGGTGTGTGTTGTTTGTTTGAGGATTCTCTTGTCTGGCGGCATTTTGGCGGTGATAGTTGGGTGGTGTTTACTTAGTTGCAGGAGGTATTGGTATAAGTAAGAAGGTATAGATGAATGACGTATGATCTATGACACATGACATAACTGAATTGAACCTGACAACCAACTCCTCGCCTATCACCCAACACCATGGGGAAATACAAATTGAATGGATGAGTAAAAACATGAATGAGTATAATAAATCGATTTTGGCGGTTTGGTCACTGCTTCCATGACTTGCCGCAGTTCATACACGTACAAAACAATGTCATCGGTTCGTCCGCACTGCGCGTCTGCGCTTCCGTATATGTCACCTTGCGCTGTCCACACTTGCCACATTGCAAGCTCGTACTGATACTCCGCTCCGCCTGTGCCACCATCGCCTTGTCCATGTTCTCCTTTTGAATCTTGCGGTCGCGCTCCTGCTGTTCCGCCGACCGGAGCTCGTCGTGCGACATCCGGACGAATTGTTCTGGCGTCACGTCGCCGTTGAGGACCCGCACTCGCAGTGTCGGGTTCGATTTGTTCTTGAGGTTCTGGTAGAGACTGCGGATCTTCGTGCGGTATTGTTCCTTCGTTTCCGGTCCGAGGTCGCTAAAGGCCGCCGCTTCGACGGCCGACGCCTTGGACAGGACTGTGCGGGGGGGTTCAACCGAGTTGAGACACAGCCCATCGTACATCAAGCCGATGCAGCTGTCGCGAATTCTGTTGCCGGTCTGGTTGGTGTCCACGCCATCGGCCTTCCAGGTACGCTTGTCGGGAGGCACCGAGAGCTTCGAGGCCTTATCGGAGGGAGTCGCACCGCCGGAGGGGGTGCCGTTGGTTTTCGGGTGGGGAGAGCTGCTCGACCGTTGACTAGCGCCGGGGGAAGCCCCGGCCTTTTGCTTGTTCACTTCGTGGCGCCACTTGGAGACGATTTCGCTCGCGAGACGGGCGACTTCGGGAGATTTGTGTTGTTTAAGTTTGTTGACGGCGATACCGACACGGGTCGATCGCAGCAGGTCTTCGGTGGCTTTCACCCCTTGTTGCAGCTGCTTGAGCAGTGGTATGATGGTAGAGGGAGGTTCGTTGGAAGAGGCGGCCTTGGTCATGGCCTTGGCCCGGAGCTCGATTTCTTTGGCGTCCATAGACATGGTGGTGGATATGAGTAAATAGGTAGATAGAGATAGATCGATGTATATAGAGCTTATAGCGCCTGTGATGGTTAGCAGGATGCTCACACGATAGTAGGTACAAGCGACATGTGCTGCGATAGCGAGTAACAGTATGTGCGACAATACGCAGGAACAGACTCAAGCAGGGGTGGAGTCGGGACAGTTGTACGTGTGGGACAGTGCACGTGCGAGATTCGCTGGACAAGTATATACTTTGCCCGGCGATGCAGGGAATGCAAAAGAACCAAGCCACAAACAAGTGAAGTGTATGCGCCAGAAGGGAAAACCGGAGGGATGCGTTGAGATGGTGGAGGGACTCACTCTGTCGCACGAGCCGGTGGGATTCACCGTTCCGGGAATGGAGGAGAGGAGAGATGGATGAGGTTGAGATATTGTAAACTCTCGTATTAACTGAGAGGAGGATTTGCAGGGTTCTCGCGGCAGGGGAGGATGCAGCGAATGAGAACCGGAAGAAGATGAGTTTGAGAAGATGGTAGGAAGAGAGAAGAAGCCGCAGCAGAGAGGCAGTGGAAAGTTGCAGAAGAGAAGAAGAGAAGAAGAAAGCAGCAAAAGCAAGTCGCTTTCGCTGGAATTGCGATGGCGCCAAGCCCGGGGTTTCCTGATTGGGAATGGTGGGGGGGGGGGCCTGCAGTGGGAATAGCATCAAGTTGTGGTCATCTTGACACTTATACAGAGTCTCAAAGACTCACAACTGACTCAGTACTATGCCATGATCAAGTAAGCATCTGTGAAAGCTGTAGTTACCTCACCACTACCCCAATATCTACAACACTACTATAGTATACCTACAACACACTACTACTTCTACCTTCAATCATCTCCAACACCCATTTCACCTCCTCCACCACTACCTCCGGCCTCACCAAATGCACCTGATGTCCACAATCCACCTTTACCAACCTCGATCTCCTCGACAACCTCAACTGCTCCCTCTGCCACTCCCCCACCACCTCCTCGCACCTCCCCAGAAACCTTCTAACCGCCTCTCTCTGCTCTTCACTTCCATTCCCCATCTTCACTCCCATCTCATAAACCCTCTGATAATCCTCCCATCCCCGTCCCATCACCACAGACAATGGCGTCTCCCCTAACCCTTCTCCTTGTAACTGCCTCTTCCCCTCCAACTCCTTACAAACCCCCACCAAGTTCCCTCTCTCAGCCTCCCACATCCCCATTCCGCGCGCAATATCCCTCGCCCTCTCTCTCCACTCCTCACGACTCAACTTAGCGTTCTCGCGTAATCCCGTCACCGTAGCGAAATTCATCTCCCCTAATAGAGCAGCAAGATCACTATCCAGGTTGGGATTATCTTCGAACAGTTTGTATTGATGCTCCGTTGATCCTTCGGCGAGTACCATACCACCTATATCTGCAGGATAAAGATGGAGATACTCCCTTGCGATGATGGCGCCGTACGAGTGTCCCACTAAGATGTACGGTGGTGGGAGATCTGCGTTCGTAAGTAGAGTGTGTAGTTCGCTGGCAGCGAGAGTCGCGCTGGGCTTGTACTCGGTATCTAAATCTGGGTCATCGCTGCGCCCGAGACCGGTGCGGTCGTAGACAAGACACGGGGCGAATGGGCTCAGTAACCGGATTACAGCGGTGTAGCTGGACGAGACGTCGCCGGCGCCGGCGAGGAAGATGGTGAGAGGCTGGGTGGTGCGGGGTGGGCCGTGCAGATGCAGGTACAGCTTGTGGGGGCCGATGGAGATGTGGGTGCCGGTGTAGAGAGGATTAGTTGACATGCTGATGCTAGGTAGTAATATGTTTGAGATGAAGGAAGCGGGTGTATGAGTGGATTGTAAGAGTATAGGCTTGCAGGAATAGTCACATGGTAGTTAGTTAGCTATTTTCTTGGGTGTCTAGCTGACAGACTAAGTAGTAAGGTATAGACTAGTGCATCATTCCTCATTAGCTCCTTATCATGTAATCATATGCTATTGACGCTCAAAGTAAATTGGCAACAAAGATCTAATGTCAGAATTGAGACCCCTTGGGGCGCAGATCCACCGTCTCGAACTCCAATCCTTTTGCCTCAAATACATGTCCCGGGCGCAGCGCATCTGTGTAAATGTTTGCCTCTCCATGGGGATGGAAGAGTCCCGACTGCGTGCAGTTGAGCACCGTCTTCAGCCCCGGAGGATCCGTCAGCCGGAACACTCCCCAGTCGGGCGTCTTGCTGGGCGCGCACACGATCGCAATGCTCTCCGGCAGCATCACCTGGTATCCGCAATGTGTGTGGAGGTCGCGCGAGCTCATAAAGCACGTCTGTGTCGGGTGCGTGTGGATCCAGCCGAGCACCATCAAGTCCTCTGAATCGCAGTAGTCGAAGATCGCAGACTCGTTCACCGTCTCGCACGTGTCCGACGTGGCCGTCTGTTCAGGGATGAGGAGCCTCGAAACGAACAAGGCGTTGGAGACTAGCGTGCCGCACAAAATGCCGCACGTCTCTAGATTGCGCTGCGTATTCGGGGATACCAGTGAGATGAAGTGCTTGCGTAGATCAGGTGGCAGGAACAACGTCCGCAGAGGCGTTCCGTTCTCTAGATAAGCAGAGGGCTTGAAGGTATAGCTGGACGGGTCCAAATTTGGGCTTGCAGCCGACCCATCGGTTGCTGGAACCTTTCCAGGAAGCACAGGAGGCTCAGCCGGGATCGCTGCGGGCGAGACCTTGTCTGGACGAGGTGGAGGTGAAGGTTCTTCAAGGCCAGCCAGTTCATGTACATACGAAGTTTCCTTAGGAGGCAGTGCGGGCGCTTTGGGCGGAAGAACAATCCTCTTCTCAGGCTCCACCTTTGCGGCCGACGGAACTTCCAGCGGCTTCTGACGAGGGACGCTCGGATACTTGTATGCGCCGGTTGAAGAGGTTGCGGCAGATGGCCGGACCATAGGCTTAGTGGCAACCTGTGGACGGTGATCCGCCCGCGGATCGTCCATCTGGATTCTCACGTTCTGTATGCGTCGGCTCAAGTCATCGTCCTCGGTTCCATCTTTGCGCAGGGCATGCTCCCAGTCTCCCCACACGCCAGCAGCCCGACGAGTCTGCTCCTCTTCAGGTGTTATGCCTGCTTGTCGGATAGCCTTTCGGACAGTTGCTCGTCGGCTAAGCTCCGTCCGAGCCAGCTGCACCGCCAGGTCTTTGTTCTCTCCTGCTTCCAGAGGTTCTACGACCCCTGCGAGGGCGGGATCTTGAGGCGGTCTGTGGGTTGAAGTGGGAGTGTTATTCTCCGCTGCTGGTGCGCGAGCTTGCCGTTCACGCATCAACTGAGTATAGCGCTCGTAGCGTTTGTTGATCCGGGGTTTCAGAACTTCGAGGACCTTTAGGTTCCGTTTGACCTCCTTTTCGGCTTCCACTAAAGCTTTCCGGTTCTTTTCATCTCTGGCCTCTGGATGCTCCGCCAAATTGACAAGTACCAACTGAGCATGGCGAAACAATAAAAGGTAGGCTTGTTCTTCGTGCTTTTCGCGTTCGTAAATCCGAGCCTAAGCCACCACATCAGTCAGCTCACTCCACAATAGCCAAGCAGCAGGTTTACCAACCTCTCTCATGAGAGTAGACGCTGTTCGCAGCCAGTAGCGTAGAGGTATAGACGGGTTGTACTCATAATCCTGAGCCATGCGAGTGATTGATTCCACACTCTGCGGGGACCCCGCACCGGTGGCCGGAGGTAGATGGGCGGCCATGGCTGCGCATGAGACGATGGCAGTCGATGATGAGAATTAAATCGAAGAGAAATCAGCAGGCCTGTCGCAGCAGTCGCAGTTCATTGACGTCTGGCGCGAGACCAGCGGCAGTCGTGGTGGGGGCGTGCCGCATGTAGATGATAGGCAGCAGAATCAAGGCACCGAATGATCGGGTTGAGTTCAGGCACGTATTGTGGAGCAGGCAATTTATAGCTTTAAGTCAGGGTGCATCGTGTTTGCATTCCACCAACCGAGCGGGGTGGGTGATAGTTAGTCAGGTACAGGAGAGAAGTGCAGAAGTTGGGATCTTTTAAGTTCGGCGGAGCTGCAGAGATGATCGCCGGCAAGTCGCGCTGGCATTTGTTCCTCTCCATCTCTCGGCCTCTGCTCCACCTTCACTTCCATTCTTCTCATTCGGCCCGCTCAACCATGACGCCGTCCGCCAGGGTCCTCTTCCTTGAATACCAGAAAGGCTGATCGCTTTGCATCTTTTGGTCTCGTCCGCAGACCTGGTGCCCTACAATGGCTCCACGAGCCTCAGCTCTCGCCCGGTTTCCGCTCGCGAAGTCGATCGCCAAGTGCTTCCCCGGCCACCTCAAGCGGAGAACCAACAGGAAACCGGAGATTGTCAGTGAGGCGCTATGTGGTGAGTGAAGCAGTGTGATGTTGTTTCATGTATTTTTCTAACACGCCTTTGTTTCCGCAGATCATGCTCTGCAGCGCCTGTCACCGTACCTCCTCCGCAATCGGCCGTTGGACATCCTCGACCTCTGGCCTGGAGCTGGCCTCTGGTCATCCAAGATCAACAACCTTCTCCAACCACGACGCCATGTCCTCGTTGAACCCGAGCTGCAGAACTTCCGCCCGCTACTAGACCCGCTGGCCCAAAGCCATCCGTCCTACAAGCTACTGTCCATGGACGTCTTCTCCATCGGCGACTGGAAACCTGTGCTCACGGAGCATTTCCCCGAACAAGGACCGGACAATGGCGATCATACCGGAGTTCTGCCAAAGAACGACATCCTTCTAGTACTCGCGAACCTCCCCGCCACGACCTCCGACAAAGACCATTTCACCGCAGGCAGATGGTGGCAGATGTTCATGGAGACCTGCATGCAGCAGACGGGACTACACTCCTACGGAGCTATCCGATTGCTGGCGTCTCTACCATCGACAGAATCACAGGCTATCATTCCCCGCTACGTGGTCGATCGCCGACGGGTTTCGCTTTGGACGGAGAATGTTGCGCTACACACCTTTGAAGTCGCCGCTCCTCAAGACGAGAAATTCTGGGTCAACCACAAAGGGTTCAACGTCGCCATAGACAATGCCGCGCGTGTCGCTGAAAGGGCTGCCGAAAAGAACATCATCACACCTCCCGGAAGGGAATTTCAACCGCTCCTCCCAGCCCCGGAGAGCCCCGACCCCGGCCGGAAACCAGTGCCTTACACACCGCGCATAAGAACAGCCCTCCACGACAGATTCTGCGAAGACATCCAAGCCCTGGACAACATGGACAAGTCCTCCCCAGGCTACGCTGAAGCGAAGAAGAAGCGCAGTCGCGCGCAGACCCGTCTCAACCGAGACAACCGACAAGCATACTTCCTCCAGCAAATGGTCGACCAGTCGCGCGAGATCGACGCCCAATACGATGCTCTATCACGAGCAGCCGCCGATCCGAACACGACCTCCGCCGACTTCAAGCCTATTCTCGACAAAATATCCGCCCTGCGGAGCTCCATCACCGACGAAGGCCAAGAAAACTACCACGACCACCTCAAACAATTCCCCCACATCCACGACAGCCACCGCGCCTCCCTCCGCAGCAACAACAACTTCGACGACGCTCTCCTAGCCTGGGACCGCCGTCCCTTCGAACCCCTCCTCATCCACCCGGAAGAACTCTACCCCCAAGGCATCGACCGCAGCATAGTCTATTTCGAACCGAACCCCAACTCCCCCGTCGTTGAAAAAATCAACGCCCTCGATCCCTCCCAACGCGGCGACGCCTTCCGCCTCTTCGAAACCCTCTCCCTCTCCCTCGGCCGTGGTCGCGAAGCCCTCTCCGTAGCTGAAGTCCTCCAGCTTATATTCCCGGGCCGCTCCACCAACGACATCGTCAAAGCCATCCCCAGTCTAGCCGAATATGCCGCAAAGACACCAAAACCAGACTTTGACAGTCTCCCGAAGACCATCCACGGGGGCGAAGACCCGGCGACAAGTTTCCAGGAGAACCTGGACTACGACCTGAGTGATGTGCGCGTGCACATTCTCTCGACATCGACGATCTGGGATATTTGCATCGAGTATCAGCGCAGCGGGGTCTCGGTGTCAAGTGTGCAGTTGAATCGGTTGTTTGGGGGGACGTTGACGTCGTATAAGACGGGGGTGCATCGCGAGATGGTGAAGAAGAGACTCCACTGATGAGAGTATCTTGAAATGGATGTATTTGTATTTTGGTCATGAGATATGTATAACTAGTATGTACTGTACTATATGATAGATGATAGACTCTCCTCAAAATGATAGAATAGATACTAGGGATGAAACTGTATGTGAGCCAGTAGCATGATCATCTCATTTAGAAATGGATTTGTTTCCAGTTCAAGTTGACCCCTGGAAGGTTGTTTGAGAAAATTACTTACTATCATACTACATACACATCACGTCGGTTATCCAGTGTCTCGTAAATCAAGGATCTACTGCTTGGTCCAGCATAATGAAATAAAATTACATGTGAGATTTTTGTATGACTGAAACATGGCTATTCATGATGGAGATATTAGTAGTAGGTATCCTTGGATTCAACACAAAGAGCTGCTTATATCTGAATAAGCTATAGTTGGACTTGGATCACAGATTTTGTATGCATACTAGATGTAGTTAAAACATGATGCTATGACTGATATGTATGAAGTTCGTTTCACTGTTGTTATTGTCATTAGTATAGCAGAAAAGGATGAGTAATGGAAAATGTATTTGTTTCGTCTGCACATCTATTCTAACGGGTATCTTGAATGTTTCTGGTTGAAGTGAACATAATAGTAAAAGAAAAGAAAAAAAGAAGAGAAAGAAGAAGTCAAGAAGATAAAGAAGATAATCTTCAGACAAAGTCTGACAAATGTGAAAGAAAGATTAGAAAAGAGGCTAAGTGAAGAAATGGCCGAAGATAACGAGAGATTAAAAAGGGGTCTGAGATAAGAACGCGGGATGCGATAACGAAAGAAAGGCAACCATGGCCAAAGTTAGATCGAAATAGACTCGACCAGGTTGACCCAGTCAGCGGGCTTGATGCGCTGGCTCGGGTCTTTGACAATGGCCGGTTTGATGATTTGTTCGACGATCCCGTTGCGCGGTATGCGAGATCCATTCGGCCCGGAGCGAGCAAACTCAATCACGCGGTGGCCTTCACGGGCCATGGCCAGTCGTTGAAAGTGGTTGGCACCCGGGTAGAGGAGTAAATCGCCTGTAGCAGCAGCGAGCAGAGTAACGGCTAGAGAGAAGACGTCAGACTCTGGGGTTGGCGCCACATCTGGGGACTTTAATGATGAGACGCATAGAAGCTCCGGGGCTGTAAATGGTGGTGTTAGAGCCGTCAGAGCCGTGCCCAGACTACTTTCGGGGGAGGAAGGATTGCTGATAGGGTGAGCGGAGGAGAAATCGGCGAATAACGGTTCGTAAGGGAAGTGGTCGGATTTCAAATCGTCGCCACTTGAGCGTGCACGGAGCAAGATGTTGTGAGGCTTGATATCACCATGCACCATCTGTGGCCCGTCATGGAGCCAACACAGTCCGGTGATCAGTTTCTTTGCGAGGTCATGCCACTGGGTCATGCCCTGAATGGGCTCGAACATAGTTCTGGTGGTCTTGTTCTGCAAAGCCACAGCGGCTTGTTCTTCGATATACGTTGAGAGCGCCAACGGCACTGCTGACATGACGATGGAGTGAGAGTCGGCGATATATCCCTTGAAGGGTACAACATGGTTCTGTGACCCAGCGACACGACTGACCCGGGTCAAGGCGAGCGCTTCGGCATCCAATATGGAGTGCGCATCCCGCCTTGCGGGGGACTTGACCGCTACCGTGCGGGCTTTGACAGCTGGAGAGCTGGGAGGCGTAAGCAGGTAGGGCTTGGAGGACTCGCATGGAGTAGCTTTGTAGACAACACTCCAAAGACCGCGGCCAAATTCAACAGGCCGGCCTCTGGGGTCCGTATGGTATTCCAACTCATCTGTAAATGAGTCAGAGGTGGACACGGTGCGATCTTCCGCATCGACATCCTTGAGTTTTCCCTCGATGGGCGACAAGAATGGACTGGAAGCCCCAGAATGGAGGGTGGCAATGCTGCCTGAAAGGCTCTCGTCATCTACAGTAGGAGTCACCGGAGGAGTCATTCCGGGCACTACTAGAAGAGGCGGCGCGCGAGTATCCGTATCATGTTGAGTGCGAACAGAGAGCGGGAACGGCATATGCGTAGGAGTCATGATGGACAACTCTGAAGAAGCAGATGCCTCTGTGAAGATCGCAAGAGGCGGGGATAGCGGGGAAGGCGACAGTTGAAATCGGTGCGACGATTTGGTTTGGTTTCAGCGCCGATAGGACCAGGGATCTCCGGTCAGGAAAAGCGATAAGAAAAAGACCCGCGTATCTATGTTGGACTGGCGCGAATACGAGATGAATCACTAGAATGTCTGCCGGTGTCGCTTGATTTCCGAGGACTTTGAATAAGATTTAAAAGAAGCAATAGCAGGCATAGAAACCAGGACTATAACCAATGACGAGGCAGTTGGTGGCAAGCCGGTTGGATGACGTCGGCACCGGGATTCGAGTCCGTCTGGCGCTTAAGACTGACTATTGATGGGCCAAGGTGCAGGAAGATGAATAGGACAGGAGATAGCGGACTGATGAGGATTGCAACATATACATGATCTAGAATAGAGGAGTAGAAGAAGTAGACAATAGTGAAAAGTAGAAATCAACGCAAAGCAGGGAGAGAAGAATTTGAGGAGGCGACGAGTCTCGACCCGGTGGATTTGGAAAATGCAAATTAATTATTTGAAAAAAGAGAGGGAGCAACTGGATAGATCGACAGAAAGAGCGATAGCTTAATTGTGACGGAGGAACCATGGGTGATTACAGCAAACCGTCGCAAGTAACCGTGACATGCCAAATAGATAGTTCAGTTCCACCCACCGGGGCGAGTCTTGGCCTGGCGGGGAGTCCATCCTCGTAGTCCCACTAACATGCTCGGAGCAGCATCGGCTCTTTTCGGGTGTGCATTTTCCATTTCGATCCCGAAGCAGTATGTTGAAATTGGGAGTTGAAATGGGGGAACGCAAACTGGGGTAAGGTTTGATGAGCAGGAAAGCCGCAGCAGCAACCAGGAGAAGTGAGAGCCCTGAATGCGACTGCAAGAAAAGAAAGGGAAAAAAGCGAGACTGAATGGAATTGCGACTTTCGCGTTTTTCCCACACTGCACGGACACTATCCCCGATTGGGCGTTAGTCTCCCGTCGTTAGTTGTCCGGCTGCCTCAATATGGCAAGCCGGTGGGTCCAGCTGGCCCCTCAACCCTCGAATTTCGTGCATTTTCTACTTGTTAGTCGACTTAGTCTCCTTCTCATCCAGTCATTCGGGCACAAACGGCTGTCACCCTCGCATTCTCGCCCTGGGAAGGCCGTCGCAAAGGGTGAACGAATAACCATAATTCCATCCTTGTTTTGTGGTGTCCCCACCCCCTAAAAAAGGATGACGAAGACCTTGAAAAGTGTGACACACGATGCTGCAGGAATTACTATCCTCAAGGTCTTCACATTCAACCACTTCACGCGCGTCGTGGCGTCTGCTGGACACTGCAGGGAATACACATTGTGGTTGTTGGTCTCTCAACCAGCCTGAGACTAGTCGATCTTATCGTAACATTCCCCGACCAAGGAAAAAAAGAAAGCACATGGGTACATGCAGACCATGGCTCATCCTCCCTGCGGTAGTCCTGCAGGCGCCCTTCTTCCTGCGTGGATGTATCAAACGGTATAGCGGCCCCGTTTCAGTCTGGCGAGGATCCCATCACATACTCCGAATAAGGAAGGATGAACGAAAATTCGAACCTTCGACTGTGGCTGCTTGAAAGGGGGAAGACGAGGACGAACCCAAAAAAGGCCTGTTCAAGAGACAGCCGAGGACGTAACCCTCGGACGGGGCCTCAGCCAATCTCCACCCCCACGTGGGTCATGGTCAGCCAGGGAAATTGCCTGCCATTGAGACGCTCTTTTAATCTCCACTCTGGCATCCGACCTCCTACCAAACAGCGTATCTCTCAAATAGTTTCAGTTACTGTCACATCAGGTGCATGACCCTCCCACTGGCCATCATAATCCTCGCATATAACTACTCACTAGGGCCAATCCTAGTAGCGTGGAGGTATCTTCGGGTCCTTACGCGACTCATAAAATTCCCTCCTTTCCGAAGTGCTGACACTGTCACCTCTCTCAACTCCACTATCTACTGCGAGTCGGGGGCAAAGCCTCGCAATCTGATATCTCACTTCACCATACGGGATTAAAGGAACGGTTCCCGACGCAATGACCTGGCACGGAACCGGTGGATGGCTCTGGAATAGCACACATCGCCGTGCCAAGCGCGCACGGGGCCGACGCTAGTTGTGGCTGTAAGGCTGTCTCGGAATCCGTGGTCTGCGATTACCTCCAGCAGGGACCTTGAGGGTCGAAAACAATACTAGAAAATAGAGAATTTAGATACGAATTCAGGGATATCATTCAATTTACCAAGCATGCAATCCCCCCTGCCCAATCGCTCCAGCAAGGAGACTTCCATTTAAGCTCGTATAATTACTATGTACAAAGTAAAGGGGCAGACCCTAGCTCATCTCATTCCCGCGTCGTCTTCTTCTCAACATACTCCTTGAGATCCTGCAACCACGCCTCAAAGCATACTTCCAACTGTGCCCCTACCATCCAGCGAACCACATACGCCAGGGCTCCATTCTGCGCCTCCCAGTTGCGCACCTCCGTCCCCCGCCTCGTCTGTCCCTGCGCGTCCAGGATATCGACCTCCACGAACTCATGGACTCGTTCCGCCGCCAACAGTGAGGACATGATGCGTCCCTGCGCCTGCGCATCAAGAACCCAAACGATGCGACCGGATTTCTTGCTCTCGCTGGGCGGATCCCACTCCGTCACGACCAATGGAGTATCATTGTTCGCCTGTGCACGCTGTGGCTGGGACGAGCTGGTCGGCTTCATGTTCACGTGATAAGTCATCTTCGTCCCAGTCTGGAGGACCGGGGAGAGATCGCCCCCATCGGATCCGGGCTGCTCTCGGATAGTCACGGCAGGGACGAATCTGTTCCATGATGGCCAGGTAGAGGTGTCCATTAAAGTATCCCAGACCTCTTGCAGTGGAGCATCGATTATTGCGACACTCTGGCAGTGGCCGACAGCCTCGGACGCAGGGATATTGGGCGTCGGCATCATCGCGAGCGCCGACTTGGGTGTGGGGGCAGTCATTTCTAGAGAAGAGCTGATTGGATGTACGTAGATGTGAGGTACATGTAAAGAAAGACTATAGAGTGATACGCGATAGTAGAGAAATAGCTATCGAGCAAGAGAGCTATGACACTGACTGACAGGAGAAGTTTCGACGCCCGGCTCCACCCCCATGTGACCCCGGATAAACACACTTGCACGGCGCCATCACATACATCCCTGCAGCATACCAGCTCCCACTTCGTTTGACACGGACATTTAATCTACTTTTATTTGTTTTTTAGATATTGGGTCTATTTCATAATATGGCCTTCACGTACTCTTCACTTATTACATGAACATCCGGGGAAGCAGGAAGCTACCTTGGCTGTTGTCTGGGCAGCTCTCCACACTTGGCTAACTGTCACAATTTCTCCACCAATGCCAGCCTAACGCGGTGCTGTCTTGGTTGATCTATACGCCGATCAGGTCCCGCGCATACTCTACTCGCGGCCTCTTGAGGAAATTTCCCGGTTAATGGACCTGAGGAATTTGCAAATTTCCGAACGCTTGTCATGTCTAATGGCATGGCAATTGGAGACCCTGAACCTCGGGAGCGCAACATTATGTTGTGATATAAGTAAGGGTACGTATGCGAGTGTTACTGGTTATTCAGTGAGCTACTGGCTATTCACGCATCGTCATGTCTGTCTTCAAGGCATCATTCCTATTTCTTCTTTCCTCCTCACTAGTCCACGGAGTTCCACACTCCAGCAGAGCATCTCGGAGCCAACAATGCGTGGTTCCGTCCAAATACCAGGCATCGAATGGGACGGCTGATGACTCGGCTGCTGTCTCCCAGGCCTTTGCACAATGCGCGACTGACTCGGTTATTATTTTCGAGGAGGGTGTCAACTATAACATCTTTCAGCCGATCACCGCCACCAACCTCAGCAATGTGGAAATCCGGATGCACGGCAACCTGCATCTGCCACAGAATATCACTGCGGTGCAGAATATCGTCAGTGACGGTACTTCTACATGGTTTACCCTAGAAGGACCAAAAGTGGACTGGATTGGTCCCGAAGACGTGAACAATGGCTGGATCGACTCGTACGGACAACCGTGGTGGGATGCGAACCCTGCAGGTAGTTCAGGCATCGATAACCGTCCGCATCTCATGAGCTTCAAGTCTAGCCAAGCCACTTTGAAATACTTCAGGTCTAGGAAGCCCATCGCCTGGAATGTCAAACTGCATGGACAAGACATTACAGTCAGCCATGCTATTATCGACGCTACCTCGACAGGTAGCTTCCCATTCAACACCGATGGTTTCGATGTTGAGGGTACCAATATCCAGATCACCGACAGTATCATGTACAACGGCGACGATGCGATTGCAGTAGGCGCGGACTCGCACGACATACTTTTCACAAGAAACACCATCGGCTATCAGACTCACGGCATGAGCATTGGATCGCTGGGAAAAGATCCCACAGACTTCGCCAATATCAGCAACATCCGCTTTGACGATGTGACTGTTGTCGATGGGCTCTACGCAGCGCGCTTCAAGTCATGGAGCGGAGGGACCGGACTCGTCAAGAATGTGACCTGGAACAATATTAGAGTCTTCAACGTGACGTTCCCGATCTTTGTGACTCAGAGTTATAGCGACCAAGGCGCCTCCCGGTCTGGAACTGTCAATGCTAGTTCGGCTGTGATGATGGAGGATTTTACCTGGTCTGACTTTGCTGGCTCGATCAATACGTACCAGCCTGGTGACGGTTCTTGCGTCTCCGACCCTTGCTGGTACAACGTTGGGCTGCCAAATTTGAAGCATACGGAGGCCCTCATCATCGAGTGCCATACTGCTCAATCTTGTAAGAACTTTGTGACGGACAATATTCAACTATACCCGCAGGTTCTGGAACCAGCGAGTGTGATCTGCATGAACGCAACGGCAGCCCTCAATCCTGATCTTGGATTTACATGTAAAAACGGGACCTACAGCCCATTGTCCAATTAATGGAAACTAGTGATAATACAGATGCTTGATATCCAGCCCACCTTACTGCTTGATCCAAAGTGGCCTAAGCCATCCACAGGAAGCCACACCCGACACATCGACTTTCAGGAAGGCACACCCAAACTAAGCATATACAATAATCAATCCAAACAACTTCATTACTGTACTTCTTCTCATACCCAGTATCTATCGCTGATACACCATCCACTCGTTTGATAACCAAGAATCTGCATTATCACTACAGTCATAGCACGCATGTCCCACCCTATCACCAAATTCCAACCATTCCCCAATTTCTACGTCTACCGGCCAGGCTACATGGTCGTTCCTCTGATTCCCCTGGACGAGCTACCCTCCTGGATCCAAGTCGGCGATTTCGACTGGGGCAATAGCTCGCTCTACGAGGCTATGCTGCCCGCTAGCTTCAACTGCTTTCCACGAATAGGTGAATACGACGTTATCTGCCATCATTGCTACAAGAACGTCGACAGCTACCACCGCAGCGTGTCTGAGAGAAGTGACAGCAATGCCTCTTCTCGTGCATCCGACCTTCCCAAGGGGCTTGCTGCTCAGTTGCCTGCGAATTCTATCTTGCTGGACCCCTCGTTTAAACTTGAGCAGCCGCCGTTTGGGGCAAATTTGAATGTTAGTCCGTTTGTTGGACTGTGCTTCTCTTCTCAGAGTTTGGGAAAGCTGTGTAAGTGTCTGTGCTGTTGTCGGGATGATCAGAGCGATCATGATACTCCGCATCCGCCGAACAACCAGACTCAGGAGGATAACCAGACTCAGCAGAATAACCAGACTCAGCAGAATAACCAGACTCAGCAGAATAACCAGACTCAGGAGGATAACCAGACTCAGGAGGATAACCAGACTCAGGAGGATAACCAGACTCAGGAGGATAACCAGACTCAGGAGAATGATCAGGATCCCCCGTCTCATCAGGATACTCCTCCGCCTACGAATCCACCTGCAAAATCTCCTCCAGAATCACCGGGTCATTCGGATCCTTCGGTGCAGCTTGAGGAGGGAACGCCTCTAGATGATTTGTCTCATTTAGGCCAGGGATCCAAGGCAAAGCAAGCGTCTCAAGCAACGCAGGCATTCCCGACGAACGGGACTGATCAGACGGACCAGGAATTCGTGGCATCTCTGAGAGATCGAGCAGTCCAAATAGGGCATGCAGCCTTGTCAGGTCAGAACAGAGCTTCAGATATCGCAGTCTCTTCAACCTCTGGATCTGTCGAAGAAGCCCGGTCTCAGACGAATGGGGAAGATGAAGCTGCAACTTCGGGAGACACTGGAAACAACTTCCTTGGGAGGAGGCGAGTGCCGCATCGAGACGAACCGAATCGCCGGGGTCGGTTATTCGAAGGCGACGTGGATCCTTCCCTAGGAATAGGGCTTGGTAGTATTGCTTCTATTATGGGAGGATCATCGGAGACTCCTGTCTCTACCACCGAGGTGAGTGTGTCTTTTGGTCTTTGCATTGTTATTAGCCCGTTCTATTTGGTCCGCTCTTCTACAGTAGCTGACTAGACAGGAGCAACCTGGTAACCAGGGAGGTGATCAGACACAGCATGCTCAAACTGGCATTTCAGAGGATGGACTTGATTGAATGGGTTTTTAAGTGATTGGACAGACTCGGTATAGTTTGGTTTGGCAACTAGAAAGAGGTGATGGGTCATGTAGTTTTCCTTCAGTATGCTTGATCAACACTAGTAGGTAGCGCTAGTTCATAATGATTCCCCGATACCTACTATGCAGTCCTTACAGTACATCCACACATCAAAATAGGGTATACACCAACACATACCATACTACACTACCACTCAAACCCATTCCCCCCAACCCACTGCGGATGCAAAAACGGCGCACCACTCGACCTCCTCGTCCCCTCCGACAACCTCCCCTCCACATCCCCCCAACCCCCAGTCCCATGACTGGCCCCCTCCGCAGACCCCGAAACAGAAACAGAATCCCACCTCAACTCCCTCATAATCTGAATCCCTTCTCCCCCACTATCCCCCTCTCCACCCCCATTCCCATCCCCATCCTTATTCCCATTCTCAACCCCAGACCTAACACTCCCCGCATCCCCCCACACACTCGTCGAAACCGTACTCCCCGGCGCAAACATATTCCCACCGGCCCCATACACACTCAAGAAATCAAAATCGATATGTTCCGGCTCATTCCTCGACCCTCTCTTCGAGAGAGACTTCCTAGTCCGAGATTTGGATATCGTTGGTGGTGGTTGGCCTGCGGCTGCTTCTGCTGCTTTGTTGTTGTTGGGATTACTGTTTGATCTGGAGTCTTTGTCTCTCTGGTAGGAGCGCATTCGTGATGGGATTAGTTTGGGGAAGATGCGCACGAGGAGCGGGCGCAGAGGGGGTAGACATGCGCAGATTATGGCGACGTTGGATTCGACGAAGGACCAGGTTGCGGCGAGGCCGTTTCCTGCTGTTTGTTTTGTTAGTATGGATTGGAGGTATAGGGTAGGGTACGGAAGGGAGTATACAGGTGAAGTCTGGGTCTCGGAGGAGATGGACGATGGTTGATAGACGGACGATGCTTGTTGCGCAGACACTGTAACCATTACCATCATTAGTTCTTTCCTATACCGACGGAAGAAAGAGGGGGGGGTTGTATAAGATAAGAGAGTAAGGGGGACATACAAAAACCCCAATGCAAAAATAACCAACAGCGCGGCCTTCTGCCTTTTCGGCAGATTTAAATTCGCCAGGATGGGCAAGGGAAGCACAACGAGTATCAGATCAGTGGTGATCTGGAACGCGGCATTCAGACACCATACTACATCCTCGGGGAGACATGTATGCGGGATAGACGTATCCCAGAAGGCGTTTATGGGGATACAGAATATCAAGGTACTGAGGACCATCCAGAGGCCGGTTATGATGACGAAGATGAGGGTGAGGATGAGAAGGATGCGGTAGGTGTGGGTTGGGAAGAGGCGGCGGTAGAGGAAGATTAGAGATAACTTGGTGAGGGTGAGGGTTAGGTTGTAGAGGGGGATTGTTATCCAGAGGGCCTTGATTTAATTCACTTCATGGTTAGCAACTATATCAAGTATGGAAATAGGGTAGTATAGAGGGGGAGTATACCTTTAATTGCCTCCTCACCACCTCCGGAGCAAGATCTGCTTCGTTTTCGGCGAGGCCGTTTTGGATTTCTATTGTATACATTGTTAGCATTTATCGTTCATTCCAGATATATCATGCAAGCATCGCATCGTCTTACCTATGACAAGGAAAGCGAAGAACACCACATCAGTCGCCTATACCCACCACATCACATCATATCAGCACTGCATATCATCTATCCAGAGAGTATACTGCCTACCAACGACAATACAATCAACAAATCATCCCATCCCGGTTTCCTCACCAGTTTCAATCGCGTATACAGTCGCAACGCGACCGTGACCGTCGCCAGGCAAAGGAAAACGATTCCCACGGGCAGGGCATACATCCTGCTGCGGTGAACTGACGACGTCTACTACCTGGGAATGCAGGAAGCAACGGCATATTTTGTCGATATTGAAGAGGCCATCTTTTCTTGTAGTTATTCCTTTTACGAGGAGAAAAGATTTCAGATGTCGTCGGTGGCCAAATGCTAAGCCCGAGGTTGCAAGGCCGGATCCAGATCTATTGCGTCAAGGATACTGATAAAGTCAAATCCCCGCGGATATTGCAGAACTGGGCTGGTTGTGCCACCACAACTGGCTCGTATCCACGGTTCGGTCCGTTGGCATCCAGATTCATTGCTGGGCTCGCTTAGGAAATGTTCCAGAAAACTGTATAATGTCTAGAAGACTGCGTAGTTGTCCGGAAGACTGCTCAAGTCTAGAAAGGTGCATAATATCCAGAAGACTGCGTAAGTTCAGAAGACTGCGTAATGTATTTTCATTATTCAGGCATGTACAAGTTTCATGAGACATGGGAGGCAAACTTCAGTTGCAGTATACATGTGGTTTTAAAAACAACTGCCTGTCAACCCCTCCATCCCCTTTCATAAAATCTACATAAAATGCAACCCGTAATTCTAAGAGTTTTGACTCAATGAGTCACGCTAGCGTAAGTGTATCAATGCAAAATCAATCGGGTATTTAGAGGCGGGACTTGAGGTTGGCCTTGAGTCTGCGCTCAACGGCAGCCAGGTACTCGCGGGTAGTAACCCAGGCCTCACGCTCCTTGCGGCCGCAGGCCAGAGCCAGATCCTTGGTCATGATGCCCTCCTCGTTGACAACGTCAATGCAAGCACGCTCAAGCTCCTCAGCAAAGGCAACAACATCGGGAGTCTCGTCGAGCTTGCCACGCTGCACCAGACCGCGGGTCCAGGCGAAGATGGAGGCAATAGGGTTGGTGGAGGTCTCGCGGCCCTTCTGGTGCTCGCGGTAGTGACGGGTCACGGTACCGTGGGCAGCCTCAGACTCGAAGGCCTCGCCAGTAGGGGTGACCAGAGTGGAGGTCATCAGACCAAGGGAGCCGAAACCCTGGGCGACAATGTCGGACTGGACATCACCGTCGTAGTCTGATCAGTTAGCTAACGTTCAGTTGCATTTAGAGGGAAAGACATACTCTTCAGGGCCATGACGAATCCACCCTCACTCTTGATCATCTGGGCAACCATGTCGTCAATGAGACGGTGCTCGTACCAGAGGTTCTTGGCCTCAAAGTCCTTCTGGTAGGTGCTCTCGTAGATTTCCTGGAAGATGTCCTTGAAGCGACCATCGTAGCGCTTGAGGATGGTGTTCTTGGTGCTCATGTACAGAGGGAGACCCTTGAGCAGGGCCATCTGGAAACTGGCGTGGGCAAAGCCACGGATCGACTCATCGGTGTTGTACTGGGTCTGGGCAACACCACCACCCTGGAAGTCGTAGACCTGGACGGTCTCGGGCTCGCCATTGGCGGGGGTGTAGACAAGCTCGAGCTTGCCGGGACCGGGGATGACACGGTCGGTGGCACGGTACTGGTCACCGAAAGCGTGACGACCGATGATGATGGGCTTGTTCCAGCCGGGGACGAGACGGGGGATGGTAGGGATGATGATGGGCTCACGGAAGACGGTACCGCCGCTGCAGAGTTGATTAGCAAACTGAGCTGAATAACAAGGATTGCAGCAAGGGATACGAACAGGATGTTACGGATGGTACCGTTGGGGGACAGCCACACTGGAAGCAAGGGTTAACATTGACTCCTCTTTCACATGCCGATCGGTATGCATACTCTTCTTCAGCTTGAACTCCTCAACACGAGCCTCATCGGGAGTGATGGTGGCGCACTTGACACCGACACCATACTTCTTGATAGCCTCGGCAGCCTCAACGGTGACCTGGTCATCGGTCTGGTCACGGTATTCGAGACCCTGCAATGTCTGTCAGTCTCCTCCCAGAACACCAATTCTTGCCACAAAGAAGCCTACCAGGTCATAGTACTTGAGGTCGACGTCAAGGAAACTAGGCAGTAATGTCTTAGTCGACTGGATGGATGGATCAAGAATCGGAAGAAATCGACTTACGGCAGAATCAACTATAGAAGCGGGGCCGAGTTAGCGTGTGAAGATGCGGGAGAGAACGGGAGGAATGCATCTGGAGCTGATGCATGGCGGGGCAGCCGAGGGCCAACTACATACCTTTTCTCTGATCTCCTGCCAGATGATACGGGTCATCTAGTAAACGCCAACGTTAGCACATGTCAAAACTACCTCCTGCGCTGCAATTGAGCCCTGGATCGCCGAATGATTGACGCTTGGCTGTCAGGGACCCAGGCGGCAGCCGCCGTAATTCCCCGCGTCTAGAATGCGCCATGACGAAAATGTGCATCCCGACGAGGGGCAGGGCCGAGATGCAGAATTGGACATATAAAGGAGAGGGGTGGGAAGCCAAAACATGGAAAGTTCAAATCAGACATACCTCATCACCGTCGAGCTCAACGACGGGGTTCTTGACCTTGATCTTGGAAATTTCGGTAGCCATGGTGCGGGATTGAGGAAGGTTCAACGAGGATAGACCGGTCCAGCGGGCAGAAGCAGTACGAGAGGAGAGCAGGGAAGAGGCAGAAGTAAGAGATCTGGGAGAGCGAGTAGAGACAGAGGAGGAAGAGGAAGAAATAGAAGAGGAAGAAGAGAGAAAGCGACGAGCGGAGGAAGAGAGAGGGGCAGAGAGAGGAGGGGAAGCGACGGCGAAGGAGCGGCGCGCCAATGCGGAACTGAACCGGACAGACGACATTTCGACAGTGAAGCGTGGCCTGCGTGGGAGGAACCGGGGGAAAGTCTGCCCAAGCGGATCAGTTTATCGGGTACGGGGAAACGAGGAGGATCGCAATCCACGCTGCAAGGGGAAACTTGGGGGCAACGAGAAGGGGAGGGAGAGAGAGTACCCGAGGGAAAGACAAGCAACAAGCCGTGAAGCTCTCGGCTGGAAGGAGGCGGTGGTGGAGTTCGGAAGCTGCCGTTAAGCCGGACTGGACGAGATGCTGCTGGTTTAAGGGACCTTCACGGGGCAGATCGGAGAACCCGGAAAATCGTTCTGTTCGCTCAGGGAAATAATCTTCCTGCAATAAGCAAAGAGACGCAGAGACAAATCGAGACCTTGGTGGAGGAAGAGGGAAGAACGGAGAGGAGAGAGAGAAGGGAGGAAAGGCAAATGGAGGGTCCCCAACACCTCTTATCCGGCGTGGTTGTTCCCTCCCAAGGCTTGGAGTTGACACACACCCACTTCCTTTTCCGCCCACCGTTGTGACTTTCTGGTCGCCGAAGCCGGACTATTCGACTCTCAGACTCAGACTGGGGGGAAAAGTTCCCTTCCCTTGGAAATTACACTACTTTTTCCATTGAGAACTGGGTCCGGTCAACCTGCAGTCCGTGGTGGCATCAGACCCTCTTCCTCACCCCCAATTCTGCGCTATTCCGTTCCCGCCTACGGAGTACTCCAGACTCTCCATTCCTCCCTCCCCCTGCTCAATGTCCGCCGCCATCAATCTTGATCAAGATAAGATGAGTCCTCCGCAGTGCAGGTACGTATACCTCCCCTCAGTATAACGCCGTAACTCGCAACTTTAATGGTCACACCCCAAATGCACCGGACAACATCCCACGTAATTTGCTTTTCTGCTAATCTGTTCGCATCCCTGTATCTGCAACGTTAAAGCAGAATTCTCCGGCCAGTCCAGCCGATCGCAACCGCTGTTTCCCGCGGCAACGGATACTGCGTCTCCGCCGGGTCATCAACCACCGAAGTCGCTGCAGCGTCGGACTTGCCACTTTTCTCCCCGGAGCCTGTCGATGACTCATCCATTCCCCACGCCAGCCCAGAATCATACTGAATTATACTCAGTAACTCCGTAGTCAATATCGAGATAGTCTCCACAGTAGAATTTCTACATCGGATCCTCTTCTAGTATAGTAGTCTGTATGTATATCACCAGAAAGAGACACTGCAATCCTGTTGAAGTTGACCCTCCTTCAGTGACCCGAGAACACCGGCCCTGTATAAGTCCTGCCGCCAAATGTTGAAATAAACCCTTCCCTTTTTCTCCCTTTTCCCGTTTTTATCATGACCAAGAAATCATGCTAGATCAAACAGTAGTAATCGATGACATTATGAAAGTAAAACCAGTCCCAAATCTAAGCACTAATGACGTTGAATCTACCGTCTAGAACAGACCGTCAATCTCTCCGGTCTCAGGGTCAATATCCACATTCAAGTATCCAGGCGCCGTCGGCAATCCGGGGATGGTCTGGATGTCCGCAGCCAGTGCGTACCTGTAGTCACAATGGGTTAGCTAAATGGATCCAAACTAAACAGAACATGAGACGGGGTGCCTACAGATATCCACCACCCACTGCTAGCCGAACGTCCCGGATGGGAACCGTGAAGCCAGTGGGGGCGCCCTTGAGTGCCGGGTCGTGACTGAGCGAGTATTGCGTCTTGGCAATGCAGATGGGCAGGTTGTTGAAGCCCTGCGCAGTGTAGGTGTCGACCTTCTTCTGGGCCAATTCGCTGAACTCAACCTTCTCCGCTCCGTACATGGCGGTGCCGATCCGCTCGATGCGCTCCTGGATGCTGCCGTTCAGGTCGTACAGGAGCTTGAACTCCTTAGGCTTGGAGCTAGCTGCCAGCACGCTCCTAGCCAGGTCCACCGCACCGGCTCCGCCCTCAGCCCAGTGGTTGGCGGGGACCGCGTCCTCTGCGCCGGCCGCAATGGCCTCCTCGCGGATGACTGCGATTTCGGCCTCCGTGTCCGTCTCGAAGCGGTTGATCGCAACCACCACGGGAATTCCATACTGCCGAGCATTCTCGATGTGCTTCTTCAGGTTAACACAGCCCTTGCGCAGGATATCAATGTTCTCCGTGCGGTAGACTTCCGGCAGAGGAGCACCGGGGCTAATCTCAGGGCCACCACCGTGCACCTTCAAGGCGCGCACGGTAGCCACAATGACCACAGTGTCCGGGGAGAGTCCGGAAGACCGGCACTTGATGTTGAAGAACCGCTCACCGCCCATGGTGAAGTCGAAGCCAGCTTCCGTCACCACGAAGCCGGTCTTGGATTCGTGATCCTCATCGGGCTCCGTACCCGCGAGCTTCAGAGCCAATTTGTCGGCAATCACCGAGCTTGCGCCAATACTGATGTTGGCAAAGGGGCCGGCGTGAACCAGGACAGGCGTACCCTCCAAGCTCTGCATCAGGTTGGGCTTGATGGCATCCTTCATCAAGGCGGCAAGAGCTCCGCCCGCACCAATATCGTCACAGGTGATAGGGTCGCCGTTCTTCGACGTAGCAACAACCATACGTCCAAGACGCTCACGCATATCTTCCAGGCTGTTGCTCAGGGCCAGGATAGCCATACATTCACTGGCAACCGAGATATCGAAGCCAGTCTCACGAGTGTGGCCACGCTCCGTGGGAGCCTGTCCCACGGTGATGCCCCGGAGGTGACGGTCGTTGACATCCAGAACACGGCGCCAAGTGATAGTCTCGGGGTCAATGTCAAGTCGGGCAAACCGGTGAATCTCGTCTTCGGTAAGGTCGTCGGGGTTGGTCTTAGTGATACCCAGCTTCTTCAGTCTGCGGAACATAATGGGCTGGAATTTGCGCTCGCCCTTCTTGGCGGGGACGAGACGCTTGTAGAGAGCAGCATCCTTCTGAGTAGATTCGTGGAACATGCGAGTCTCAATGGCGGCAGCGAGAAGGTTGTTAGCGGCGGTGATGGCATGGATATCGCCAGTCAAGTGCATGTTGAATTCATCCATGGGAATAACCTGACTGTATCCTCCACCAGCAGCTCCACCCTTGATACCAAACGTAGGGCCTTGGCTAGGCTGGCGCACATTAGCGAAGACAATGCGGCCGAGGTGTGCACCAAGAGCCTGCGAGAGACCAAGCGTAGTTGTGGACTTGCCCTCACCGAGAGGGGTAGGTGTAATACCACAGACCAGGATGTATCTACCATTGCGACGGTGGGACAGACGATCGAGCACACTGAGGCTGACCTTAGCCTTGGTGTGGCCGTAGGGCTCGAGCTCGTGGGGCTCTATGCCAATTTCTGAGGCGAGGTTTGTAATCTGCTTAGGGTATTGGGCACGCGAGATAGCAATGTCGGAGGGAACGGGGGTGGCCAACTTGATCGGGAGGGGAGTAATGTGTCTGTCTCTTTGCTTTTCGAAGTACGCCTTGGCTGCGGAGACCACGTTCTCCATCAACATAGCCACGGTCATGGGACCAACACCACCAGGAACCGGAGTGATCTGGGAAGCGACCTGAGCGGCAGACTCAAATTCGACATCACCAACAAGTCGGGAACCAGACTTCTTGGTGGCATCAGGCTTATAGTTGATACCAACATCGATAACGACGGCGCCAGGCTTCAGCCAATCACCCTTGACAAATTCGGTCTGTCCAATGGCTGCAACGACGATATCGGCGGTTTTGACGATCCGTGCAATATCGGGGGTCTTCGAGTGGCATAGAGTCACGGTGGCATGAGCATTCTTCAACAGATAGCTGACCGGGCTTCCGACAATGTCACTGCGGCCAAGAACCACAGCTTGCTTTCCGGAGGGGTCGACGCCGCTCTCCGCCAGAAGCTTCATCACAGCTTTCGGAGTGCAGGGGACAAAGAGAGGGCGACCGCCCCTCTTAGCCAGCTCACCGATGTTGATCGCACCGAATCCATCGACATCCTTCTCATCGGCGACAGCAGAGGTGATGGTGTGTTCGGACAAGTGTTGGGGGAGAGGCAGCTGGACGAGAATGCCATGGATCGAGGTGTCATTGTTGGACTTGGTGATCTCCTGGAGGACCTCGGCCTGTGTGACGTCCTCGGGGAAGTTGATAATCTTGCAGATGATACCGGCCTAATCGGAGCGTGTCAGTAACTGAGCAATTGAAGGACGGTGATAGAAAGTGGTGACGCACCTCCTCTGCGGCCTTCAATTTCATACGCACATAGGTGCCTGAAACATGAATCAGTCTATACAACCTTCCCACCAACGCGACGCCTACGACTTACTCGAGTCCGATCTGCTTCCCACTGTTCAATTTGCACTGTCAGCTCATTCTTGACCGCGGGGCAAATCTCTGTGACAGCAACACGCACCCTGGTAGATCACCAAACTAGGCTTGAAGCGGGGATTCGATTCCTGGATCTTCTGGATCTCTTCCTTCAACCCTGCCCGGATGTTCTTGGCAATCTGGGTGCCGTTGATGTTGGTGGCTGCCATGGCTGTCCTGGTGCCGGAGAATGGACGATGATGACAAGACGGTGCGCAACCAAGCCAGTCGCAAGCTAGCACGCCAGGTCTTGCAGATAACGGCGTAGAGCGGATACGAGACGTGACCCCGCGTGAAGAGAAAAATTGACGTCGAAAAGGTGGAAGTAGTGGGTAAAAACGTTGACTTGGGGAAAGGGTATAAGAATGCTTCGCGTTGACAGCACAGCGGGGTAGTGTCGCCGAACAAGCGGGGGGGAAAGGCATCTAATTTGCTTCGTCGGTTGGCCCAGTGCCAACCAGCTTTCCTCGGCCGGGTCAGATGGAGATAGGGAAAGGGTCGATCAACGCAAACGCGAGTAATAACGGTGAATAATTGAAATCATTAGCTTCCAAGCAACACTGAAAGTCTTCAGTGTATGCGGCACTCCCAATTGATCTTTTTGATCTGTTTATATTCTATAGTTCTAGTGGGTGAAAATGTTCCTTTTGCGATCCTCAATGCCTCCTCCTTTACCATTGTTCTGCTGTTTTTCACAAGACAAAGTTTCCCGCGAGCCGCAACTTTCAGATGCTTCGGAGTTTCGGAACGCCATATGTTTGCATTTGGTATAGCGCGCAGTTGGCGGTCAGCTCATCACGTTTTTCCAACCCCGATTGGTAGGAAGACTTCAGGGCTTGGTCAGATCACATGATGTGTATTATCGCAACGGAAGAACCCTGTATCCGGTATGGATCGTTTCATACAGAACAGGCTCGAACAGGAAAGTCTTGGCGGGCAAGCCCGGACTGTGCGATGAAATTCAAACTAGTCTGACGACGCCGACAACGTGAGCCCGCCAGCACCCCGCAAGGATTTCCGCCTCATCTCGCAAGTCTTAGTCGACTCCGGTTACAGAGGACATATACCTCTGATTCAGCATCTTCTCTCCCTCCGTCGCCTTACCCAGATTCACAGCTTGATCGGCCCAAAATGCGGCCTATTTTGCTCTCCGGCCATGTGCGTTTCGCCTATACCCACCCCCGAACGCGATGATGGTCGCCCAGGAGCTAGGAACATGATATGAAAATCGGGAAATAAAAGGAAATAAGGACGGGTCGCTGATTGAATTTTTGCTAAATAGGAACGGTCTCTGAACCAAATCAAGTTCAACCGCGATGGCGATCTTATCTTCTCCGTGGCTAAGGATAAAATTGTGTGCGCCTGGTGGTCGGCCAACGGCGAGCGACTCGGTACCTACAATGGACACCAGGGTGCTATCTGGACGGTCGATGTGAGCCCGAACACTCAGATTCTGGCAACCGGTTCGGCAGACAACACCGTGCGACTATGGAACGTGAAGACCGGCGAGTGCATCAAGGTGTGGGACTTCCCTACGGCCGTCAAGCGGGTCGAGTTCACCCCCGATGGAAGCAGACTGTTGGCTGTGACGGAGAAGCGTATGGGTTTCTTGGGTACCATTGCGGTGTTGGACATCAACTACGGCGAGAACTTGACGGAGCAGGCTGAGGAGCCTAGCTTGCGCATCACCTGCACAGAGAGCAAGGCAACGGTTGCGGGCTGGAGTTACATGGGCAAGTACATCATTGCTGGTCACGAAGACGGCAGTGTCAGCCAGTACGATGGAAAGGTGCGGAGAAATGCTTGTGTTTTGTTATGCATTCGGGGCTAGATGCTAACTTGGTGATGACAGACCGGTGAGCAGCTGGAGAACGTCCAGGCCCACGAGTTCGACCACCAGATCAACGACATCCAGTTCTCCGCCGACCGCACCTACTTCATCACTGCCTCCAAGGACAAGTCCGCCAAGGTACATAAGCCTGCTACTATGCATGTCAAACGACTTTAAATGCTAACTCAACCCAGCTCATGTCTACCCGTAACCTCGCCATCCTCAAAACCTATGTTGCCGACACTCCCCTGAACAGCGCCACCATTACGCCCAAGAAGGACTACGTGATCCTGGGAGGTGGTCAGGCCGCCATGGACGTCACCACGACCTCGGCCCGCCAGGGTAAGTTCGAGGCTCGTTTCTACCACAAGGTCTTCGAGGACGAGATCGGTCGTGTCCGTGGTCACTTCGGTCCCCTCAACACGGTTCACATCCACCCCGCCGGTACTGCCTACGCCTCTGGAGGTGAGGACGGTTACGTCCGTGTGCACCACTTCGACAAGCCCTACTTCGACTTCATGTACGAGGTCGAGCGCGAGCAGCTGAGGAAGTGAAGTGTGAAGCGAGTGTGACGAAAGTTTTGCAAGAGTTTTTCTAGTTTTTCCTCCCCCTATCTTACCTACCTACCAGTACTAAAACACGCATCGTGTGTGTATGTGTTCATGAGGCGAAGATGATATCATTTTTCTCCTTTACTTACTACAAAAGAAACCAAAAGTAGCAAGGACAGGCAGCACGGCGGTACGAGAAAGAGACCTCGGGGCGATTCAGGGCATGAGTTCTTTTTCATCATTTCTTAACCATGATAAAGTCGGAGTTGGTACCATTTGCTTTTCTGGTCGCTTTCTTGTGTCCTAATAAAAGAAACTACATTGCTTCATTTCCTCTTTCAAGTTCACGCTAGTATCAATGGCTGGTTCTCATGAACGTAAATGTACAGAGCCACCCGCAACCATATTCCACATTATATTATACATATAACGAGCTGGTTTCACCCTAAATGCCCAGGCGCTATCCTATATGGGAAAAAGGCTGTATTGTAATGAGCTTTTCTGGTCGAACAACTACTACCCATGACGTCGCCCGCTTCGCTGAGGTCAAGACTCATCATATCAGCATTAGAACTGCCTTCATGACACACCAGTTCAAGTACCTAAGCTGCAGCGGAGTGAAAGCTACCAGGTACTTCCATACACGAAAGACGGCATCCTGTAGTCATGATGCCCTATCAAGAACACAAAGTAGGAACTCAACACAAGATAAGATGTAAATCCCGAACCTGATACACATCAGATACTCTGTTCACTCATATTCAGAAGGCTCTGAAGAATGAGCACGACCATCATTTTCTGATTGTCCCGCCGAATCCTCAAACGTACTTACCAACAAAACTATAGGGTATGTCAGTTCACCATGCATCTTGATAGAACATGAAACGTACCGTATGAGCAGTAAGCATCTTGGACGTTCGCTTGCCTACTACAGGCTTTAAGCTTGCTGAAAGAGATGGTAAGATTCTGATCGAACCGGTAATGGGCTTTATGTATCTACTTCCAGAAAATAATTCCTGAAATTGAATCGCAGTGATCAGCACAGAACAATTCATCTCTGGCGAAGACGTTAAGTGCCTACTTACCGAGAGTAAGTCCTAGAGGATGTGATGTCAGTTGACAATACATATCAATGGAGCATGTAACACATACCAGAAGAGAGTTGAGTAAATCGTCAGTGGCTACCTGACGAGGGTCAATTGTCTTGCCTTCTTGCTCAAAGTCGTGGCATTGCTGGTCTTTCTTTCGGCGTTCGAAAGCGCTCGAGGATTCGATCAGGGAGCGGGAGTCATCTAATCTTGCTATCATCCCATTGGGGTAGACGCTTTGGTCTTTGGTGTGAGCCTGATCTATGAAAATGTAGAAGGCTCTCAAGATGGGTGTCAAGTGCCTGTAGTTGAATGCAGCTAAGATCAAGCGGCCGACATTGGCTAAGATGAAGTAAGACAAAAGGTGCTGATGGCACCGAATACAACTTCAAAGCGCATATTAAGGGATGATAGTGTAAAAGGGATTCAATTTGAGGGAGTTTATCAGGTTTAAAGTTGGGTAGATAGCTAGTTGGTAGTAAAATTGAGTTTGACTGGCAGGCTTTAGCAACCTTTGTAGCTTGTACATAGAACGATAAGGATGGTTATTCTGGTCTGTTTTGAGCAGGATTATTTACTATTTGTTTGATGTCTCATGCCATATTTCATTTCAAGCTAGTCACATAGAAAGTACTGGCTGACACTTGTCGATCTACATTATGGTATCCAGTTTCGGGCGACTTTGTAGTATCACGTTTTAGTATTTTGTTTATATTAGACAATTGATCCGTGCTCAACGTACAACTCAATGTTCTATCTCTCGAGTACCAAACTATACTCTAGGAACACGAATACCCGCAAACTGCACATTTCTATCAATATGTATGATCTTTTTCACTTTTCATCTTCCCCAGAGAAGACCACATATCACTCCCCACATAAACGAATACCAGGCCAGCGCTCTTCCGACCAGCAGAACCACAAACAGCGGGGAACGGGGGATAAAGAAGTAAAGAATCATGGGATCTCATTCATAACGTAACATCCGAAAAAGTCTCTCGAAAAAGAAAAAGAAAAAGGTCGTAAGTAAACCCGGGGCGTGACCAAATAAAACCATAAGAAAAAGCCGTTGAAAGAGTAAAAAGGTGTGATGGAAAAAAAGCATTTTCAATCAATCATCAGTTTTCACTCCCCATTCCCCCCAAGAAAAAGCCGCGGGCTCACCCCCGATCAGTTTACTTCTTCTTAGGGAACTTCTCCTGCCCGATGCCCGTACCCCTCAGCTTAACGTTCAGCACGCGCTCCATGGCACTGAGGACCTTCTGGTCCGGAGCAGCAGTACCGCGCTCGAAGTCCTGAACAACAGTGATGGTGGTGTTGCACTTAGTGGCGAGTTCCTTCTGAGTCATCTTGTAGCCGTCCTCGTTTCGGCGCTTCTTGATCGCATCGGCCACCTGGTAGCCAACGGTCTTGGGCTTGACGATGTCGTCGCTGCGGTCGACCTTGGTCAGGTGCTGGCCTTCGGGGGCACCGGAGCGTCCGGCCTGTTATATGGTGTGTTAGCATACCCCGCTCTCACTGCTTCTCGAAACCAACCCCAGGGGCAAATTTAAAGGTTTGACTTACAGCGTTACCAGTAGCATACTTCTTCTCAGTACCAATAACGAGACCCTGACGCTGGGCGGCGTTCAAGGCGCTCTTACCCTTGACGACGGTCTCGCGGGTGGCAGGGCCACCAGTGTGCCTGGCTCCAATGCGCGTAACAGAGTCCCAGTCGCTCATTTTGAAGATGGATGAGAAGTCGGTGATGAGATGGAGGTTCTAGCGGTGGTGGTGGGTTGATTAAGGGGTGTGGTGTGGGTGGAGGATGTGAGGGTGGCGGTGTGTGAGTGTCAAAATCGATCGCGTGAGGTGTGTCGTAAGGAGGGATGTTCAAGGCCCGCTGAATTTATATCGACGCCACGGAAGCTTCTCGAGCCCTGGGATGGCGGAGTCAGAGGGGCGGTATGCGCTAGTCTGCTTTGGGTTAGGGCTGCTGACATCATGGATCGGCCAATCTTTCCCCGTACGTTGCCCGATTGTTGGCTGAGGTTCTCGGATGGGCTTTGCTTGGGGGCTTGTGTAAGGTGAGTCAGAGTGAGTCGGTTGTCTGGGATTCTTATTGATTATGCAGTGATTGTGGTGGTATTTGCGCTTAGTCCTGATTAGAAATATGTCATTTGGGTGGTGTTGTTTGACTGAGCTTATTGTTATGGTTCGTTCATAGGGTGCATATTACTATATCTGGAAGTAAGTTGAGTCTTGTATACGGTAGTATAGGTCCGAGGTGAAGAGGGGGAAAATCAATATACTGCTTTTAAATTACGTCATATTTTCACATCAATATGCCCTATTTTATTGACGTTCGCTGGCTTCTATAGTGTGTAAAGACATATACATGCTCAGCGTTGTTTGTCCAGCCCAATATACTGATGAACTATGATTCCGTGGTCCAGCACACACCATGTCCTCATCCTGACGCTGTTTCTACTACGTCAGTATACGTAAATATAATGTCTGGCAGAAGGATTCTCTTGACTGCCAGACTTATCCTTCGAAAAACAATCAACGAAAATCAAGGGAAAGCAGAGGACGCCATCAAAGATGACCACCCACAAGCTCTCTCCGACTTGCGAGTCACATGCGTCGCTGATGCTGAAGGAGACTATCCACAGACCCTTTGATCTAATGTCAGAGATACTCAGGCCTATCTGGCTCCGGGTGATCAAAGACGAACGCTACAATCTCAGACGTCGTCTCTATGACAGGGCAAGATTATATGAGAAGCATAGGCCAAGCAAGTGCAACATCCAAAAAGACTGGATCAAGCGCTACAAGGAGAACGAGGAGCTACAGTTCGCCCTCCTGCAGCGGATTAACTGTCTGGAAAGGGTCAAATACAGACGTGGTATTGAGCCAGAAAATCCCTTCCAGCATGTCCCGGGGCCCGCGGATCCGAAACGTCAAGTCTCCCTTGCAGAAGAGCATTACTACCGGTGCCAGAAGGCATGGAAAGCGTTGACCCTTGACAAACCAACCGGTCCTATCATCGACGAGTTTGACTTCCTTCAGCATCACAGAAACGAAGAGGGCCAAACTTTGGCATGGGAGGAGGACAAGCTCATGTGCGCCTCGCTTGGTGGCTGTTGCGGTCGCAGATGTAGATGCTGTGAGAGACCTCTGCGGCACTATCTCTTGCCCGAGGGCGGCCAGAAGGAAATGATTGGATTTCATGGCCACTGTACTGCCGAATGTGGCTGCTGCATGCGTTATCGAGGATTTTATCGACCAGACTCACGCCTCAAAGCCCTTGACCCCGAACTGGCATCGAATATTGCGGAATATTACCACAGCTCATACGTTGGAGATAACTAAGAGGAAAGTAAGAGGCTGCTTGGAGGTATTTTTCCTTGCTCATTCTGGTTTCTGTCATTGATTGGGCTGCTGATTTGCTGCAGTGCAAGATGGTAGGCGTTTGATGGGTTTCCTTGCTGCCAGCATTGATTTAGTTGCGATTCAGGTTGCTTTGTTTATCAAAGGCGCTCAGGCTTCATAAGAACAATCTCCACGCTCAGTAGACACTCGGGTATAAGCTGATTTTCAGAACGGATCATTTGGGCAATCCATCCCAGCCCCGTAGACCATAGTGTATTCGGTAAGGAGAGACATTGTGGGAATCAGATCGCAATGCAGTCTGATCTTGACATCAAGCACATACGAGTACGACTATATGTCAATCACTAAGCGGAGAAATTTCAAGCCCCACTTGAAAGAGCTGCCCCTTATTAGGAGTAGGTCTCGAAGGGTCGTATTTAGCGACAGGTGTCTTGTTCATTCCTAAGTAATACTCCGGATAGCCGGGGAATGCCTGTGGCGAAGATTCGTAAGGGCCAAATTCTCCTCTTGCTGTTAGATATACAAGACATACAGTGTTAGTATAAGCTCTGATCCTCACCCTGGAAAACTAGACAATGTGGATTCTTCAACCGAAACCCAGTCAGGGACCAATGTCTCAAAAGGGTGCCTGTGATATGGTGATGCCTGAAATGACAAGACCGACTAAATTCTCGGAGCCAATTAGCGGCCCGCAGCCCACCACCAGAACTGGGGGCCTCAGGTACCAACTGACTAGTAAGTAGAGGGAGAACCAACTGGCGGGCCTGCCATGCCGTTACATTATTATTCATTCATTATCGATTGCCTCCGTCCACTCGCTCCATCCCATCCGTCTCTCTGTCTCATTCTTTCAACCCTGTCTTTCACTGTCTTCGTTTGATCTGCATATCTACAAAGTTTGATACCTTCTTGTTGTGTGCTTTTCCGTTCTATCCACTCCATGAGCATGGCGTCCCAGTCCGACTTCTTCTCGGCTATGACCAACCGGTCGCTCCGCAACGTCCGATCGGTAGGATGCCCTCCCCTGTCAGCATCGCTCAGTAAACGGAGTTGCTCAAGCTGATCTTCAATTATGCACCTTGCTGACATCCTTCGGTCCACTAGGAACTTGAGTTTCTCGCAGACGCATCAGTCATTACTCCGCAACAGCTCTCATCCATTCTATCGCAACTACCAAGGGACGATGAACGCAGCAGAGCCCCCGTGCCTCAGCAGCAGCCACCAGTGCAACAACCACCTGTCGTCGCCCAGCAGCCCCCTGCTCCATACTCTCCTCCTACGAACCAGTTTGCAAACACCACCTTGAACGAGAAGGCCACTTATCAGCAGCCTCCTCCGCAACAGTACTCAACCCCGCCTGTTCCGCCACCTGCTTATCCCCAAGCTCCACCGGTACTGTCTATCGCTTCAGCGCTTTATGCCTACACTCCGACAGACCCCGGAGACTTGGCTCTGCAACCACACGATCGTATTCAAGTCTTGGAACACATGAATGCCGACTGTAAGGCTGTCGAACCCCCTTGTGTGCAGCCTCCCTTGCTAACCGCTGTTTATAGGGTGGCGTGGTCGTAATGAGCGCACCAACCTCGAGGGTATCTTCCCTCGGAGCTACGTGAACGTGTTGAACGAAAAGGCCGTTTCGTCTCCTCCCCCGACCAACTATGGAAACATGCCTCTGGAAGTCAGCCAGAGTGGTTCGACGCCTCCCGGTGAAGAGGGCAAGAAGTCCAAGTTCGAGGAGCACGGCAAGAAGTTTGGCAAGAAGATGGGCAATGCCGGTACGTTTAAAGCGATGTGCACTCGATCGCCATATATATTGATGCGCCGAACGTCATTAAATATACGGTCAATTTTACTGATAATCACGTCTAGCTATCTTCGGTGCCGGTGCTACGATGGGTTCGAACATTGTCAACAGCATCTTCTAGATGCTCAGGGCAGACGAAACATTGTTTTCTTTACAGTTCTCGTTTAAGTGCAGGCCAGAAAGGCGCCATTTGATGTTTCTTTCGCTTACCCTCATTTGCTCATGGGAATGGCGTTGGTGGTTCACTTTTCATTTCATTATTATCGGCAAAACCGTTTAGTTCGGGTCAGTTGGGATAGCGCGTCGCAGACTACTTGTGTTAATGGTGAAAGCATTCTAGTCTTAGAAGTAATTGGGATGTGTCTTTCCAACCACGGACAGAGGTTGCTCATAACGTATCTGTATCTGTCCTCGATTGCGGCTTTACCGCTCCCATAGTCCGCCATGGAAGATATCACTGTAGACCCCGACTTTTTTATTTCCCGCCTTTATTCATTGTTCTTCCGGTGATATCAGCGCCAAAGCTTCGATCGCTTTAACGGTATCCTGCAACGTTAAGCCTCTAAGGGCGAGTCAATCTCCCCTCGCTCCGGCATGAGAAACGGCGATCGACTTCCTGTTAGCGCCGACGATTATGATGCGCCACAACGAAGTGTCCACTTACAGACGGCCTACAACCCTTATGCATAACAAGGGCGTTTAGTTACTTGGTGTTCACTCAATTCTCATTTGCGATTCGTTGAACAACGATTCAAAGACATTGCTCGAACCGCCGGGATGCAAGATGAGCTGGTGTTTCGATCGAGTCCGCGCGGGGCTGTGAACAGGCGACAAGGCTGAGCTGCAGCAATCCCGGAGGGTTAGATGTTAGTAAATATAGCAAATGTATTTGATCCAGCTATATCCTTTTTCACACCGATGATTTAGAGGCACGATTTTAAACTTTCTTGTCAGACTGCCTGTCATACCGCGTGCCTCACCATGGTGTGGCATCTATCGCTTATTGCTATACTATCATTACTTCCCGGTGCTTTGGCCACCGGCTGGGATGACTTTGCAGATGACCTTGCTACAGACTTGGTAAATTCCTCTTTCAGACATATTTTAGGGCATTTTAGTGACATTGTGATTCTAGGCACCTCTAATATCCCTTTTTGGTGAACGACTTAGCAAGCAGTTCTTGTCTGAATCAACCAGTATCCTAGATAACTTTCTCTTCTCTGTGGCCCCATTGGGGATCTTGACGGCTGTGGTTTCCGTCATTCGTGTTTGCGGGAATTCGTCTCTCCGCGCGTTCATAGGAAGGGCTCAAGAGGGCCCTGGTGAAGCTGAAAATGAGCTCTTGTCTTGTGTTTCTGAGGCCACCGCGGAGATGTTTAACAATGGAGGAATATCTAGAGTTTTTGGAAGACCTCGGTTGCTAGAGATTATTGCTTGGGAGGAGACAGATCCTCAAACTAAGGAGCGCTCCTATCGGATCGGGACTCTCCGCGATGCTCTCCGTGAGGGTGCTTGGTTGGCTGGCAAAGGAAGTTGGATTCTCGATGAGAAGGAATATTTGCCCGAGCTCGACATCCCGAATCTGTCATTGAACAAAGGAATTGAGAAAAGCAGCCAGGGCTGGTTCTATGCTGCTGCGGTATTGGGGCTAGGCCTGCAAGTTGGTGAGTTGACGCTGGCACGTTTTTGGTACTGCATGTGGCCTATGTTGACAAATCATGTCAGGGGTCATTGTATACGCTGCAATAACTGTATACCTCTTCCCAGTACAATTCAAGAAAGACGGAAGCCTTGTCGTCAGCTATGCTTTTCCGCTGTTTTCCCTTGGGTCTATCTTTCTCTGCATCGGAATGTTCCTGTGCGCCTTCATCATTGAGCGCTCATCCACCGAATGCTACATTAGACCTGCAAAGCCCAGCAAGATTTACTGGTTACAGCCCGGCGGGCAGGATGTCGGTGACCAGGTCTTCGGCGCTTTTCTTGGGGTCAGCGAGGGACCTAATTCCAAGGCGACTGAAGACCTCTTGTATATTAAATCCGTCAGGAGCCCTGGGATTTTCGGTAAAGGCCCCTTACTGATGTTTACTGTGATTATTACCCTTATTGGGTTTGTCATTCAGTTTGTCGGTATCCGAGGGCTGCATGCCTCTGTGGTTCTGGCAGAAATGGGCGCCACTCTTCTAATGTCCATTGTCAGAGCCTGCCTTCGGACCAAGAGGTCCGGGTCAGACGAGAACCGTCTAACAGCCCAAGAACGTCATCTTGTGTCTTATAATGAGCAAGAGCTTGACTGCTTCTCGTTCCATCTTGAGCAAGTCAGATCATTTGGTTTGGTCTCGAGCCAGCCACATAGATCTCGAGCTCAGTCGACAACTTCGTCAGCTGCTGCATCAGCACAGACTCCAAGTAAGACACCCGGTCTTGGAACGAAGCTTATAACGACAAGGGCTCAACTAGCCCGCCTTACATCTCATCCCGACAAAGAGTCTAGCTTAGCTTGGGATGGCCTCCCAATCAGGCAGAGAGCCCAAAAGCTGGCGGACACGATAGAGAGAACGATGAACTTGTTATCAGGTTGGAAGAACGTGACTGGGGATACCGTAAGCTTTGACCTCATGCTCACCTGCCAATCTCTTAACAAAGGCGTTTTCAATCCTGCGCTGGAAACCTACACCATCAACCTCCATAGATCGGAAGATACGCTGTTATGGAAAATTGATGAGACCGAGCTCGAGGCAGTGCTAGGGCTATGGACTTGGTCGCTTTTGAGGTCAGATTCGAAATGGCTCCAGACCGGGCTTGATCGCGCTGTGGGATTGACCAAGTCTGAGGCCATGGCAGAAGAAACAGACCTTTATTTCCACAAATGGATTTACCGTCATACGGACGCGAGGATGGCTTCGTCCAAGACCGTGTCATTTGGCAGCGAACTCTTCGGGCTCTATTCCGATAAGAATCCTGGCAACAAGGAAATACTTGTCGTGAAAACGCAGAATAATCTGGAAACCATGGCTGCTCAGGATATTTACATTCACTTCCTCAGGAGCGTCCTTCAAGACTTTGAAACAATTGGCGGCGACGTGGATGTGCGTTCAGACTCACAAAACGGCTATATCGCATACAGCAGCCGCATCGACGAGTTAGTGGCTTGTTTTGAATCAGGAAACCTTGGTTCAAGAGAGGATGCCCTACTATGCATCGTTCCAGTCTTGAAAGCTCGAAAGCTTCTACCGGAACTTGCCGCAGACTCGCACAGGGTGAGGGCGCAGATTGAGAGGTGCATTTCGAATGATAACTGGTCAGAAGCTTTTACCATTGTTCGATGGCTCTGTGAGCGTTCTGAAGGCCAGGACTTCGAACGTTCTGTCTATGAGCTTGGCTACCTCTGTCAACGTGCAATCCAACATATTGAGGATGCAGTCCGGAAGGAAGGACTAGACGTGTTGCTCTCTCTCCTACAGAATGATCTCAGGTTGACATATTTCAACGGTATAAAAAGCGTTCGACCGGTGGACTGGATGAAGTCCCGTCACCAGCAGGCTTGGTGGAACGAATTTTCTCGGCAGCTCGGCTATATTACATGGCACATTTCTAACAATAAAGTCGACAGACACCAGATCAAGGCATCTATTGAGTCTGTAGGTGACTTTGAAGACTTAAACTTACCAGTTCCTGGTTGTGATGACGAGCAGAATAAAAAGAAGTGTGCTGAGCAAACCATATTGGGATGGCTCACTCACGGAGCGGACATCATGTTCGAGAGACAGGTTCCTGGATGTGAGGACCAACTCTGTCTTGAATGGGTCATCCAAAATGGCCAACTTGCTATCTGTCACTGGCTCTTAGTCAAATGGGCTGAGGTTGGCCAGCACTACGGGGCGATGGCACAGAAGGCTTTCGTATTCGCAGCAAGATGTGGAGCAGACTCAGCAATACAAACACTCATCCGGCACGGTGCAAACATCAACAATCAGGAATATGAAGGATATACGGCCTTGTATGAGCTCGTCGCAAACCAGGAGTTTGAGGCAACAAGGAGACTGCTAGCCAACGGAGCAGATGCAGACCTGGGCATAAAGTCCAGCGGTATAGCCCCACTCGGTATATCTGCCGGTCAGGGGGATGAGCGCATTACTCGTTTGCTCCTTGATCACGGAGCAAAGATCGACCGTCAAGACAGGCAAGGTTTCAGTGTTCTACACCTTGCTGTTCGCCACGATCAATTGGCCATCGTACGTCTGCTTCTTGACAGAGGTGGATACATTGATAATGTCGCAGGAGATGGCAGGACACCTCTAACTCATGCTTCATCGGATAATCAAAAAGAAATGGTCGAGCTGCTCTTAAACTATGGAGCAAGAGTTAACGTTCAAGATGATTGCGGCTGCACACCATTAACTTTGGCTGTGTACAACTACGCGTCAGTGGATATCATCCGCCTATTGCTGGATAATAAGGCCGATATTTATCAAACGGACAATAACGGCATGAATGCTCTTGACGAGGCCCATCAAAGAAACCGCTTAGATATTTTAGCTCTCTTGGAAGCCGCATCTATGGCCGGAAACTCGCAGACGAGTGCATAGACCTGCGAGAAGAGGCTATACTCAGGGTCAAGGGCATGAAAAAAGCACAATACTCATAATTTCCCATTACACTGCCAAGTACGGATAAGGCTTTGGTATTTAATATGCTTTCAAGATGTCCTCGGTCGCTCTGCCGAAGTGATGCTGTTTTACAGCCACACAAGAGTTGGGAAGGCGCGTATCGTGAGGGCCAAGCACCAATCTGCTCTCCACCCCCAGTTCTTCCCCTCATTGCTCTGACAGACACGAATGCCTTCTCTGGACTTCACCTGGGATTGGGTCTTGACTTGTTCCGATGCACTAATCCGCCAGCCAATGGCATTTGTTAGCGCCGGCTGCCCCCCTCGAGTGTCACACGTCGAGGCTATCAGAGGCCTTCTCTAAGCGCCCACGGCGATCACCATGCAGTAGCTCTGCTTGGTTTGCGACCAGAGCTCCTCCCGATCCATCTCCTCATCGCCGACAGCCATGCTTGCTCCCAATAATTTAAACTGGGAGTTTCTGCTCCCAGTTCTTTCGGCTTTTTCTAAGTGCCTTGGATCTTCTTTCTTCGTTAGTCAATGCACTGAACGATCTACAATTGTATTGCTGTCTTCTGAATTCCTTGCAGCTAGAAAAGAATCTCTAAATACCTCTGCTCTTTCTCTTTACTTGAAGTATCTCCGCCCCGCACGTCCAGCTTTGGGGCCAAGGATTCCCAGCAATCCATTTTCAGAGTAAGTTTCTCTCTGTATCTATATCAAACATCGTTCATTGCGATCCAAGCCCCGGTAAATGCGGAAGACAGATTGAGCCGTTCACTCACAGCTAGTATAGACCTAGCAGCAGTAATTGACTGAGCGAAAGATGTCCGAACAAGTTGTTTATCCACCTCCTCCAAGCCAAGCGCCTACTTTTCCTCGTGGGTAACCCTTTCGCGTATTATTGCCGCTCAATACTAACCAGCTCATTGTATAGCTCCACCAAATGGCGCCGGTATGGTACCACAGATAGATTGATATCTTGCGTCTAGCTGATAATCTCTAGCATATCAACCTCCATCACAGACCCCTCCGAACATTCCTCCTCCAAACTTCAGCTTTCCTCCGCCTCCACAGCAGCCTATATCTTCACACGAGGACAAGGCTGATGTTTCACCAATCTCTTCTCCGCAAGGCCCGCCAACCCCGCCGATAAATGAGAAGGCTGTTTATGCAGCTGAGAATGCTGGATCATTTTCTGCCAACTCGACTATGTTTAGTCCATCGGAAGCCCAGCAAGCACCAACACCAGGGCCAGGTCTCACACGAGCGCATACAGATGCGACTCTTGCCAGCCGAATTGCCCCAAAACACTTCGTAGGAGCCACATCAACATATGCGGACGATGTAGGGACTTTCAACGGTGGCAGCTACAGGGTCAGTCATCGAGACACAAACACTCTCTTAACCATTCAGCTGGCGGTGGGGTGTCCCATCCAGGCGAGACCCGGTATGTCGCATAGCCTTATTATACACTGCATGAGACTAAGTTTTGCATACGACAGGAATCATGATCGCGATGTCTCCTTCTATGTCCCTCAGGGGTTCGCTCTCTTTTGGATGGATGAAAGCCCTTGCAGGAGGCCAATTGGCCCGTTCAACATACACCGGCCCTGGTGAACTCCTACTCGCCCCATCTATTCTTGGAGATGTCACTATCATCCGTCTGGACGGCCATACAGAGTGGACCGTAGGGAAGGACGCCTTTCTCGCTTGTACAGTGGGCGTTAACATCAACTTCAAAACTCAAGGTCTTATGAAGGGTGTGTTCTCCGGCGAAGGTTTCATCGTGTTCAAATTCACCGGCTCCGGGTTGGTATGGATGCAGAGCTTCGGAGCGATTGTCAAGAAAGAAGTATGTTATTCTACCTCCCTTAGCTCTGAAAATCGAGTGATGAGCCAAACTAATGTGATTGTAGCTCGCCGATGATGAAACGTACTACGTAAATAACGGCCATCTGGTAGCATGGAATTGCCGCTACAAGATAGAACGAGTTGCTTCGGGTGGTATCATCTCTAACTGGAGTGCAGGTGAGGGTCTTGCCTGTAGATTCACAGGCCCTGGCACTGTGTATATGCAGACACGCAATGTGTCCTCCTTCGTTGCCCATCTGGGCAACAGCATCGCTAAGAGCTAAAGGTGCAGACATGATGATCTGCTGGGCTTTTCAGGATCGCTATCATCCTCTTTTGTTTTCTTTATTCTCCTGGTTGCTTTGGCTTGATATAATTACCCTGCTATATACCTGACACGTATCTGTATTTACTCGTGTGCTTTCTACAAAGCCGTCTTCAAGTTTTGCATAGTCACAAATTGGATATCTTCTGTCACTTCTTTTGGGTAATTTCTCATGACTCTGGCAGGTTCAGCCGCTTTTTCGAGGCGAGGCTAAGTCAAATCCAGAGATAAACTCTGCTTCATCTGCCAATCTGCCAGCATACGTGAAAACTCAGAGTTAGGTCATACCAATCCATTTACCTATCATGCCATGCTAAGAAATCTTCACTTCGTCTCTCTCGCCTCTTCCTTTTTTTTTTATCCCTTGCACCCTAAACCGAAAGATCGAAACCCAAGATCGGATCAATCGATCCACAACGTTCATCATCCACATGTTCACATAAGAGATGGAATGCAAAAAGGATAAGGAAAATAAGAAAGAAGTCTTTGTATACGAAAAAGGCGGGGGAAACAAATCATAACCGCGCCAGAAGATACCACCGAAGACACCATGGTAGTTTCCTCCATGGATCCTTCTCCCCCTTTGACAAAAATCCCATTAACCCGCTTAACCCTGTCTCTTTCTGCGGCCGACCTGTCCACGGAAACCGGTCTTGATGGCGGCGACGGAACGACGAGAACCGCAAGAGTTGCAGGTGACGAAGTATAGACGGTTCTCACCCTTGTTGAGCTCGGTGTCGGGACTGCGGCAGGTCTTGCAGGTGACGTACTCGACTGTACAACGTTAGTGTCATTATTGATTTAGATAACCATATAGCAAAGCAACATACCGATGTATCTTCTCAAGACGTTCTCAATCTGCTTCTGCTGGAAACGACCCTTGATAACCAGACGACGGCTACCGTCCACACTACCACTGGTACCCAATTCGGCGAACAAGAACTGCATAACGTGATCATCGGACCGCTTCATACGCTTGCAGATATCGGCAATGTTGGCGAAAATCGTACGACGGTTACCTTCACGCAGACACTGGGGCGGCGGGATCTTATACGACTTGGTACCGCTGGACAACAGATCGGGGTGGTGGCTCTGAATGAGGGAGAAGAATCGGGACACAAGCAGCGAGTACGGGATGGGTTGCGCGGCGTCGTGAGCCCAGATACCGGTTCCAGCTTCGTGGTCTCCCTCGGGGACGACCTCTTCCTTCTCCTCGGCGACGGCACCTTCCTTCTCCGCAACACCGGCCTCGGCCAGCTTGGCCTCGAAATCGCCTGCGTCGACCTTCTTCGGCTTCTTCTTCTTCTTCTTCAGAGCGGAGGGGTCGAACTCGCCGTCGGCGGCGGGGGTCTCGTCATCGCCCTCGGTGTCCTTGGGCTTCTTGCTCTTCTTCTTTTTCGAAAGACCCTTGAAGAGTTCGGTAACTTCGTCGACGGCCTTGTCTGTAGGTGATGCGTAGAGGTCAATATCAAATTTGATATCCACAAGTCGAGAGGGGAGAAAGGTATATACCCTCAGTCTCAGCAACCGGCTTCTCAACAACCGGAGCAGCCTCCGTCACTTCGCCGTTGGTATCCATAATGACAGCGCCTTCACTGAATGCGACCGACTTGCGTTGTTTTTGGGGAGCGGGTTCAACCTGCTAATCCGGACCAGCCCAAACACACGTTAGCGGGAGGGGCGAAATTAAAAACCCAAAAAAACCGCTGGGACACACTAAAAGACAGTCGACCAGTGTGAAGCTCGATCCGCAAAAATCGCGTCCGAGCGTTGCACAACAGGTAATGGGTATAGAGGGAAAAGAACACGGGGGTTGAGGTGGTGCTTCAAGAAAGCAAAAGCGGAGGGAGTCGATGGTCCCACGGCGAAATGTGATGAAGAAAATGTGGGAGGGAAACCGATCGGTAAAGGGAAAACGGGGGTGTGACGTACAGTCTCCGCCATATTTGGGCTGGCCCTTTTGATTATCTGAGAGAATGAGCGTTTCTCAACTTCCCACCAGGACACTATATTCCGGTAGATTGATTGTTGCGTTCGCGAGAGATGAAGGAAATTGCTCTAGGGATTGTGGTTTGAGCTGGTTGAATCTCGAAGTTTGGTTGTTGCGCTGACTCGATGGCAAAGAATCGCTGTTATCGCGGGCTCCCGACACGTGACTATAATGAGTCAAGTTCGTATTGCCATTACCGTCCGGTATTGTGATCCTGGCACGTGAGATCTCCCTCTCTCGGTCTGTCTGTGTCTCCCCTGGATTACATCAGACCAGAACTAGGTTCGCCGAACTAGCTAGTGTGTGTATAGCTTCATCCTCTCATCCTCTTGATTGACTATTATCTATGCCATAACATTCGTCAGGCAGTGGCAGGCCCTGCTTGATTATTCTTCCTTTTAGCTTCAACTACAACTCCTCAACTATACCATCGAATCAAAGCAGAAACAAGAAAGATGGCCTCCCCCTCCCCCTCCGCTTCCCTCAGCACCTCCGCCTTCATGGTCTCCTCCCAAGACAAACACTACTCCTCCGCCTCCGATGACGATGTCGCCTCCCTCCCTTCCGAATCTACCTCCGCATCGGACCTCGACTCCCTCGACTCGGACTACTCCGACGCCGAAGAAGAATGGCGCGAAAGCATCGAGCAATTAGAGTTGCTGTTGACGATGGTGTTGGTGCCTTTTGTGGGGAAGTACTTGGGTAGGAAGTGTGCCTATTGGAGTACGTATACACCCTTCGTTCTTGGTTGGGTTGGGAGTGTGCATGGTGGGATATATGTGAAGTACACATGCTAATGGATTGTTGCACAGGCTGGACCAGATTCATGGAATGGAAGTACCCGGTTGAAGTTGTGGTTACCAAACCTGGTGTATTCAAGGGGACAGGAGCTGTGGAGGCAATGGCCCCGATATAAGCTTACTTTCTTTCTTTCCTCTCTTTCTGGGAAGAGGAGTATGGGTTCGTGTTTTATGAGGGGGGTAGATTTGTTGACTTTCCTGTTGGTTTTGGTGTTATTTACATATTTTTCCTGCTCTGTTCTATACTTTCTTTATGCTGGGGTGTGATAGACACTACTGATTGATTGATTGATGAAATGGTGGTGATGGTGGTGGTGGTGATGGCATAGCATACATGCAACATGCATGATCTGACTTTCCTTAGTATAATATACCCAATCCCAAATACTATCACAGATAAATTGACATCAAGTGTACTACTATGCCTTAAGAGTAATATGCATCAAAGCAAAGTATGTCTCATTCAGTCATTTTCTATACTCCCAGAGTATGTACGTATGCAAAGAACTCCATCTATCCAGAATATGAAAACCCTAACTCATTCAAGCAACCATACCCCCCTCAATCATTGAACAAATGAAAGAAACACTTCGTCTGACCCAGTCAAGACCAACCAACCAACTAGATAGTCCTACCAACCCTCCCCTCACACACACTATTCGCCTCCATCCCCATCGTAGCCTCCCTCACAGCATCAACATTCTCCCTGGCCATGTTTCTTCGTATCTCACCACTCTCCAGATTCCCAAACGGGATGCCCAGCTCCTCTAACGCCCTCTCCACAATGTAGTACGGATCACTGTATCCGGGCGTGAGGAAGCGTTCTAGAGGGATTGGGTTTGAGCTAAGGTTCTCCTGGCGGCTGTGTGCTTGTGTACTGAGGATATCTTCCAGCAGCTTGAATCTGGAGCAGATAGGGTCGTGAGGTGGAAGAGATGAGAGGACGTTTGTGATGTGTTGGATGTCTGCGTCGATGTCTATGTCCGTGCCTTTTGTGGTATTGGGGGTGCTATTGCTGGTGGTGGTTGAAGGAAGTTTGGAGAGGTTGAGAGCCAACTGAGAGTTGAGCTTGTGCATGTGTTCGGATGATATGAGAGTTATGAGCCAGGAAGGTATTTGCTTCTGGTTCTGGTTTTGATTCTGTCCATGGTCCTGCATTCGGTTGGAGGTCCGTTTGGGGTCCTGGATTCTTGTTAGAAGCGTTATTTCATAAGATGATGAGGTATAGACGTACCTGCTTGATATCGATGGTTTGGTCATGGATGAAGAGGTTGTGCTCAGTCAATCGATGGGTAGACATGATGATGGCTGGTGGTTTGATATATCTGGCTGGTAGATTGTGTGTAGACGTGATTGTGAAATGGAATACAGTAGATATACTGAAGAGAATATCGCTGTTGATAAAATACTGAATGTCCATACAAGCGGTTAGCAAACACTCTTATATAGCACAACCCCCTTCTAGCGCATACCTCCCTCCATTCACTCAATTTCACGCACATTCGTCATCTACTCACTTTCTTCTAGACCCCCACAGACCAAACCAGACAAAAAGACCCAACAGCACGGATTAACCTACTGCAAGGTAAGGTGAGGCAAAGGCAACGCTCAACTTCTGGCGCTAATGCAACTGAAAGATTGCGAGTGAACTAGACACATCCACGCATCCATCCATCCATACCCCTCACCGTACTAATTGTAGATATCACATACCCCTCAAACACAGCCATCTTGCCTGTCTGCCCATCCACGCCACGCAATCCAGTCCCCGATCTGCAAACGAAACAAAAAAGAAACCACCAGCAGTAGTACCACCTTCCTCTACACCATGAATGGAAATAGAGACTAACGGTGATAGGCACTAGCCCCAAGACCAAGAACGAAGAGGGGACAAGATAGAAGAATGGGAAAGGGATACGTGTGTGTGTGTGTGCAACCACACATCAAGAAGTACCCTTATCAACACCCATCTAACTATCTAACTAACTATCTGCCGCATGCATGTCTTGAAGGGTAACCATTCCCTCGGGCTGGGAAATCACAAAAAACTAACGGTTTCCCGCAGCTAGCCTAGTTAATCAGGGGAAGGAAGGGAAGGAAGGAAGGAACGTTGTTACATTGCATTTGTTCATGCCCAGTGCCAGATCGTCGGGTCCGGGATCGTCAGCGCCGGCGTTTCTACTTGGGGTTGATTGCTGCTGGGCTAATGCATGTCCTACTTTCTTACGCTGGGTGTGGTCTGATCTCTCGTGGGCTGTGCTTTGCTTTGGCTTCTTGCCTGGTCTGAGTCTGGTCCGGGGATGAGATCGATCGATTGCCTCTCTCGTGTTATCATCATCATCTACAGTGATCTTCTACGTCTAATTTCTTTTCAACCAGTAGAGATGGTCTACATGGTAAGTGAGTAGCAAGAGAATTACAATGGAAGAAGGCTAACAAGCATACGATCTCCCCAAGAGGAGATCACCACCATCGCCATCATCGTGATCAACCCGAAAGTCAATCAGTCGCTCAATTCCTAAACCAAAGCTTTCATTGATGCCCGAGTCCCCGAAACCCACCACCCATCACTCACCACTCAACACCCAAAGCCCGTTAGGTATCAATGACAGCAAACCATCAACTATCCCAAACAAAACCCACTAGTGACAGCTATAGTAGAGACAATCTATACCGGATCCAGAACCTCATACATATATAACTCTTACTCCTATAGTACTTACTGTACTTCAGAGGAAAGGGACGCACCTCCCTGACCCGGGAGAATGGTTCCGTAGCGTGATGGATAGATCATTCCTCTATCTACCGACGTTACATTGCATATATACCCTGCTTAGGTCTAAGAAGTACGGAGTAGGGCAGGGCAAGACAGTCCCGGCAGGATTCGCATCCCAGTCATCCAATACGCACTACTCCATAGTAATGCTTGCTTTCTGCCTGCGCTGTTTCGCTGCCTAGATATTCTGGGGCTTACTGACTGACTTGGACGACTGGACGAAGCTACGCTAACTGCCCAATCCCTGCATGTCAGGTATAACAGAGCCAGTGTGTCGGGGACCCTAACTGATGCTGATGGACACGAGGTGATACAAGTCAGGGGTTCGAACAAAGCAACCATACTGTCGGGACTGCTAACTACTGACTACTCAACTGTCACAAGGGAAGCCCCATTATTGAGTTTCTTGAGGGTGTAGGAGTACTATCCCACACTACTGCGGCCGAAAAAGCAAATGTCGGCCGCTACGTTGTCGATCGCAATTCATTCATGCGTCGTAAGGGCTGCCGCGCCTACCTGAACCAGCCGGATTAGTTATCGTCTCTCAATTATTGCATGGTTAATCGATCTGGCACCCATCTGTGCTACCGGGGCCGACGGTGGGCTAGGCGTGTTGGATGAGCAACAGCAAAGGGGTATATTGTGTATCCTAAAGGGTCTGCAACATCTGGCATATGTGAAGAATATCATCACGTCGGGTATTCAGCAATAACAACACAAAACCGGCCAATAAAGCAAGTGAGCAATAACAGCCCCAAACAGACATCTATCAGTAGCCCATTCTTTGCTGCCAAAATGTCCCAAGCCCATCAGTGGCGTCCAAGTGACCATTCAGTATTCCAATAACCCCACGCCTTCGTCGTGACAGCGACTCCAGCCAGGGCCCCGGATGGAAGATATTCGTGGCTTCTGATGCTACCAATTTATCATGTTCTGACCGCTGGCATTCGTTTCTCACCTGGCTGCCTTTGGCGGCTGATGAGGTTTCTCGCATGTTGTCGGGAGAAGACAAGGCAATTAAGGATTCCTCAAGCATTGCCTCACAGATATGGTGCGGCTGTTTTCCCTGAATATTTCTGCCAAGCTGTGTGGCCTCGAGGCGTTCCTGTATTTCTTGTGTTTTATTGCAGATGGCTGCACTCGAGGTTGGCATACTCAAGACCTGGGTGTCAAGCTCTGTATCCATATCAACAATGACAGATGCTATCTCCCACTCCTCCATGTCAATCAAACTCGCCATCTCTGAACAGCAGTCATTGGCTTCAGGCACACCTGCAAAGTCCAAGCTCTCATAATCTGGTTCCTCGATCATCTGTCTAATTTGGCTCTGATGACCCTGCACGTTTTCGCCACGATTGTCGACATCGGACATCAAGGACGACTTATCCCTGCTGCCATTGTTCAGGAACCGGGAGGTTAGGTCGTAGTCTGGTGTGATTGTTTTTCGGAGCTTGGCACCCATTGCTCCTTCATAATCAAATTCCTCAGTATCAGCCACGGAGGTGCTGCCAGGCTCCAAGGTTGGCTGCCAGCACTTGCTGGCATTGGGCAAGGCAAATTGGCTGATAGTATTGCCGTGCACAGGAGCTGCAACAACTTTCTTGTCTAATCCCCGTTCCTTGATCCCTTGGTCGTCTGCTTTGTTTTCATCAACAGATCTGTCTGCGAGCTCATCCAACCTCATGGCGTCACAGGGATGCTTGCACTTCTGAGAGACTCCATCAAGTCTGATGGAGCACCGCTGGCCTTCATCTACGCTTGTATTATCGACTATATTATGACTAGTCAACTGGGAGCCTGGTTCCTTTTCACAGTGCACCTCAGAATTTCTACTTGGCGGGTTAACAAGAGCAGACACGTAACTGTCTGTAGCAGGTTCTGAAATGCCAGTCATTGCCTTGGGCTCGGTGGCAATGTCGTCTGCTTTGGGTAATTCTTGTGAGCGATAGAGGGCGACTGGAGAGGCGGTGTCCGAGACAACACTCTTATACATGGTCCCCCCTGTGATCGAACCGCATTCTTCCTCGAAGTGTCCATAGGTCGGGCCGTTTAGGGTAGCTTGATTGGTATTGCTCCTATGAAGAAAGTCGCTTTCAGAGAAACCAGAGCCAGCACTAGCTTTGGTTTCTGAATTCAGAATCGTATCAAATCCGAAGAAGTCGAGCGACGGATCGCGGCTGCGGGTTCTGACAGGAGATGATGCCTTTCCTCTTCTGAAGATCCCGCTCGGGCGCCTTTGATTCAGCTGTGATGGTATTAGCCCTCTCACTTTAGGCGTAGTAGCATGGCCACTCGCAGTAAGACGATCACAGGGCACGTTGGGGGCATGAAAGCTGTCGTTGTTTGTCCTCTTCTTCGAACGGGGGCGTTCGCTGCTCTTCTTATTCTGAACCTTGTACTCATATCGGTCTTTCTTGGTTCTGTGTCGAGGCTGCCGCTCATAACCGTTCCGTCCCCTTTTTTCGGTGTTTGAAGATGTTTCCATATCATTTACTGTTGATGATGCAACTGGCTTTTGGGATTCTGTTGGCTCGAGTGAAGCCATCTGACCCACACGAGCCTGTCGTTGCTGCACAGAGGGATAACACATAGTGACCACTCCTCTTTGAGCGTAATAATTCTCCCATCCAAGCCACCCTGGTTGCCGTTCAGCAAAACGGGTTGGCATGTTCTCAAGTTCCGCATTTCTCTTCATTATTTCATCGTATCGATCTTTGTCAAAGGCATAAGACACCGGTTGTAGGTAATAGGAAGGAGCTGTAGGTTGTCAGAGGTGCACTTAAGGCCTCAGATGCGGGTAACGATAAATAAGACCTACGGTGGAGTAGAGAGCTTCGTGCATCTTGTGCTTCGTAGCTATTCTGTGCGGCATCTGATTCAGTGATCCAGTCCTCGATTCTGTTGTAGAGGTCGGAGTGTCGTAGCGGATTAGAATTGACATGAGCCATGTTGTGTGAGCTGGTAGGAGATAGGACTGTGGTCAGTGAGTTGAGGAAAGATGTGGCGAGAGTTGTGGAAGAGAGCAAATGTGTGTGTGGCTGTGTGTGGGTGTAGGCAGGAGCTTCCCGGATGACATCTTGACCATCTCTTGGCGTCACTGTTGCTTCAGATGATGTCGCGGTTGCCAAATATGATCACTTTACTAGTGAGTCAGTGTAATATAGGATTAGGTCGGGAAGGAGATCCCGAGTCAGGGTAAAATCGTGTTTTCTTAACAGGACTATTAAGGCTATCTATGTACTAGTATGTCTGCTCGCAATCTGCGTCTCCTATTCGTCACATCTTATTCCCTCATCCTCACTTTACTTCTATCTTTAATGCGTAACAGAGATGTGTCGGGATGTATCAAGGTGGCTGGCAACTCTTCAATCCCGACCAACGCGCTATACTCTTCAGCAACACACAAGACAGCTTTGGGGGGGCGCATCTTTGCTAAGGGTATATCTTGTACTTCCTGATGTATCCTTGCAAAGCAAGGTCCTATTACACGCTGTGCCTAAGCAAAACGCCCAGTAACACCTTGCCGCTCCATTCTTTTCCCCTCCATTTATCGCCAGCTATCTCTCTTGAAATCCAAATAGCAAAACCAAAGGATCCGACATGCGGCAGCAGCAAGGAGGGGAAATCGGGCCTTCAATAAGGGAAGCTTCGATTGGTTTGTTGTGCACCTCCGGCAGTATCGATGGGAGCATGGAGCCTCAAACGTGTTGAGTAGAGAAAGAATACTATGCAGGCAAGACATATCGAAATGTAGGCTGTCAGCATACTGACAAATTTCAGCATTCCTTGAGCTCTCCGCAGTACAGCTTTCAAAAGAGAAATTCCGAGTAAGTGATTTTGCCTGGTCAGCTGAGGGACGTAATTAGCGGATTGCCTCAGTCCACCCGAGAGATGCTGCATTGGTTGCTAGTGCTGAGCAAGCTGTGGTTGATTCATACGCAAGCCTGCCAATCTATTGGTTAATGCCCTGTTGTCCTCCTGTACAGAACTTGTCACCGCCACACCGTCGTCAGGGGTTGCTTCTGTTATGTTCATGCTCATCCTGTGCTCCTGGTTGTTCCTGGCAGATTGCCTGAGCTCAAATGTCCATTTACTAAGAGATGGCTGCCATTCTGAAAGAGGTCCATCAATTTGATCACCTATGAAATTCTCAACTACTGCCCGGCCATCTCGTCTGGGGTTTACACTAGATTAGTTCATGAGGTCGCCCATCCTGATGAGGCCCTAGAGAATTGATGCAACTCTCAGGATGAGTACTAAGGCACCGTGAGCGAGGAAAGACTAAAGTAAAATGAAAGGTAGAGCGAGCACTACTTTTATACTTGGGTGTCGGATATCCTCATGCACAGCACTCACTTGACAAGATTCAAGATCCTGAGTGTAGCTGAGAAGCACTGCAGCCCATCAAATCCCGAAACAGATTCTGATGGCCAATAGGGAAGCCAATAGAAAGCAATCGGGGGAGGTGGGTGCAAGCAAGAGTGGTGAATAGAAAGAAGCTTAGTTCTGGCCCCACCAGTAGCTGGAATGCTTCCACCAGTGAGTACTTCAACCCGGGAATTGCTTAGTAGTGAAAACCCGAGATGTTAGATAAGCTAGATAGACAGCTGGCAGGTACCAGACGGGCCCCAGTTTATGCTCCCCGGCAAGTGTCGGTTACAACTTCAAATGCCAGCAATAAAACCCTCCCCCGGAATGGTTGAACAACAGCGTCCGTGCAGCGAACGATTGACCATGGCCGGCATCTTAAACAGCCCTACGACGAGGATCCGGGGAGATGAGTGGTTCTTAGTCGGTCAACGGGAGCTGCAAACTCGACACCCGTTGAGTCCTTGAGCTTCGCCATGCATAAAGGCCTAGCCGAGATCTGGTCCTTAGCTCCCTTTCAGGGCTGGCCTGGTTTCCGGTTCTTGCATCCTCAGAACCAGGCTCAGCATGGTCCATCCAAGTAGAGTAGTAGATAGTTGCAAGCGCCTTGGTGGAAAGTCGCCAAACCAACTTGAAGGAAACATCCACCCACCGGAATCCGCGGAGAAATGTGATCCCAGTGCAACGGCTGCATCCACCGGCGGGCATCTCAAGTCTTTTTATTTTTTGCCCCCAATTTTTTCCCATATTTTTCTAGGGGAGGAGGGGAACGGAGGTGCGCCGGGCATGGCTCTTTAGCGTCTCCAATCCCATCGCTGGTTTGCATTATTAAGACAAACAAGCCCTGATGCTTTCTCTTCCCTTCCCTTTCCCTTGAGCCTCGAGCACGCCAGGCTTTCCCTCTTCCTGCCTTCCCTCTCTTTTTCTCGGTTTTCTTCCCCCCCCGCTTTGCCAGCCGCGTTTTCTTCTTCTTCGTCATTCTCACCGGTTCCTACAAAACTAAATCCCCCCTAAAACTCCCCCCCATTCCTGGTCCCGGTTCTGCAGAACTGCTTCCTTAGTTTACAACTACCCCTCCATCCCTTACTCAAATTCAAGCACCACTCGCAAATCAGGTAGGTCGGACTTTTTCTTCTCTTCGTCTTTCCCTTGGCAGTATGTTTTTGTTTCATGCTTGGTGGAGTCACTTGCAACGGTCTCTCTGAATCTCCGTCGTGGAGAGGACCCTCCAGGGTCTGCTGTCGTCTCTCTTAAAACCATTTCCTTCATCCTCTCTCTCCCACTCTCTTTTTCATTTTTCCCCCCTCCATCTGAATTTTTTAAGTCTCTTCTTTTTTTCGGATTTTGTGATTTTTTTTTTTCTCAAAGTTCGAACGTGACTACTTTGCCAAAGAAACCATCGCATCTAACCCCTCATTCTCGTTGTCTTGACCTCCTCAATCCGCAAGTGCTTACTACCAGGATAGTTTCCAACCCCCTTGTAGGAAACCCCAATAAAAATGGCTAAGCTCTTCATCGGGTCTGTCAATTCTGTTTCCTTTCTGGCTACCCGGCCCCCAATATCAGACTGACCAAAATCAGCGGCCTTGCCTGGCACACCACTGACGAGACCCTCCGCGAGGGATTCTCGCAATACGGAACAATCGAAGAAGCCGTTGGTCATCCATGTTTCGCGGAGCAATGAAAGTTCTCCCTTATCATGCTCGTACTGACCAAACTCAGATCGTCGTCAAGGACCATGACACCCACCGCAGCCGTGGATTCGGGTTTGTCCGCTTCGCCAGTGATGTTGAGGCCGACGCTGCCATGAATGCCATGAACAACCAGGAGTAAGCAAGCTATTCTAAATGCTCCTCTTTCCAGACACTCACCACTTCAGATTCGACGGCCGTGTCATCCGTGTCGACAAAGCCTCGGAGTCGAGACCGCGCATGGGTGGAGGTGGATTCCATGGACGCGGTGGCTACAACCGTGGCTACAACGGCGGCGGTGAGTTCTTCTTGGTCACTGTCATCAAGGCCCTCCGAAATTATGTATTGTATCATTTAACTGACAAGAAGCAGGCTGGCGTTCCCAGCAGCAGGAGCCTGAGGCTACAGAGTAAGCTGCGCAAGCTATTATAGCATTGCCGATGACTTACTGTGGACCGGTCTCTTGTCCTATTTTTCATTTCTTTTCACGCTTTTTTCCCTCTTTCTCGCATGTCAGCTGCTGTTAGTCCCTTCGGACTTAAAGTTTGGGATAAGAACACGGGCGCATGCTACCCAGCTTTTATGATGGTGACTTACGACGAAACGACCCCTGCCTCTAGTGTTTTTTCCTCTATGATGTTTCCCCCCCTCTCACGCCAGTTCATTGCGATAATGACATCTCTCGTGGTTTGATTTGATTTCGCATCGCGTGGCTTTAAATCAATTGTTTAATATGTCGTTTACTCGGGTCATGGTTGACATGTATGTAATCTGGCTTATGTTAACACCTGATTTGAGGCCGATGGGAAAGTGGTCCAGCGAAAGCAATCAGTGCTCTATCGTGAATTTGGAATTAATCTAGGTCCAAGTCATGATCTATCCCAATCTCATCATCTATCTCTCTATTCTCTTGTCCCGTTATGTCTATTCAGCAGGCGGGAACCGTTCATGTGCTTCCCGCGCCGATGGATGCAAAGACTCTTCCAAGTCCCGTTCAGCCTGCTCCTCCTCCTCACGCACCTCTTCCTCGTTCTGGAGCGCTTTCACCCGTTTTACTAGATCGGTGACATGCATCTCAGCATTACCGAACCCAAGCCCTTCAAGCGCCTTCTCCAACATGAACAGGTATTCCGCGTTCTTCCCGCTCTTGCCCTCGCTGCGACTGATCACCTCGGCCACCGCTTGTTGTTCACGCTGCGCAGGGTCACGTAGAAATTGCGGGTTGCTGGGCTGGCCGATGTAGACCATGCAGGTAATGGGGGTGGCAGGATATTCCGAGGTGTCGGTAGATTCAGCTCCCTTGGATGTTAGGACGGGGTGGAACGGCGTGTAGTGGTCGGAGTAGCCGTTGATTTCCCGAATGTCAAGATAGTGCCGGACTTCATTGGCATGGCTAGCAGGGATGTGGTACGCTACGCCCCAGACTGTAGCTGTTGCGGAGGTTTCATGGTGTGCTAGCTGTTTGCGAGGGTGGTTTGTGAGATAACTTGACCAGAGGAACAGATTTGGTGCATTCACAGAAGGGAGCAAAGGGATCATACCGGATCATCGAGAGTTTCCCAAAACTCCCGGTCAATCACTGTTAATACCCGACCTGGATTCTCTGGCGTTCCGCGGTGGTCGTTACTGTCCTGCGTGTTAGCTTATTGTACTGCGGACAAATAGAATACTCCGCAGCTTGAAGACGCATTCAAACCTACCTAGCCTATAGAGTCAGATGTCCCAGTTAGTCTCGTCACCGATCGATATCATCCACAGACATGACAGGCACATATATATCATAGAATAGACAATGACATAGTCAACATACCTGCCAAAACCTCCGGACATAGCCATTGATATAACCCGGAACACGCTGATCTACCACAACGGTGATGAACAATTAGTCACGCTGAATCAATCCAGACCTCTGAGACCTTCTACCCCTTAAAAGAACAGCAACATACCAAAATGCGGCGGAGGCTTCCATATCAAGCTCCTTTTGGCAGAAAATAGAGGTCAGCCACTACCGTCACCCTGTCATGGGATTATCGCCGCGCCAATCGCGTTAGGAGACCTGATAGGCTTACCCGTAGCCGAACACCCAGAGGTCGCCGTCGGGGAAGTTTTCGCGCCAGCCTTTTTCGGATGAAAGGACATGATGGGCTTCCTCGCTGGACACCATGGCTTAAGCTATCTTGGGGGCGGTTTGGTATAGCTTTTGGCTGATCTTTGTCGGTGTGGATAATTCGGCTCGCCTGCGGGGTACTATATATTACCCCTCATTCGAGTTTGCGCGATGGATATATATTGATCGTAGGGGAGGGACAGGTATTTATAGGGGTGAAGCCTGGTGCAGTGGCTTTCAGGTTTCTAGGAAAATGTCTTTAAAGATAGCAGCAGAACTAATACAACTGCCTCAAGGGAACAAATACCCCAGATTTGTCAGTCTATGAATGCAAATGGCGAACAACTGAGCCAGATAGTCGCAAGAAGGCCTCTGCGTGTGTTTGCATTGTTTGCGAGGTCCCCTGACCTGATCCGCCCCCAAAGGATGTTGCCACTTTCCTGCTTTCTCATTCGCTCTCATTTTCTTCTGATACTAAGCACTATCCCCAGGATACTAATTGCTTTATTCTAAGCCTCGCATTATTACTACGGATATATATTCACAAACCGGAAAAATTAGGAACCACTCGTCACTACCGGATTCAACGGCACGGTTTTGACTGAGGACCTTGGCGGACTGCAGAAACTGCTCGTACTCGTAAAGCCGCGTCGAGTATTACTGCGGGGCGGCCCAGACGCCGGACCCGGCCTTAGCTCAAGCTAAACCGCCTGGCAGCTATCGTCCATGGCGGATCGCTAATCAGTTGAATTCAACTATCTTCAACTTTATGCAGGGTTGGGTTGGATCCGATCCTTCGAAGACACATCCCTGTTCAGCTTAGATTAATTGATCGACCTGATTGTTTCGATCATCAGCTCTTTTGGGCTACGTCAATGACTGGCCGTCCTTCTATTCTATCTGAGTTGTATAGTGGTCTGTCTCGTGCCCATTAACTGCATCATGGCTAGCCTTCTCCGTTTACTACGCACCCAGTATAACCCGCCCGTCGACCCCAGTGGGGTTTCATTTGCAGGAAAAACGGTCATTTTGACCGGAGCTACCTCCGGACTGGGGTTTGAGGCCGCCGTCAAGCTCCTCAATCTCGGGGTGGAGTCGCTCATTATAGGGAGCCGGAACCTCCAGCGAGGCCAAGCGGCAAAGACGGAGCTTGAGAAGCTTACAAACAGACAAGGGGTGATTCAAGTATGGCAGCTGGAAATGAACAGCTTCCAGAGCGTCAAGAGTTTCGCAAACCGGGTGAACGAGGAGCTGCGCCAATTGGACATTGCGTTACTGAACGCCGGAATATGGAATCGCGATTTCGGCGTATCGCCCGAGGGATGGGAGGAGACATTGCAGGTCAATACGTTATCTACTTCCCTGTTGGCGCTTTTGCTCCTTCCGAAACTAAGGAGTAGTTCATCCCTGTCCGACCCGGCTCATCTTACGGTCGTATCCAGCCAACAGTTCGTGCGCGTCAAAGCCAAGAGTCTCCGAACGGTGCAGCCATTGTTAAAGCATCTGAATAGCCCGCAGTCATTCAAAGGCCCAAGGCAGTATGGTATCTCGAAGCTTCTCCTGGAGTATGTTCTCAAGACAGTAGCTGGTCTCGTTCGGAATGAGAATGGCACCGTGTCGGTCATCATCAACACTGTAAGCCCTGGGTTTTGCGTCTCGTCTCTTGGACGACAGTACAGTAGATTCTACGAGCGATGGGCGACGTGGTTGGCTTATAAGCTCTTTGCTCGCACGGCGGAGCAAGGAAGCCGGTCGTTGGTTAGTGCCACTTATCAGGGGGTAGAGTCGCATGGGAAATGTTGGCGGAGTGATGGATATCTAGAGTGAGTGCTGCTCTCCTGGGATGGTTTCTGCGTGTCTTTTTGCGGCGTGTTTGCTAATATTGGGGCAGTGAATCTGTGGCGTTAACAACAGGAGCGGAAGGGAAGCAGTTCCAGGCGAGAGCGTGGACGGAGATCATGAACGAGCTGGAGGAGCAGTCTGAGGGGCTGAAGGAGTCAATCAGGGGGTGGTAAAAGCGCTTAATGTTCACTAGCCGGGGCGATACGTTTACGCCTTCCTGCACGGGGCGATTGAATGACTGCCTAGCGTGACTGATGAGTGATAGTCATAGTCAGACCATACCAGGCCATAATATGATAGTAACAAGGCCTTCCCCGACGAACAGACGCTGGCCAGGCTCCACCGCGAATGGACGAGGAACCTGTGGGCCAAGCATTTCCGGAACAAATAAAGAAGCCTCAAGTATAGGGCTGAGAACGGTCGGACATTCCTGTGTTTGGTTGCGGACCGACCATTACAGCTGTCAAGAGGTTAAGGTTACATTGGCGACGGTCTATTTCTATCTGAAGCGATTGTTGCTGCCTCCTCCTTGTAGACCTATATACACAGCCTCCTTGCAGGGGTGGCAGGACAAGTTTATTAGTTGAAGCGGTGCCTGAGCATCTCCGCTTGGCGACTCCTGCTGAACCGCCGCCCCACGGCTCCGCTCCCAAGACCGCAAAAACAATCTGTTCGTTAACGACTAGCAGCCCATGGAACAGAACTTAATCTCTCCATCGCTCTCCCTGACCTCCTTTTGATCCCAACCCATCGTGTTTTTCTTCTCTTTCTCTTTCTCTTCCTTCCTTTCTCCTCCCCTATCAACCCGCCCTCTGTCACTGGGCGCCTAACCTTTCAATCTGCCCCTCGCTGGATTGCGCCCGGCTTCAGTTACGTCAGCTCCGCGGCCATGGCATACAACCAGTCCTACAACCCCGATGCGCTGCCAGCGTGAGTCACAACTCTCTGGAGGTCAATTAGAAGTAGGGATTGGGGTCGCTAACATGTCATTTATGAATACAGTCATGCAGAGCCGGAACAGGTACGGTAGTTTTCCTTGAGCGGTTCTTGGTCTGCCTGGTTGATTGCCCCGCGCCTCCTAACTCGGTCTATGACAATTAGGTAGCGCAAATGCTCGGCGCCATGCAATCCACCAACTCGCACCACCAGAAGCAGTCTCGCCCATCTCCTCACCCTCCCTCCAGCGGGGTCCCACCTCGAGTACCCGTTTCTAGTGCCGGCAGTCCCCATCCTCAACGTTACGGCGCACCGAGTCAGGCTCCGCACGGTGGACGGTCGCCGGCAAACGTCCCTCCAGCGAGTCAACAACAACGCCCTCACCCACTCCATCCCTCTCCTCCCCCGCAAAACTACGGCTTTGGGCCGCCTCCTAGCCAGCCAGTGCGCAATCGTCCGCCGCCCGCGTCGCGTCCACCCAATTCGCCCAACCATGGCGCACTGGCAGTTCCCGACGACGACCCGCAACAGCTATTCCCCCTGTTCCGCGCTGCGAACACGTCGCATTCGGGCACACTCACGGAGATGGAGCTGGGCTCTGCTCTAGTGAACGGAGACTTCACGTCGTTCCACCCGAAGACCGTTAAGATGATGATCCGCATGTTTGACCGGAACAACAGCGGAACAATCTCATTTGACGAGTTTGTGGCACTGTGGCGCTACCTTGCAGCGTGGCGGGAGCTGTTCGATCGGTTCGATCAAGACCGCAGCGGGCGCATTAGCCTGTACGAGTTTGAGAATGCACTGGTGGCCTTCGGGTACCGGCTAAGCCAGCCATTTGTGATGGTGCTGTTCCGGACATTCGAGAACAAAGGCCGGCAGATGAATAATGGTCCTCCGTACGGGCCAGCGAAACAGGGCATGAGCTTCGATTTGTTTGTGCAGGCGTGCATTAGTCTGCGGCGCATGACGGACGTCTTTAAGCGGTATGATGATGATCGCGACGGCTATATTACGGTGAGCTTCGAGGAATTCTTGACTGGTGAGTTGGCCCCCGCCCTCGTTATGCGAAAACAAGCGTGGACAATTAGTTGCTAATGTCCGGCGCAGAAATCCTCCAACTTCAGGACGGATAGGTTTGATTCGGATGATATGGTGGATAGGAAGATGGCTGACCTTCTTCCGGGGGTTTCCTCCCTAATTATATTGTACATTATACCCTAATTTTCCGTAGCATCTTTCTTCGCAAGCAACCCGGGGAATCTACAGCGAACAAGTATGGCATGGGCTATTTTTTCTTTTCTTATGTTTCCGGTCTCGAGCGAAGCCAGACTGCCCCCTATCGGGCGCAATTGCAATGCCCGCAGGATGCTTTAGTAAAAACGCAAGTCAAGATGCGGTGTAGACCCAATCCCACGATGCTTCATGATGATTGAACAATTGATGGAAAGCATCGATGCAGATCATCCTCCGGGAGGAAGAAGAGAAGAGGAATTGTGACAGGTCTATTTGTTTGTTTTTCAGGCATGTAGACCTGCAGACCAGCCAGTGATCGACAACTTTCAAAAATGTCCGGGCGTGCCAACGGTGTAACTTGCCCCCAAATTCTCCCTCCCTGCTGCAGTCGGGAGTTTTCTCCCAACTTTTCAGTGTTGATACTTGATAGGCCTTCCATGGATATAGCTTGTCTATCACCCCGTGTCCATGGATTGGAGTGGCCCGTGGGGTGGCTTTCGGGCTTGCTCACCCACGAGATCGATAGGATTTTTGCCCGTTTTGGGGATGGCTTCGTCGTTGTTTCAACTTATCTCCGAGCCTTAAGAGCGGGCGAGCATTGACAGGGAAAATTTTCTCTCCTTGGAAGGATTATTTATTAACTGTGCGAGATTCCTGTCTAGTCTAGTCTAGCTAGCTAGTTAATTAGTTAGTTGACGTGGTCAATTAAGCCTGGCCTCTTGCGTATTCTTTTCCTCCCCAAGTCTAGACTTTTAGACTGGCTGCAACCGTCGGTTCAGTCCGCCACTGCGAGGGGCCCTTGTCCTTCTCCTCACCCCCGATTTTCTTGGACAGCAAGCTTTCAGCCTCTGTTGACTCATTCGTCTTCGTTTTCTTCTGCTTCTCTCTCCAGACTCATCCTGGGGTTCTGTAAGCATGACGGTCGCTCAGGATCCTTCTCGTGAGGATGCCCGTATCGTGCAGCAGCAGCATGCCGACCAGGACAAAGACGTCCTGGTAGATGCGGAGAAGATGTCACCATCCGACGTGGGCACTTCGTCCAGAGATGGCTCGGAGAAGCCCGACCCGACGAGGTCATCAACAGAACAACCATCTCCTGAAGCGACTGGAGATGGCTCCGAGGAGAAAGCGGGCGCTGGTGCGCCGTTGGATAGAGTGCCGTCGCAGGCGCAAAAGCTAGGGAAGAAGAAGATCGTCGTTGTCATGACTGCGCTTTGTGTATGTCCCTTGCTTTTTCCATGCTTCTGATGGCTCCGTCGCTAACCACATGGTGTTTCAATATAGCTTGTCTTGTTCCTAGCAGCTTTGGATATGGTAACGACCCTCTATCGCATCGTCGCATCTACATCTACTCACACTCGTCGTCTCTACAGACCATCGTCTCCACAGCCCTACCTACTATCGCGTCGCATTTCCACGCTTCGGAGAGCGGCTACTCATGGATCGCTTCATCATACATGCTGGCCAACGCCGCCACCGTCCCATTATGGGGCAAGATCAGTGATGTCTGGGGTCGCAAGCGCATCATTCTCATCGCCAACCTCCTCTTCCTCGTCGGCAGTCTGATTTGCGCGCTGGCGATCGACCTCCCCATGATTATCTCGGGCAGAGCTATTCAAGGTGCAGGCGGCGGAGGTATCACCGTGCTGACCAACATCTGCGTCTCCGATCTCTTCAGTGTCAGGTCCGTCAGGCCTCCCACCAGCCCTTCACAGATTCAACACTAACCCTCTTCCCCAGAGAACGCCCCATGTACTACGGCCTCTTCGGCTCTACATGGGCCATCGCCGGTGCCCTGGGCCCTATCGTCGGCGGTGCCTTCACCACAGACGTAACCTGGCGCTGGTGCTTCTACCTCAACCGTAAGCCTCCTCTCTCTCTCTTCAGTCCTAACAACCCCCCAACTTACAATCTCTTAGTCCCCATCGGTGGCGTCTCCTTCGTCATTTTAGTCTTTTTTATTAAGATCGAAACCGGAAAAGTCCCCTTCTGGGCAGGCATCCGCTCCATCGACTGGACAGGCAACATGCTCATGCTCGGCGGCACACTAATGTTCCTCTTCGGGCTCGAATTCGGCGGTGTCAACTACCCCTGGGACTCAGCAACAGTAATCTGCCTGATCATCTTCGGCGTCTTCACCTGGGGCCTCGCCTTCCTCAACGAATGGAAAATCGCTCGCTACCCCGTCATCCCAATCCGCCTGTTCAACAACAAACACAACGTCCTAATACTTTTAATCTGCTTCTGCCACAGCATGGTCTTCATGTCCGGCTCCTACTACCTGCCCCTATACTTCCAAACCGTCCTCCTCGCCAGCCCCATCATGTCCGGCGTCTACGTCCTTCCCACCGTCCTCAGCCTCTCCATTTTCTCCGCCGGCACCGGCTTCGTCATCAAGAAGACAGGCCGATACCGCGAACTCATCATTTTCGGCTTAGCCCTCATGGCCCTCGGATACGGCCTTCTCATCGACCTCAAATACTATGCCTCCTGGCCTCGCATCATCATCTACCAAATCATCGGCGGCATTGGCACTGGCCCGCTTTTCCAATCGCCCCTTGTCGCTCTCCAGGCGAACATCCACCCCTCCGACATGGCCGCCGGCACAGCTACCTTCGCCTTCTTGCGACAACTCTCCGCTGCCATTTCCATCGTCTTGGGAACAGTCATCTACCAGAACGTCTTCCGTGAGCAATTGCCCAAGGTCGCTGCCGCGATCGGCGAGCAGAAGGCTACGTCTCTCGCGGACTCGTTCTCGGGGTCGGCTAGCTCGCTAATCAAGTCTCTGGCAGCTGACCAGAAGACTGTCGTGTTGAAGGCGTACACGTTTGCCTTGAGTCGTATGTGGATCTTTTATTGTGCGATGGCTGGAGTTGGACTTATCATTAGTTTGTTTGTGAAGCCTGTGGTCCTGAGTAAATCGCATACGATTGCAAAGACGGGTCTCGCGGAGCAGGAGAAAGCTAGACAGGCGGTTTTGGAGGCCCAGAAGAGGGGGAGGGGTGAGGTGGGAGAAGCAAAGGAGGGGGTTTGATGCCTCCCCTCTTTTAGTTCTTCTTCTATGATGATATATATACTACACCGACTGGTATTCCTTGCGCGAAACCAGCCTAATAAATCCCCAACCTACAATCTAGGGGTAAAAAAGGAACAGAAAAGAAGATCGAAGGAAGAAAGAGAATTGGGATTCATTCAACTAACGAACTAGATCTTTCACCTGCATTCAACATACATACTTGCATACTATCTACACAAGATGATGATGATGATGTATCTAAATACTTAAAATCTAATACTACCTGACAGACTGACTGGTTGAGATACTTACTTCACTCCTAGTAGTTAGAAAAATGGCACTCGTGCTTAGTAGCATCATACCATATGATACTATGATCTGCATACATAAATCAAATGCTGTACCACAATGACATTGACTATAATATCATATCCTTCAATACTGTTTTAATATACTTATGACGACAGTAACTTGTGTCGTGAACCAAAATCCCACCCTTGCATAACCAACTCTATCAGATAAACAAGGTAGAAAGTCAGTTGATGTCATGACTCGTGCGCGCGACAAAACTGAAATTTAGAGTTAACGTTTAGGTTCACGGCAACGGACTATCAATCAATTTAAATCCCTACTATCTACTCTTCTTATAATAGAAGCACCGGAACACGGGACGTGCGGTGAACCACAGTATTCAAACTAAGAAACCTACTATTGAATTAATTCTCCTAGTTGCACATCGCAGATCTTTGTTATGTACACATTTTTTTTTTTTTTACTTTTATTCCAAAATAATAAGAACATAGTAATATATGAAAGAGAAAAGCCACCCTTGACTAGAAGATCGAAACACTTAATATAATAATATTATGTGTTTTCTATCATCTTCAAAGTCCCCAGCGAAAAAAAAGCAAAACAGCAAGAGAAAAAGGAAATAGGTAGGAAAAGGAAAGATTTATCGCACCATTCTCATTGGTTCGGACTTTGGAGAGAGAAATCGATGGATAGCTAGGTCAACTGCCAAAAACGACCATGGCAATAACAATAAAAGGAAGGGGTATAAAGTTAAATCGGAAACCCTTATCACAAAACAAGGAAGGACTTGGTACTGGTTCAGAACCGGAGGACAAAAAAAGGATCCAGGGGAAACAAAACGAGCCTCATTCGAACTTTCCCATCCCAATTAAGGAAACCAAAAGTAGCTTTCGCCAACGCCTTGAGATGCCATATATGAAACACGGGGGACTTGATCACCCCAGCAACAAAATACCACAATCATCAGTCTAGTAGTTGTAACAATATGGAGTGGATTACGTCTTTGGTTTCTTCACTACCCCTTCCGCATTGGGTCCACTATCAGGGCTTTTGCGCTTTTTGTCTTGCTCATCCTCGCGCCCAAACCCGGGGCCACTTTGTACCGCCGGCGTAGGGAACGTCAAGGGACTGGGCAACATGTTGCTGTCTGGTCCAGACCGCCCAAAGCCCCATTCCGGAAAGAAACTGGACGGTGACGGGAGAAGCGCATCCGAGACGAACCGACTAGGAAGAGCAGAGATTGGCGTATCTATATTGCTATTATTGTTGTATGCACTGTTGTTCTGTGTTGCTGCTCCCGGAGGCGGTGGCCGGGCAAAAGGATTTGGCGGCCCTTGAGCCCCTGCACTTAATATCGCACCCGCAGACGGCGAGGGCGGGGGCAATACCACGCTCGAGTGACCGGTGTCTGGATTCGCTTTGGCAGGCGTGAGCGTTTTGTTCCCCGCCGAATCACGTGACGATGAGTCCGCCGTTGCGCTGCCCCGGTCCGAATTCTCACTCGGTATCTGTACCTTCAACTGCGGGCGCTTAGGCGGGAACTGGCCGCTGTTTGTACGCACAGGCGGCTTCAGGTCAACTACCGGCTGAGGACGCGGGGCTTCCGTGGCCGCTCGGGGAGGTGGAGGAGGGGGCTTTGCAGTTAGCCCAGCAGGCTTCCCTTCGTTTGGTCCGAGTGTTGCTCCTTCAGCCTTCGTTTGCGCATTCTCTCCCGTCTCCGTCGGAGGACCTACCCCAAAATGGCGCGCCAATACGGAACCTCGGTCGTCAATGGGTGTGAAGATACTGCGAGACTTGGAAGAGAGAGATCGCTGGTGCGGCGGGGATGGGGTTCCTTCCGTCTTCATGGGACCTGGCATTGCGTCTGTCGGAGCGGTTCCTTCAGGAAGCGACACTGTTCGTGGCGGCGGTGGTTGCTGTTCTGTTGTAAACGTCGGAGGCATGGAATTTCGTCCTTGCTCTGGGAGAAACGCTTGCGCGACCTGCGGGATGGCGGCATGGGGCGGTTGGGTCATGGCCATTGGAGGCGGTTGCTGTGAAAGTGCATGAGGCGGGTGTGGCATGTGTGGAGGAGCCTGGTGGTGCGGCGGCATGGCTTGCGGTGCCATTGTATGTGGGGGCATAGACTGTGGGGGCATGGAGTGTGGCGGCATCGCTGGATGATGCTGTGGAGGCGGAGGGGGTTGGTGATGCGGCCCGGGGGGTCCGTAATGAGTGAACTGAGGTGGGCGGGGAGGTTGAGCCATGGCGTGAGCAGCGTTGGGGTTATATACCGAAGGATTAGGAATGTACGTGAAGCCATTCTGCGGCGGCGGCGGAGGCGGCGGAGGGGTCGCATGGTGATGCTGTTGAGGTCCCATATTGGAGCTCACCCGACGAAGATGATTCCGAGACGAAGGCCGAGAAACTCCCTGCGGTTGAGGGGTACCGTGACGCGGAGCAAATGCCATCCCATTCCCTATGGGCGGGGAAGCAGACGGCGCATGAGTGACATGCTGGAAGCCGGGATGACCTGGCAAATGGGCGGGAATCATGGGAGGATTTGGAGGCGTAGGATGCACATCTTCGGGGGCAGGCGTCGTCTCATCTTCGTCATCATCATCGTCGCGTTTGCCGTTAAAGTCTTCAGGGCCTTTGTGTTCATGTGGGGGACCAAACTAAAAGCATAGGAAAGCGGCAATGTCAGATCAACGACAGTCTTTCCAGACGAGCGGGTTAGGTGGACAACGCACGTATTGATATCGAGTGAGGGCCTCTCGCATATCACATGACGAGAATTCGTAGAGCTTCTTGTTGTGACCAAAGATAATAACAGCGACATCAACCGAACACAGGACCGCAAGCTCATGTGCCTTCTTGAACAGACCACCCTTCCGTTTCAGAAAGGTCCTAGTCGCGCACCAGAGCGTTAGCTTGACGAACTAGGGTTTAATGGGGAGAGGTGAAGAGATCCACCAGCTTTAGCACTTACACTGAGCGGTTGCGATCATCCTTGATCGCCTTGATCTCGATCTTTCTGCGACCCATGAGGGACAGCGGATGAACGAATCCCACAGAAAAGAGCGTCGATGAAACACGCAGGCGAACAGGTCAAGCAGAGCTTCTGGGGGAATGGTTCGTCCGGATGAGATGGCGGCGCGAGCTGAAACTCGAGGAAGCGCCGCCCGCAAGGATTTCCGGGACGCGATTAGAGGGTGTAAAAAAATAATAAAAAAGGATGGCAGGAACCTCCAAGACTGTGGGCAGAATTTATATTTAGTATTTCCCTAGAGTCCCCACATGGAGAGAAGTACTGTCTTTCTCCGCTACGGAGAGAAGGTAAGGCGATAATATGCAAAAACCAGGGAAGATAGTGAACGACCGGGGGGTGTGTGGGAGGGGGTTGGTGATGCGAGAGAGTTGTTGGGTGGGAAGAGCAACAGGAAGGAGGGGTGAGATTGGGAAGAGTGACGGTATTTTGGAGGAGGGATGAACAGGACACCAGAAGGGCGCGCGCGGGCGTGATCCGAACGGCAGGAAGAAACGACAAAGGGGGTGGGCGGTAGAGAGAGAGATGGACAGGGCAGGGAAACAAAGGGAAGAGAGAGAAAGACGAGGCCTTAGGAAACCCACCTTGAGCAACGAGAGACGAGAGATAGGCGACGTGATGGAACAAAAAGTCAATTAATTTCTGGGATGGGGGGGGGGAAATGATGATGGAATGAATGGGGATGAGAAAGGGAAAGGATGATTGATGGCTGGAGCGGCGACACGCGGGTGATGCAGAAGATTATTCTAAAGATAGACCGACGGTGGGAAGAGCTGCCGCCCGTTCGAGGTTTGGCCCATCGTCCCGGCGGCTAACCAACTCGCCAACGGCGGCTGTTGACTACCGCCTCCCTATTAATAGATTGATTGTCCCGGCAGTTCAATCACCTTGAGCTACTATAGATACCACTTATGTGAGGTAGTGTTGAGTAGATATAAAATGGAAGGGTAGCATTCTTTCCTTCAGTCTCACCTCTACATTTCATGCTTACTTTTTGTGAAGCCTCTGAGTCGAACTCTTTTCTTCTTTCTCTCTATCCTCTTCCACAGTAATACTATTTCACGCTTACCCACCCCTCTTCCCCCTCTCATTTACATATTATTCCCCCTCTTTCCAACACTAACCAAGAAATCAAACTAATCAACATTCATTGAGGGGAAAACTGTGAATAACGCCATCCCACTAATCCAAATGAGGTTACATTGCAGTTGGCTGGCACCTCCCCAACCACAAACCATCCAAACAAAGCTGCGCCGTTGGTTGTCTTACCGCCTGCCGGCACAGTCACAATCAAGTCTGGCGTATCGCTATCACCGCCAGCCTCAGGTATCGACTGTCCCAAACCGGATAAGTCCCAGTTGGCGATACGCCTAATCCGCATCGGGCCACAGGGACTCCTGATCAGTCACTTGCCTCTTCCAGCCAGGTCCTCTGATTGGCCCTTGCACCGTGACCCGTCACAGGAGGATCACTTTCTGAGTGGAAATCGTAGGATCTGTTCTGGTTCTTATTCTGCGCCATGAGCGGTGCTAAGGTGGTGCAGGCAGGCTAGGTGCTTCCTACATGACACTAACACTACCCTAATCAACTTATCACACTCGACACGACACGCTTGGGAGAGGCGGTATGTTTCCCAATAGGAAAGGAAATTATTGCTGCTGTACAACCATGTCACATCAAATGATCCGGACTGGGCACCAATATTTGTACAGTGAGTTAGTAAGTATATACTCCTTAGTACTACTACCCTGTGACGAAAAGCATAATGAATCTTCAGCAAGTGAAACACCATTGGGCCCCGCAGGCCTCCCATGCCAAGGCAAGGATTAATAGACATGCTGAGTCTGGACTGAGTTTATTGTATGTAGTAAGTAGATGAGGGATGTATGAAGGGTGTGTGTGTACTGTTAGAAAAGAGGGTGTGATAATACCATAAGTACAGGCAGGTAATGTTGATCATCGTCTCCCGCCAGATAACCAACTAAACTAACCTACCGGGAGATAGTCAACCATGTTGGCCAACACAACGCCTTAGATATAACTTGGTGGGAACCACGTTCCTCAAATTGTGACCTCATAAAGTAAGCAAAAGATCCAGGGAAGAAAAGGGAACCCGATCGGTTCAGACTTGGTTGGACTTTTCTTTCGTTTGCTCCAATCGACGGTCGCTTACCGACTGGATCGCGGATAGAGAACCATGGCACCAAATTGCTGTGTTTTGCGGGCGTATTAATCTTTCACCCCCTGAAACGGCAAGCCCAGTAGATCCTCATCATCGCCGTCCTTTTTCATCTCAATTTGCGACTTCAGTGTTTCTTTTTCCCCTCTCCTTTATTTGCCCCCTCCTGCAAATCTTTGTTTCGGTCACGCTTTGTCTTCTCTTAATTCCCCTTCCACCACGTTGTCATCCGGGATTAACAGTGGTATCTACGCTCGTTGGCCACGCTGATTGCATTTCCTACCCTGGATTCCCTCGCGGTTGCTGCTGCTGCACGCTAGACGTGCTGCCCCATCCTGGGCTGCAGGCGGTCCTCCCTCTAGGACACTTGGATGGTCCTTGCTGTCTGCGTCGTCCATCGGACCATTTTCTATTTTTCTAGTTTCTGACTTTGCAGTTATTTTATTTTTCCTTACTAGGGTTTAATCTATTGAGGTATCCAATTCACCATCCGACTTGGGTTTCAGTGTCAAGTCCGCCTTTGCTTCTCGATTGTTTCCTTTTTCCTTAATACGGGTCGGCCACCCTTGCGTCCTGAAGGTCCATTGCAAAAGTGTTGGAGCACATCTGTTGGATCTTCCCTTCCCATCCAAAGTCTCGCGCTCGCATTAATCTACTGATCTCATTGGATCTCGACTTCACTACGGCCAAACGCATCTACGTTACTCCGCCGTTGGGCATCGCCTTGGACTCATTTACAACTCCCCGTTCGATCGCGTACTCCCCGCAAAAATAAATCTGGCGTGCGCATGGTGCAAGATGCCTTTCTTCACTCGTGTCTTTCGAAGTAAAGACACCAATGCTGCAAAGAAAGCAGCCAAATCCCCAGAAGTAGAAGAGAAAGGGCCCGCAAAGCCCACATGGACCGACGCGTGGCAGCGATCCGAAGTCGCCCCGGAGGAGGTTCAGGAACTCTTGCGAGGGTGCACCCAAGAACTGAAGGCACGAGGTATGTGTTTCTATCTTTGAACCGATGTGATCCACCGCCCCTCTGGTGTACAAGTCAAGTCAAGCTTTGCGCATTCCTCAGTTTGCTGATCCTTGCCTCGTTCTCCTTTTGACAGCTCTTCAAACTCCCTTTTTACTTCTACCCTTCCGCCCCAGCACCGACTCCAGCGCTGCACGTACCTTCATCCGTAACTACTTCAATCAGTCCCTGGAAAGGGGTTCACCTCTGAACGGGGATGCATTGGCACAAGAACTCCGGCTGTCGGACCCTATGGTGAGCCAACACATTTTCTTTCTACCTCCTGACGCTGAGGGGTCATTTACTCATTGGTATTCTATGGCTGTGTTGTATAGGTCCTGTGTAGTGTGCTGAAATGGTGTTGGAGTCGACTCCCTGGTGGAGTCGTTACCTGGGAAGCATATGAGCTGTTCAAGGTTGGGGAGCAAGGTATGTTCCAAGAGGCGTCTGGTCAGGAATGTGTGCTAATGATCCCCAGATTCCCAATTCGCCCCCGACGCATTTACAACTTTCATTCCCATCAGTGTCGACTCAGACGCTCGGTCAAAGATCGTTTTCGACTTTTTCGACCTCCTCGCTGCCGTCGCAGCACATGGTAAATCTAATGGTCTTGGTGGACGGAAGCTCTCCCGGTATGCCGGATGGTGGGCGTTCGATCATGCGGATACGGGCAACGGCTTCGAGGCAGCTTATAAGAACTGGGCACGGTATGTCACAGATATGATTCAACCGATCATATATCCTTATAGTGATTGTGATAGCTAACGTCCTGCAGGGCCGCTGATGCGACAAGCCATTTGTTCTTCGCCTATCTGCGATCCTTGTCGCCCGAATTGCGCGGGGTGAACGCTATTACAACGCTCCCTATCTCCCTTCAGACTCTTGTCCAGGCGACGGAATATCCGCCAGAGACGCCCACCCTACTTCAGGTCTCCACCACCAGAGTCGTGATGATTGTCGACACCGTCTCCCCAACTCCATTCGCTCTGCTGCGGCGCGCAAAGAATTTCGAATACAGAGACAGCGACCGCCATCTCCAGGAGTTCGCCAGCTTCGAGGAGCCCACCAAAGCACTAACCGACGAGTGTCTTCGTGTGCTAAAATGTATCTCTTCCATTAACCAGTCGAGTGCACCAGAGCCAGGATCGGCGACTCGGGAAGCCTCGTGGTCGCGATTTGAGGACTTTGGATTCGGCGGTGCCCTTGAGTCTGACCTGGATGATGATTCAAGCGCAGCTCGTCTAGCCAGGAACGAATTCGGAGGAGGCTTGAGATCTGCTCCACAGTCCGGCGCAGGTGACTTCGGTCGGCCCACGACTCCATCATGGGCAGACTTCATGTCGTCCGGCTTCGGCGACGAGAACGGCTTGAAGGGCCCGATTGCTCCTTTGCTTCTTCCCCCTGACAAGGTTCTTCCCCCTATCGCAACCGTCAGGGGTCAAAGCTCGCAGTCACACAAGCGCAGTTTGAATGACGAGCCATCTATGGAACCGGGAGAGCTTGCAAGCATCACCACCCTCGACCTCGATGACTCTTTCTGGTGGGTATGGATCAGTAGTTTGGCTGGGGAGGAGCCCGTGTCTCGAAAGGCCGTTTTTGGCCGGTGTGCATTGCTCGAGACCGTAATTAAAGACACCAAGTGGTTGGTCCTGGAAGAGCAGGTCAAGGGTGCAGCACCAGAGCCAGAACCGGGTGCATACATCGTTGAAAAGAAGCGCTTCTTTGGGTTCTCGACTCGTAAACGCGGTGTTGGACGTCGCAAGTCCTCCGCTAAGAAAGTTAGTGCTGTGGAAGACTCGTACAAGCGGCCGGACAACCAAGCTCCCCAGAGCAAGACCAGTATTGCCCCTGACCAGCATGCCCGCATCCAAGCGGCAGCGGCAGCTCTTCAGAAACGGCATCGCGAGGAACAAGAAGCTGCCAATGGCTCTAAGAACGTCTCTGAGGATGTCAAATACAACACCAAGACGAACTCTGTCATGACGCTACAGCCGTCGATCGTGAACGAAGCATCTCAGGCTATGAAATGGGCGACCAACTACGATAAAAACACTTACAGAACTGCCTATTTGAGTAACAGCCGTGCAGGAACTGGTGCTCTAGCAGAAGATGCCAAGGTGCCGATCGAACAGCCCAGCACCCCAACCTCCCCGACGGCGAGCACCTCTGCTCGACAGGCACCACCACCTTTGCCGAAGGATACACCCTCAAGTTCCCCGAAACCCGCAGTTCCCAGAAAAGAGCTTGCTGCTCAAGAGGAGAATACGGCAAGCAGGGCTGACAGCCCGAGCCTTGCGATGGACTTGCCGACCACTGATACGCCTCCGAAGCAGTCCATGGATTCGGAGGAGTCTGCTCGGAAGATCAAGAAGAAGCCCGGCAACGCCGGTTTCAAGAGTATGTTCGGAACGGTCAAAAAGAAGAACGAGCCTGAACCGAAGCCACCAATGAAACCCACTGGGTCCGCTGTTGCCGCCGCTCGCGCTGCCCTCGAGGACAAAGCAAGAGCCGCCCAAGAGCAGACCATCCGCCCTTCGACGAATGGCAAGCCGACACTGAAGAAGAAGCCTGTGCCCATTACAGTCCCAGTTGAGGCTCCTAAGCCCGCCGAGAGTCCCAAGCCCGCCGAGCCTGCTGTGCAAGAGAAAGCCCCCAAGCCCACTGAGCCCACGGTTTCTTTGGACGCCCTCAAACCCCCTGTTTCCCAAAGCGATGAGCCTCAGATCCGCCGCCAAGCTGAATACGACGCTCTTTCACGCATTGATACCAGGGAACGAGCAGCGGCCGATCAAGAATTCTCCAGGTTTGACCAGGGACCCCTGGTTGAACAGCCTGCTTTTGTCCCTAACGACTCTCCTGTTTCCGAACGATTCCCTGAGAAGCCTGCATCGTTTCACTCTGCGACCGATCGGGTCTCCGTTGAGCCACAGGATGAGCCCAGTCCTCCCCCTCAGCCAGTGAACACATCCTTTGACCGCTGGGCCCAGATCCGCCAGAACGCCGCGGCGAGGGCAGCTCAGGTAGAGTCGCATGCTGATGATAGCGACGATGACAACACCAGTGAAGAAGAGAGTAAGTGAACCTGGCTTTTGCGTTACAGATATAAAAACCTGGCTCTAACATGGGAACCCTTTAGGCTTCGAATCCCGTGCTGCCCGTATCAAGGCCAGAGTCGCTGAATTGACTGGCAACATGCAAGCTGCAAGCAAGCCTTGAAGCTTATAGCCCCAGTTTCGTCTGCTAATTACCTTACTTTCGCTACTGTCGTTTCTGGACATTTAAGTATACTGTCGCTATCACCCATATACCACTGTATTTGACCCCCCAATGCATTTATACGCCATTTAATGTATTTTCACCTACCCCTTCGCGTCCAGGTCCATCCCGCCTGCCATCTTGCTGACTGAGCCTGGACCCATGGCAACAAGGTCTGAAGATATTGCAAGCCGCGCATGACAGACATACGCCGTGATGCCGTTCTACGCACGATTGTCTACTTTTTATTCCCATTTCCGTTCCTCTTGCGCCTGCTGCCTGTCTGTCTCCGTTAAGCGGGGATGTTGGTAGTGGTAGCAAGTTGTCTTCTTAACCAAGTTTGTTTATTACTTTTATTTTTGCTTTCTTCTTGTTGTTACATTCCCCTCCTTGTTGTGCCTGCTTTAAGTTTAATCTATGCAATTATTGTTGAGTTCGTTGGACTGTTGTTGTGTCTTCTGCAATATATCCAATATACCTCACCCGTCTCTCGCTATGCTATGAATTCAGCCTATTCGTTGCGAATTGTGATAGTACACCTGATGTAGAGATCAGGTTCTTATTGAATTAGTATATATCCCTAGAGTAGCAGATAGAGGCCGCCTGCAAGTCGGACCTATGTCATAGGAGAGTTGGTTAACATTTAACAAAAGTGGTAATAGAAATTGGAATAGGAAGAAAAACAGATAACAGAAACTATATCCATTGAAAATAAATTATCTATTACATGTGCATATATCATCCAACCCATTATCTTATTTTAGCCTCATATCACAGCTCCATACATGCGCACCGACATGCGCATGTATGCACTGTAACAGGGGGTCTCATCATACAGAAACAAAACAAAACAACCATGCATGTCAGTTCACGCCAATCAAACAATGCAGTAAACGTATGGAACCTAGCATGTCATACTTCCTACCGAAGCAGTAGAATAAAGCACGGCAGTCCAAATCCCAACGCATAACGCGCTTGTGTGAGTATCAGGGTATCGAAAGTGTAGAATCGAATGAGATAAAAATAGAACAGAGAAAACCATCATCAAAGTCGTGTAAATGAGACGATTTTCCGCTTTAGAAGAACAGAAGAAACGGTGAGAATGGAATCAAAACCCTCTAGTCATGCTAAAGACCAATAAGGGGAACGATAGAGGAACAGGAAGGGACACATTATAAAGTGTATCGCATACGTCGCGTTGCTTCAACAGCGACAATGGCGCTCAATGCACCGATGAATAAACAGATGGAAATAGCGTTCGGGGTGCTCTTATCCAGATTCATCCATTGGGAGTCCTGAGCCGAATCGTCGCGTTTCGTGCTGCCGGGCTCGAGGACACTGAAGACGATCCAGCTGATGAAGGTACCGAGGAACTGCGGGAGGGTAGTGTAGACGTTTAGTACGCCTAGGTAGATACCGGCGAGTTCGCCGGTGGATGGGATGTTGGAGACGCCGTCTTCGATGTCGCTGTCGCTGTCTGGGTCGTGGTGGTTGAGGCGGAGAACGTCCATTTCTGTGTCGTTGGTTCGGTCACTATAGGTGGAGGGGCCGCCGGAGAGGAGGCTAGAGGAGGTGATCATTGTTACGCCGGAGGAGCGGGATGATTGGGAGGGGTTCATGGCGAGTTTGTTGATTTCTATGCCCATGAAGGTGTAAGGGGCCCAGCAGGTGACGGCCCAGGGGATGCCACAGAGGGCGACGAGGAAGGTTGCGACAGCGCGGGAGCGGGCGAAAGGTGCGAAAATCATGGTCGCGGCGAACATGACGTGGGAGATCAGCCAGGTTGTTTGGAGATCGGGACGGATGCCCATTACTTTCTTGAGCAGTGAGGCGAGGCCGGGGGGTGGGCGTGGCGTGAATCTGGGTCGTTTGCTGTCTGGCGGTTGGACGCAAAACGGTAGGAGAACGGAGCCGATGAAGGTCATTGAGGAAAAGACGACAAGTGATAAACTGCCCACCCGACCGACTTCTCCAAGCATATCGGCTGGCTGTGTTGCGTCCTTAGGGACCTCGTATCGAAAGTATGTTTCTCCGACCCAGGTGGTGCTGTAAAAGAGGAAGGGGAACCAGCCTGTGGGTTATTCGATTAGTACATCTCTACTTGGAATCTGGCGTCGGAGAGAATATGGCACCGTACCAATCCACGCCCAGAATTGCGCCCAGCAGATGGCCTGAATGCGCGGTGGCAGATCCATGGTGGTCTTGACGAGTTGAGAAATCACCTGTAGCGTCCCAGCCTTGTCATCAGAGTCTCTGTTGGTATGTGTCAGTATATGGCATGGTGTAAAGACCCCAATTTGGATAATTCCTTACCTCGCGGTGACCAGAACCCGCTCCTTGACTGCGTAAGAGGTAACGAAGACAGCGCCAACCAATGACATTGCTGCAATGACCGTCATCTGCTTGAATTGTGTGTCCCCGATTATGGCGCCAAATATGCTGACTGTATCAATGGATCCGATGACATATCCAATGAGCTGGCCAATGGCAGTCATCCGAGTCGCTATATACTCTTAGCTGCTATATTTCGTGGTCAGGGGCAGAAGTGGCATACCCCATGCTGATCCGGTTTGCTGCAATGGAATAGGCAATGTGTCGACAATCAAGCTGCGACAACACGCTTGGACTGCTTTTGAGTTAGACTGGGAATAAAGAAAGATCATAGCGGTGCAGACTGACCAACGTTGATAGCGAAGTCCACAGCGTAGATACTTAGGACTGCAAGCGCGATGGTGACGTTTCTGGCCTGAAGCAAAAGACGATCTCAGTAAGCTCCTGGGTATGAAAAGACGTAAAGGCAATTCGCATGCTACCAAGTACCTTTTCCGCATCCTTTACGAACATATTGACGATCTCAGTAGTCCAACCCAGAACAAGCAGGCACGTTGCGACGACGAACGAGCCGACGATCATGAAGGGCCTGCGTCGGCCCCATTTGGATCGAGATCGGTCGGCAATGACACCAATGAGGGGCTGGATAATCAAGCCAGAAAGAGGGCCGGCGATCCAGACAAGCGAGGTCTTGGATTTGGTGAGGCCCAGTTGGAGCAGGTATGGGGTGCAATCTACATTGCAAGTCAGAAACATTGAGCAAGTGGACAAGTGCCAGCAACGCGCATACAGGTCATTTCAATGCCCCAGGTAAACCTTTCGACAAGAAGCAAGTCAGCCTAATTATGCGCGTACGTAATGATTGCTGTCTTTCGACTGAGAGCAGCTGAAAACATTGTCGGAGAAATGAAAATGAGGGGAAGAATACATACTGTAACCCCAACAAACTAAAGGTCAACAGCACCATGCGCACCCATTCCCTTCGTCCCTTGATAGAGGGTGTGCCCACCCATCTTGCAGCTTGTGGCATTCTCAGAGTTTGAATGCCCGCATGCACTTGGCCCTTTTCACAATTCTTGTATGCTTTCCATGAACCGCGGGGGTTCGCCTCGAATTTGCGCCTGCGATCAGGCCAAAACACGTGCAGGTATAGCTAATCGATCCTCTGTTGGTGTAGATTCGATGCTGGGACGGTACGGAAGCTAAACTGTGAGTTCCGACGCAGGAAGACGAGGTAAATGCGTGATGGGTCGTAGGCAGTCGTCGCACGGTTCGTTGGGGATAAAAATAGCTGCGAGGATGGAACAGGGTCCGCGATCCGCAAAAGGTCCGATGTCGTTTAGAAAAAGAGCGATATGGGGCACACGTAGGCTTTCGTGTCCGGGGAGAGTGATAAATAACGTTCGAAGCGAAGCAGAAGAGAATGAAGACTGACAAGAAGAAGGGATGGGAAGAAAAGAGGAGGGATGGGCAGACAGACGACAGGCGAGGCCGGGCTGAGCCCACCAAAAGCGTACGCATGCGGGCCCCCGGCCCGTCAGGTACCTCGTCTTATCGGCACCGGCCACGCTGAGACCCACCACCGCGACGGTACTTGTTTATTAATAGCGGGTGGTGTGAACGACCTAAAGCAAGGTCGGGGGATTAAAACAAATCTGAAACTGGGGAAGTATATTGGTTAGATTGTCTTTTCCCAACCTAATTCTACCTTACGAGACCAAAGACACTAAGGCACAAGGCAAGGGTATCTCCAATAATACAGGTACCGTCTGGCTACGGTCACGCGACTACTTCCAGCTTCCGGTGAAGACAGCGGCGGTCCCAACCGACCGGGGGTGGTTCGTTACGTTCTCTGCATTCGTTTCTAAAAAGGGGTTGCGAATAGATAACTCCAGTTATTGCCCAGCCGACCGATAAATAGTCCCGAGTGCTTCATTTCTGTCATATCATCCCAGATGCCCCGTCATACCATGATTCTCGACCGAAAATCAATCGCATTAACATCTTTTTTTTAGCCTTTTTCGGCAATATTTTTTTTTCATCCTCATCCGTCATAACCTGCCGACCGCCCTTATTTACAGACGGTTGGGGGTGGAAGTCAAGGGCCACTGGTAGCCAGCAGCATCGCTGAACTTGTAGCCGAAGGATGCGGTGAAGTCATCAAGGACGGCGGGTCCGCGGGAGCCTGCGCGTTGGTCAGTATGTAAGCGATTTAGACAAATTGCAAGACGTGCACGTACCGTAGGGGTATTCCATGGGGATGATCTCCTTGTTGTCATCCAGGTAGTGCAGGAGAGGGGTGAAGATCCTCCAGCTGGCATCCAGCTCATCGTCACGGACGAAGTTGGAGTGGTCGCCCTTCAGAGCATCCAGGATCAGAGACTCGTAGGCTTCGGGGATCTTGAGGTCGGAGAAGCGGCGGCGGTAGGTGAGGTCGAGCTCAGTCACAACCGTCTGCATGGACAGGCCAGGCAGCTTGGAGTTCATCTTGATGTACACGGACTCGTTGGGCTGGACGCGGATAACGAGCTCGTTGCGAGGGATGTCCTTGAAAATTCCGGAGGTAACGTCACGGAACTGGATACGGATCTCGGTCTTCTGCTCGTTCAAGGCTGCGAAATATTAGTATACCAATCGGTGCTATGATCGCTTGGAAAGAGGTACATACCCTTGCCAGCCTTCATGATGAAAGGAACACCGTCCCACCTCTCGTTCTTGATGTAGGCGACCATAGCGCAGAAGGTGGGGCAGCGGGAATCCTGGGGAACGGTCTCGTCCTCCTTGTAGGCGGGCTTGCTGCCATCCAGAGACTTTCCGTACTGGCCAATAATAACGTTCTTGGGCTCAATGGCGTCCATCGCACGGAGGACACGAACCTGGTTAAGTGTCAGTAACCCAGCACAACCAATAGTCAAGCGCACACTGTACCTTCTCGTCACGGATGTCCTCGGCGGAGAAGGAAATGGGGCGCTCCATAGCGAGCAGCGTCAACACCTGGAGAAGGTCTAGGAGAGATTTTTATCAGCATTATGTCGGAGATGTCGAGCGTGACTTTGAACGTACGGTTCTGCATGACATCACGGATGATGCCGAATTCATCGAAGTAACCACCACGTCCCTCAGTGCCGAAGGGCTCCTTGAATGTGATCTAATGATAGAAGCGACAATTTAGCAATTAAATCATTAGGCCAATTGGATAGCGCAAGGTCGTACCTGAACGTTATCGATATGGTGACGGTTCCAGGTGGCGTTGAAGAATTCGTTTCCGAAGCGCATGATAAGGATGTTCTTGACCATCTCCTTACCCAGGTAGTGGTCGATACGGAAGATCTCCTCTTCCTTCCAGTTAGGCTCCAGGGCCTTTTGGAGATCGCGCGAGCTCTGAAGGTCCTTGCCGAAAGGCTTCTCTACCTGTGAAATAGGAAAACAAGCGAGTAAGAATAATGGCCAATTGCAGGGTGATACCAGCCCAGGATTGACTCACGATGATACGGGCAACGCCGTTCTTGGGGTAGCAGTTGCGCTTAAGTTGGTCGGAAACGGTGGTGAAAACGCTGGGGGGGAGGGCCATGTAGTAGATTCTGTTCTGCTCCTTCTGGCCCTTCTCAATCTCCTCGAGGTGCTTGTTGAGGTTGATGAACGAGTCATCCTTGTCATATTGACCGGAAATGTAGGTGCAGAACTGGCAGAAGCTGTCCAGCTGCTCTTCGATTTCCTTGGTAGGGGTCTTGATGTATGAGCGCACACGCCTCAGGTACTCCTCATGGTCCATGTTTGTCCGGGCATATCCGACGATCTTGATTCCCTTGGGGAGGAACTTGTTGCGATACTGGAAGCGCAAATCAGCAACCATACTGGTGAGTCAAACTGCAATTGGATCTGGGAGAGGACATACAAGGCCGAAAAGTGCCGGGAACTGTAAGAGGTTAGCTTTCTGTCAGGTCAACATGAATCAGGGGGTCGTCACTGACGGTCTTCTTCTTTGCAAGATCTCCGGAGGCACCCAGTACTATGATGACAGTGTCATCTTTGAGCTCCATGGTGCTACGTAAAACATCCATGTTAGCTAGGCTATAGCTTGACGAATATAATGTCACAGGGATCGGGTGTAGATCGATGATGCAGGTCGGTGCCCGCAGTCCGCTACAGCATGCAGGAGGGGCAGTGAGGGTTGGTGGTGAGTCAGAAGGATAGTCCTTTCGTTAAGCCCGAAGGAGTAATCCTGGTGACGAATTGAAGAATAATGGAAAGCGGGAAGCCTGCCAGTGAATGTTTGGGCGACGGGGCTTGTTATGGAGAGTCGTGGGTGGTGAATCCTCACGTCTGGGCGGCGGGCAGGAGGGACGGGAGTGGGAGGAGGGGTGTGATGTCAGAGAGGGAGACCGCAAAACTCACCCAGCATTCTGGCGTTCCTCAGTGCGTGCTATTGTGCTGGCCATGTTTTACTGATGTGTGAACAACCACGAGATGGGAAGGAAAGGTGAGAGATTCGGTGGAGGAGGGAAGGAGAGGAAATAAAGAGGATACAGGGAGACAGCAAGGACAGAGAGGTTTGTTGGAAAAATCCCAACAGTTCCGGCGGAGCAAGTACTTTTTAAGACCGGAGGGCCTCTCGTCGAGGAGAGGAGCTGCTGGCTGCAGGGTGGGCAAAAGTGAGTGAGCCCGGGTGGGGCAGCTTTGTTACTACTTTGTTACTGGGAAGCCCGGCTTGGGTTCTTCCACTACGTCGATTGCTGCCGCGGGACCCCGTGAGTAGTGAGTAGTAGTTGTTATCCAATTCTATTATTCGGGGTTATTTTACATCACTCAAGACACACTGCCTGCTAGTTTACCTCAACTTATCCAGTATTTCCCTGGTATGATTACTCCGGGAAATGCTTCCTTTTTCATCCCTAGCATTCATCCCCTAAATTGTCAGGTCCTCCGTTCCCACTCATACTGTAGTACTCCTTCTCTCTTTCGGAGCCCGTTGTGGCAACCCATCTCTTATATCATCGCTAGGTAACGCGATGAGTCTTACTCTACTATCTACCACTTGAGACAATCTAGATATCTCTAAACCAGTGCTTACGATGAAGCATCCTCCACTCGACTTACTCTATCTGTCTTTCAGAAGCATGATCGTTTGAACTAACAGCCCCTTCTTTTCTAGACGGACTGATTTATCCGAGCCAGGTCCGCTGTAAATCTCCTCCCAGCTCCACTGAGAACCACACATGGAACGGATGATGCCCATCTTAAGGTACACCTTACTGTTGCATGCGGAACCCCCCGCGTCAACTTATCCCAGTAATATTAACCCTCCGACCCTGATCTGACAGTTTTCATCGTCTGGAATGAAAACAAAGGAAAGCCGCAAATGCAGAGGTGCCGAGTTTCTTGCGGTCTGACGCTGTACTACATTGGTATATGCGCGGGGCACGCGCACCTCGAGTTTACTGGAAATTGTGGAGCAGCTCCCAGCCCATTCATGCAGGTAGGTCAGCTCAGGACCTGGCTTCTTTGTGATAACGATAGTTCCATGCATTCCGGTCATAGCACCCTTTCTATTAGAATTTAGATCACCTTCCAAAGTTGGCTCCGTAAGTAATGCAGTGTCAATCTACTTAGCACCTATCCACTTTTAGCTAGAGTAGGTGAAGCAGAGCACCGTTGCGCCCATTTTCAGGGTGACCCAGAACAAGATCTCATAATGGAGCGATTTCGGACTATTCCAAAGGATGAATAGCAGCGATCGCGCCAGAACAATCACACCAGTCTAGTGGAAGACTCCTGAATGCGCGTCTCCGGTGACCAGCTTCGTGGGGTTGGATCGGCCAATTTGTCATCTGGAAAGGACGATACGGATTCTATTTTCCCGTGGCATAAGCGCAGCGACCATGTATCAAACCGAACTTTCGGCCCAGTCAAGTCCGGAGTTAACGGGTGCGATCCCGAAACGGGGGGGCTGGAGTATCTACGGAGTATTGTTCTCAGCCTGCACTGCCTATTGTTGCTTATTCCCACGACACCAGAGCCCTCGTATCGATGGCACTTTACTGTCGTCACCATTTTCCCCAGTACCGCTCCATCACTATTTACCCCCTCTTTTTGAAAGAACTGAGGCATTGATGGTATTGCGGTGCTTCTATGGGGGTCCCCCTCAGGAGAGAAACATCATGTCAGGTTCGCTGCCGACTTCCTGGTGGGGCTGGAGGGGACGCTTGATTTCCAAATATGTATCCCGGTCTGATCGCTTCTGGAGGAGTCATCCTCCCCCGTTATATACATCCGGTCATACACCCGTACAACTCTGCTGCACTACCCTGTAAGAGGTAGTTTAAGCGCCATGCTGTCATGCAGCTACTTCACGCTTACTCGAAGGTCACAAGATAAACTCCTTGTCCATTAATCCGGGAGCTCCTGCAACAATCCGCCACTCCGGCGATAGGAAGCCAATCCCTTATCAAGATCAAGGGTGATGGGGCAGTTGCCGTCATGGGTGGAAAGAAATCCGCAAGCTGTTTTGTCAGCTTGGGGCGCTCTAGCCAAAAGCTCTCTCCGCCGCTGCAGAGGGGACCGGCGGGTAGCCAGGAGTCTTCGGACTACAGTAGCCCGGACGGCAAAATTGGCCAGGTGGGGTGGGTTGGATGGAGGAGCCCCAAAGGTCTCAATCGATGATGATCTATCTCGGATTTCTGGAGAAGCTATTAATCCGGTGCAGACCCCAAGACGGTTTAGTGTCCCGTAGGCGGTCTGCAACTCTTCCCCATCACGGGACTTCGGCTTGCCCTGGGGTGGTCCGGCTCGCTAAGCGTCCCGTTTGGGGTTAGGGCGAGCCGCACCGAACACACCTCGCAATTTGTGAGCCTTGTGCGTTGTCCCGTTACCCTATCGAAGCGACGACAACCACGACAACCCGGACGACTTTTGCGGGTCATACCTCCCTTCCTTCGACTTGTTTGCGTTGCCCGCTGCTGCTCAGAGAAACGCCGTCAGAATGCCTTCGGAACAAGGTCACAGACGTGAGTGCCATCATTTTCCGGATATCAGACATGTGTGCGCGATGGTTGGAATATTGGGATGGAGGAGGACAGATGGGAATTTGCGGGCGCAACCTGGGCGAAGTGCTGAATGAAATGCTAACTCGAGGTTTTTGCGAAATATAGTCTATGTCAAGTAAGTTTACCACAAACCGTCCGCCGTCGAATCCGCGCACATTCCGGATATGAATATCAAAAATATCAAAATACATGTCGGGACATCAGAGATACGGGCCAAGCGATGGAATGCAACGAGAACAGACCGGTTAATACGAATTCTTTCTACAGGGGTCGCCACGTGAGCTACCAGCGCTCCAAGCGTACCGTCAACCCCAACACCAGGTACTTGCGATCCGCACCGATATCGATATAGAGGAATAAGGGAATCTGACACATGGGTTATCTAGTCTGATCAAGATCGACGGTGTTGAGAGCACCGAGGCCGCAAAGTGAGTAGCGAACGGGTTCGGAATGGGAATATCAGAACACACAGCTAAGACGACATTTTTTACAGCTTCTACCTGGGCAAGAAGGTTGCTTTCGTCTACCGGGCCAAGCGTGAGGTCCGGGGCTCCAACATCCGGGTCATCTGGGGCAAGGTTACCCGTCCCCACGGTATGTGATGCTCAGCTCCAATGCGCGATGATTACGATGGAATATTTCAATACTATCGGTGATTGTTGGAACCGAGAACGGCGGGAAACTAACGATATTTCCTCATGAACAGGTAACTCCGGTGTTGTCCGTGCTCAGTTCCGCCACAACCTCCCCCCCAAGACCTTCGGTGCTACCGTCCGTGTTATGCTGTACCCCTCCAACATCTAAATGACGCCCCTTTTGTTACGTTAGTTGGCAACTCCGGATTCTACGCGCAGACGGTCGGGCAAGGAGTCGACGGAATGAGCCGAATGTTGAGATGGAGTTGGCGGGTTGATAATGTTCGTGGGAGAGGCAGGGCCGGTCAGCCCTACGAATTAAAATAAAAGAACTCTTATCTTCTTTTTTTCAGCATGGTTATTGTCAGCCCTTTTTCCCCTAGGCAGCGGACGAGCTTGATATCCCTGGTTTTATTCTCATTAAACCGGCCAAGCATGCTGTGCCTTTGGGCCGACAACATGGCTCCCCGTGTATCTGATGCTCATAAACCACAATCCATACCATTTCAACATATCGGTACAAATGCTTTTTCTCCTGAGGGTAGTGTGTGCGAGGTGGATAGTTCGGTGGCCAAATTTTCTAAATTTGGCTCTAAAGTCGACAATCAACAACATCTTACCCAAAGCGACAATTGCAACAACGAATCCAGTCCATTCCCAAGACTCGTTACATTAAACATATGGACACTATCGGCACTTGACTTCGACATTGTCTCTGCCAATATGATTCCGGCTAGTGCTAGCGCTGCAATCATGCTCGATATTTTGATTATCAAATAGCCAACGACCAACTACCACACGTAATAAGCGTCAGATCTACGGAGTATGAATACCCACACCTGTCATTGTAGACCCCACTCATGGTTGATAGAAATGATGACCGCTACGGAGTGCTATGCGTCATTCTTTCAGTTACCACAAGAGTATATTGTATATCGGAATATATGTATGATATTAATATTTAATTAATACAGTAATACTCTGAGGACACTTCTCTATTTCGATGATAATTATATGCCTCTAGACCTCATGGAATGCTATACCATCTCCGGAAATATGGATTACTATTCTAATATTTGATCTTTCCGGCCTTAAGTACAAGATATTTGAAATTGGACTTTGGGCCTCAGGCAGTACTTGGGCAATAATCAGACCTTCATTGTATCATAAAAATATTTGTCATGCGGCGCAATTTTCTCATCGGTGAATGTTCCAAACAGGACTTATATATACTAGCAGATACTAATGATACAGAAAGTCAGCCTTTGGGTGGAATGTATTTTCATCACATAAGGATAGACTTACTAATGAGACATGATTTTGCAGATTACATGAATCAGAATCATTTAAAACATAGCAATAGATACACTCTTCGTCCTCAGGAAATGAATGAGTTGCTCCACGCACTTCAAGCGGCTGCGTTATATTTAATTAAGTAGATAGTACAACTAAATACTCCAAGAGTTGCTGATAGACAATTCCCATTGTTGTTAAAGGTAGTACTTTTCGATGGTATGCTAGAGGGTGTAGTACTGTTATAATTGGATTGTACAGTATAGATTCACTGTTTTAGTATTCATCATTTGCTACGTTAGCGTTTTTATGAATTCATTTTCAACTTCTAGACAACATTGATTTTGTGGATGAAACGGATACCACTAAAGTGATGAGATATATATACTACAACAAATGGGCAGCTTAAAAAGTGAACGAATGCGACATGACGTAGAACGAAAATTCTTGCAAGGGCAAAAGTTTAGTGACAACTGTTTGTATATATAGTAGATTGAATAATGCAAGTGCAGATTTCTAGCTGTTTTGTGTTACTGATTTATGTGAATATGGTGTAGATTGGGATTGAATTCTGGCGTAGGATATCTGCAGGTATCCAGGTAAACTCAATACATTCCATGTATTACAAAGGCAGAGATAATAGATGTATCTGTGCCAACTAGCAGATGGAAAAGGCTATAGAAAGCCTGTAGTTGCGAGTGAAGAATGCGTTATAGTTGAATAGCAGGCCAAGACTCATGTGCTGGATTAAATGGTTTTTGGCATTTCTGCATTTAGAAAGTATATGGCTTGGCTCATCTCGAAAGAGTCTAGCCTAGAACTGCACTCAGACTGGGGCATGTCACAAAGTGCATTATTTGGAGTCAAAAGTAATGGTGAAACAACGATCTCATGCTAATTGATCAGATAACGCTAATCTGGCTGGGATGGCTGACATCCATGCAAGTACTTGAACAATCTCTCTCAATGAGGTCCACTGTAGATTCTTAGCATGTCAGGCATATCGATAGCATTCTCATGTCAGAGTTTGATGTCTGTGATTGGTCTGATCAAACCATTGAAGTTATTTTGACTCGTTCGGGAATGCACCCCTACGATAGTATATATTGGGATTCTGTCAACTCGATCGACATCTCAACAAATGGACGCCACAGTACGCCTCTGGGTCCATGAATATGATATCAAATGCTTAGTACTAAAAGACGTGAGCTATCCCCGCAGTTCGATGAGTAAGGCTGAAGGAGGGGAGTTCTGGAAGGGCGAATTCCTTGCATGGAGTTTCTGTCACGATCCCGAATTAACAGTAATTAAAGTAGGCGCCATCCCCGCCCCCAATGACCCACTTACAAGAACTGATGGGGATCGACAGATCGCCTCGGCCGGAATGATAAAATTCTTACATAGTATGGAGTAGACTGTAGGTTACTAAGAGGTTGGCTTACAGGTTGCTTGCACTTGCGCGAGGTTGAGCCAAGATCCTCCTTTGTGTATTGTTCCTTGCTGGATGCACCTTGATCGCAACGTGTGCGACTGTAAGTCGGTTAAATGATTCCAGAAACATCCAAGCGCGTATGCATTGATCTTCTTAATTTCGGGGATGCATAGGCTATTTTTAATTCCTGTAAGTGTGCAGGCCTAAGTATGAGCCTGCCAGGTGTGCAGAGCCAAGAGCGACTGCCAACATGAAAAGGGCGGTTAGTTGTCTCAGTGCGAGAGGAAGTCTGGCGGGCTGAGTGGATGGGATTGGACTGGAAGGACCGCCGTAGTCAGACATGTAACGCCGCCGCTCACCAGAGTGGAGGGGCAATTGAGACAGGCAGACATATTCCAGGTTTCATTCTGCGGTGATGGTGGGCCAATTGGAAGGCCACGGATAGCAAAAGGTGTGTTTCCCTGGTGCAACTAGAGAGAATCTGGATAAGGATTTCAAGTCGGTGATATGCCACTGTCTCGGTAGGTGAGATCCAAAGTCGTATTCTCTCGTATCTGGCCGTACCGGCCAATCTTACCACTAACTAAACCATTTTGGTGTATCCCGAGTAAAAATAGGGAAACAACGGCGGGACAATCCACCCGGAAGTGAAAGATAGTCAAGATAGTAAAAAAAGTATCAGAACTGCGGAGTGGCTTGCCTGGGCTGCCTGGCCCATTTTTGGGTATGGATGATGTCGACGGCAGCCGATCTGTGTGATGGGCTGAAGTCTGATTGATTTTCTTCCGATTGTGCAAGCAGGACGATCAGACGGGAAGAGATGGCTGGTGACATGGGATTTGCGACAGCGCATCCTGGTCGACAAGTCATCGCAGTCATCGCACACACACACAGCTCCCATGCTTTTTCTTAGTACTGAAATATTTTTGCCTACTTTTTTTCTAATTTTTATTCTTTTTTCTGTTCTGTTCTTCACTTATGTTTCCTTTTCCTTTTGGGTATGGTGCCTGAGACGGTGACAGATGGTCCATGGAAAGGAAGCCAACCAGAAAGGGTTCGCTGGGTGGCTGGGCCATCCGATAGTCAATGATTGGCCAGCAGGCAACGAGAAGAGGGGAAAGCTGCGTAACACTATCGGTATTTTTATGCACTTGGTCTTTTATTCTTTTTGTGTTCACCAGCCAAGATACGGTAACGAGGGTAATTCTATTTCCAGTCGAGCTGGTGCTGAATTTACTTTTCCCGCTGCTTTGAACTTGGTGGGGAATTATTGGGCATGACAGCAGAAGATGTTTTGTAGAAATGAATGTGTACTATCTTGTCACTTGCTTCTTGTGCATGTGCCTGGTGGTGAAAGAGGAATTGACTTCCAGGAGAGAGAGAGAGAGACGGGAGGATAAAATGTGAAAGAGAAAAAAAGGAAAGTTCCATGGGAAGAGGATCTCCGGACAGTGAACGGGCAAATATCAGGGAAAGTTTCCAGGCATCCGGTGATCGTCTAGATTCTTCTGGCCGAGTGGCTCTTGAGTATAACGCCATCGTCCAACCCGAGCTGATAGGACGAGTTGCAATTGCCCATCCATCGGTTCGAACAAGCGTTCCCCTCTTCATTGCGTGGCGCCTGTCGTCAATACCACCAGCCCGTACAAGTCAAAAGGCCTCAATGGCCCTCCCCGATTCCTTCTAGTACTGTTAGTTGTTGGTTTCGACTGCCGCTTGCTTCTCTTTTTCACACGCTCGTTTGTACTTTCTCCTCTTCCATCTGCACGGTCGACTGGAGTGGTACTTTCTTGCTTGCTGGCTTCCTACTTTCCATCTCCATCTCCATCTTTCCTACATAGTACCTACATTCTTCCCTACTAACCTACTGTCTTGGCATCTCTAGCTTGAGGCTATCGCATCTCATTTACTGTCGATCACTTTGAGCTCGCTGCGGATGGACCACCTTTTTGCAGTCACTATCGCTTAACATACGGACGCTCTGGTCGGTCGACTTTGATCGCACGATACACTCCTACAAACAGCCGTGCTTCAAGCCTGCCACTCTTCCCCACCGTCGGTGTCACCTTGATTATTCTTTCAAACGGCGTGACTCTTTGTGTGTAGAGACAAATTGCGGCGTTGATACTTCTTCCAACTTTGGGCGACATTTTCCACACTTTTCAGTGCTTTAGACTTTCCCCAGATTATTGGGACAGACATCAGACATCCGAGTGAATATCCGCTCGTGGATCCATCAAAAAAGCAGTACCCCCACGTTGCCTGCGCTGCTTAGTTTCGTTGGCTGCCTCCTGGCTGCATTCTGAAACCACGCTCCAAAAAGCCCGAGAATCAATCGCGCGCGATCATCATACATTCCTTGGCGGTTCCCACACCGGATCGTGCTTGCGCTCCACAACGGGCGCCATAGCTTAGACAGCGTCCTGCGAAAACCTGCTCCAGCTGTTGGTTATCAGGCGCTAAGGTCGACGGGGTGATAAATAAAATGGCGACCTCCCAGCCGGCCGCGCCTCCTGGCAGGCAGTCTCGTGGCTTCAGTTTCGGTGCAAAGTCGGATCGATCGCAACGGTCCAGCAATTCCAGCAAAAGGCCCCAGATATCGGAATCCTCCGACGAGAAACATCGCCGCCAACTACATTCCAAAGCCGATCCCATGGTTGCTATGAGCGAAGCGCAACCTAGTACGTATCCGGAACACTCCCCCTTATCTCTCTGCCCATTGCACTCCTGGATTTTGGCCTGCTATAACAAATCAGCCCAATCCTTCCATTCCCACTATGCTGCCTCCGATTCGCAACATATACTTCCCACAAGCATACAGACTGACTCGTTTCCCTAGATTTGGTTGCTCTCGAGCAGTCGACGCTGGGTTCGTTACGGACCATGCAGCATAAAGATCAGTATGGCAATATTATCAGTTCGTCTACCATGCTTCCTTGATCGGACATACATCCTTGGTGACATCTTGCTGATTGCTCTCTTCTTTTCTCACAGCTGATCCCGATCTCTCTAACCCCACGCGCCCGCGGTTTGAGCGTCCGCTTGAAACCATTCGATCTTTTGAGGCGGCAATTTATGGGACATACAGCAGTAGGCCTGCTTCGTATGTAAGGACGGGTGAGTCACCCCTTACTCCGGTTTGCTCGACCCGGCGGTTGATTGACGATGCATCGCAGAATCGACTCCTGCGACTCCAGGGCCAGAACACAGTCGGCGGGGAAGCTACTTTGGAGGTATTTCTCCTCAATCCCACGAGCATTGCGCCTTGGCATACAGTCGCAATGTCCATTGTTACATTCGGGGGAGGTCATTTTGCTAACTTGAAGGATTGGTATAGCTCAAAACGGCCATGCGCAGCGGGGTCATTACGACCAGGGCGGCCATTACAATGGTCGCGGGGCCTATTCGCGACCGGACAGCTATGTCGAGAATAGTAACGGCCAGTCCGACAACTATTACCCCTACAATCAGGGCGGCGGCCGACCGCGACCACGCCACCATGCACGGATGAACACCGACCAAAGTGGATATTCCCAACATGGCTATCACAAATCATATGACAACATGACCGCAGCGTCTGGCTCGGGCTCTGGCAGCAACACCGACGCTTACGGCAACTCTACCGACCCCAGCTCTGTGAACAGCTCTATTGATCAGTTCCAACAACAGCAACAGCAGCAGCAGCAACAACAGCAGCAGCAGCAGCAGCAGCAGCAGATGGCAGAAAGCTATGGGTTCCAAGGATTCGGTGCCGGGCCGAACCTGAACGGACAGGCTGGCGCTGGGGGACGGATCAACTTTGGCAGCAAGCCGCCAGCGGCTGACCCTAATGCCGGTGGCCCTGTTGGGGGCGGTGCCGCCGCTGCAGCCACAGCCAACCGGCGCCATCTCCGCAAGGCTACGAATGATTCTGAAATGAGCAACGACTCGAAGAAAAAGGGCTGGTTTAAGCGTCGATTCAGCAAGAACTAGTAGTCTGTGAGCCGGCTCCTCACATATCTTACCTTACTTACTATTCGATGTGTGTTTTCTGATCCAATTTGTCTGGGTGTACTACCTCCGCGGCGTTCAAGAGTCATGTTCAAGCACAGCAACTGGGATTTCGGGACGGACTGTGTCGGGTTTGGATTCGATTGCACTTTTATTTTACTCTTTTCAACTTTGCATGCGGTTGACGAGACCATGATACATGGATGCTTTTTGTTCCTTCTTACCTTTTCTTTTCCTGCCATGACAGTGCATGGAGTACTAGCCAGTATGATGTTGACTGATACGGGTGAAACTATGAGTAATGGTAGGGTAGTATAACTAAACCAGGGTGAAGAATACCTTCAACTTTGCTGTCAGATACCGAATAGATACTCAGTACTGACCACTGTATATCGGTCATACTAGTCAATCATGAACGCCCAAGTTATCAAGTACAGCCAGCCCCACATAATAGAAGAACCAAAAAGATTTACTACCTCTAGCAATCAGTACCATGAAACAAAACAACAGGGAATCTCAAATCAAGCGCAACAACAATAACAATAGAACACCCCTCCTCCACCCCATTACACTCCTCATCTCATCCTTTCACCCCTAACCAAGCATCCGTTCACTCATCCCACCAATCCCAGAACAGAAATAATCTACTTTCTCCCAAACAACTTATGCTTCAACTTATCCGCCAGCCCCTCATGCGCGGGTCCCTTATGATGCTTCTTCTCCTCTTTCTCCTTCTTATGTTCTTCGTCAAGGTGCACATTGCCTTGGCCACCGCGCTGTCAACAATCACCCATTAGCCACCACCTCCCTAGAAACACAGATAGATAGATAAGGGGAAAGTGCAACAAACCCCAGTATGATAATCCCCATCAACAGACTGCCGAATCGCCAGCTCGGGAATCATCTCCGCGTCGTGCGGGATTTTGGATGTTGGTCGCACGTGCGGAGAGCCGATGTTGCCGGCGCCGCCTCTCTTTACATTTGACGAGTTAGTATAGTGCTTGATGATGTGCTTGGGGGGCAGGATACTAGGTAGTAGAATGGACAGGTGTAGGGTGGGATGGCTTACGCCGGCTGAATAGGCGCCGTCGCCTTGGTCACCGTAGACTCCTTCGCGGACTATGCCGCCGTCGACGTATCTTCATACCCCATGTGTATTAGTATCTGGATATTTGTGGGAGTGAATAGGTGTAGTACTCAGTGGAGTCGGCGCCGATGTTTCCTTGGCCTGTTTGTTTTGGGAGTGAATGTTAATAGATTTGATTAATTGTACGGAGTAGGGGATTGTTGAATGGGACTTAGGGTAGTAGAAGGAAGACGTACCTCCACGGCCGTGCGACACAATAGGTTCGTGTTCGCCCATGGTGCAGTAATTGGGGTGGTTCTGGTACAAGTGGTTTTTACTAATGGGTCGGTGTATTGATTCAATGCGATGATAAGAGCGCTGTGATTAGGAGTCTGCGACGAGCGTGCGCGTAGCAAGTCAAGTCTGACAACAAGTTGCAGAAGAGAAAGAGCGCAAAGTGGCGGTTCCCGGGGATGGTTCGTATAGATATATTATGTACCACAGGGGTAGTAGGGTGTAGCGTGACTGCCTTAGCGCTTTTCTTGGGGCGCGATCACTGCCACAGCGGGCCAAGCCAGAGGGTGCGCCCTGGAAGCCAAAGTTAAATTGGGCGGAAGTTCTAGTCTACTAGTAGCTAATTCAGTGAATATTATCGGGATAAATCTAGATGATTGTTATCGAAGGAACCAAAAGAAGGAAACGATCGGGACGGCGTCCGATGACGTCGACGCGCTGATAAGATGCTTGTCCGGATTGGTCCGAGGCGTGACTAACGACTTTGGGGCCCGCCAATTGTTACTAAGGAATGAGTAACTTCATGTTATCTCTACCAGTTGTAGTTATCAGTTCAGCTGCTTTTATCACCGGCCTCGGCTCAGGGGTTCAATCAAATGTGGTTCATGAAAAGACAAAGGGAGTTCATCATTGCACAAAAAACACTAAATTTTCCTCACTCGAATATGAAGAAAGCTAGAGACGAAATCAGGCACGGTACTACCCCACCCTCCCCGCCTGCATACTACTGCCACCACAATGTATTCTACATTCTACGGAGTAATCGACCCTTCTTGTCAGGCAAGGATCTAAGCTCTCGGCGGCACAATTGTCTCCAGATTACTTCTTCTCTGCAGGAGGACCACCGCCAGTCGTGGGAAGACCCATGAAGATCTTGAACGAATCATAACTGCAAAACGTCAGCCGCTATTGATCGAGAGGGGTATACTGGAGATCTGAAGTAACACATACATCATCCACTGCAGTCCGGTCTAGAGGGGAGAGCAAGTTAGCTATCATCTGAAGGACAGATACCGATACACTTACCAAGGTGCCGATCATGACGATACGGACGGGAAGGCCGTTCCAGAGACCCCCGAAGCCAATGTCCTTGTAGATCCGGCTCATCGCTGCTCCAAATGCCTCTCCAGCCTGGCGGTTCGCATTCAACTTACTGACCATGACATCCGCTGGGTGCGATACGACGGCGCAAAGGATACCTGCCAGGTAACCACCGGTGAAGGCAACAGCGGTCTGCGCGCCCTTGTTGTAGTCAGACTTTTGACCCGGAAGGGTGTTGTAAATCATCTCGACAATTGTTTCGAAAGACGCAAACTTCATCATGGTGTACGGAATCTGTCGACCCCAGAGAGGGTAAAGACCCTTGTACAGACTGCTGCAGTCAGCTACCAGGGATTGGCGGCTTGCATTAGCAGCACTTACCCAGCCACACCTTCCTTGTTGACAACGCTAGAGATACCCGTGAAGGTTGATCGAATATCAGGTGGAATAGTCGTCTGCATGCGCACCTTGACGGCCTCGAACGGACACAGGGCGACATCAGCGATAAGCTCCGCCGACGCACTGGCGGTCAAGTACAGAGATGTCTTCCACCGAGTCGCGTTCTCAACTCCGACAAGATCACTGTAGAACTTCTTGAAGAACTCATAGCCACCATATTTGAACGCTCCTTGGGCCTTGGGTCCAATTAGACTATGCGGCGCATACGGTTCGGTCTTCACTTACACTGTATCCAAAGAAAGTTGGACCCCAACCGGTGAAAACTCCTCGGAGACCCTCTGCACCGCGAATTGTACGGAATGCCTCTGCATTACTCTTGTACAGCAGAGGATCGACCTGACGACGGCATTTGATCAAATCCAGAGGCGTCACAGCGGTATGGGTGAGACCCTAGGATCGGCCAAGACATTAGTATGCAGAAGTCGCTATACAGCGCTAGTTAGCAGAATGGAACATTCACTTACGCAAGCAAGCATTCCTCCAACCGTGCAAGCCGCATAGTACTTGGGAGTCCATGGCTCGATCTTGCCGGTTTTGGCTTGAGCTTTCTGGCTTGCAACATCGAACTCTCGGCTCGCTTCTTTAGCGATCGCATCGGCCTTCTTTTCGATGTCCTCGATAACGTTCCAGGCGGGGAACGGCTGGCGTCTCTTCAAGCCCGCAGCTTCCGGCTGTTGGATCTGCTGAGGTTGGCCCAGAGGGCTTTGGGAAGCAAAGGCGCGAGCGATATCCCCTTCAGAAGGAAACATGTTGGGCGCTTCTACCTAGAATTGTTATGATCTGTGTTATATTGTTTCAATTAGGATGCGATAAAGCATAATGGCGATATTGCATCGCGATAGTTCCTTATCTATACAAGCGGGTCCACTTACAACACTATATCGGCAGTATAGTCTGACGGATGTGACGTATATAACGGACGTCCACACCTAGTCTCGTCTTCTTCGATTGAAGAAATCGGCGCAGAATTCAGAAGGCAGCCTGAATCCAACAAAAAGCGATATTCTAGAGAAAGGGAGCGAAGGAACCTTCTGAGTGGTATCTGACAGTTAATGATGGTGCCGCTGACGTCGCGTGATGGCACTAACCGCTTTCGGGAATCCCGTCAACTGGTTGATCTGAAGCGATGAAATTTAATCTGATTGGAGCAACCTCATCCTGTGCTTCATGCTTTTTGGGTATAACTCAGTACTTCGGCTCTCTATTCCTTTGAAACACTTGCTTTTTGCGAAAAGTAGTTTCTAATCTATCGAGTGCAACCCTCGAAAGCTATCTCGACTACTTCAAGGGTCCCCAATTGACCGTTCTCTCGGAACCTTCCCTCCCGTGCCCCTCATCGAGTCACTGCGGGTTGAGTTGATCACCAATACTACTACCACCACCCTCACCAACACAAACCCCCACATCAACCCAGACAACATGGCCTCCTACATGAACGCCAGTGAGGCGCTGACCCAGCAACAACTCGCTCAAAATGCAGAGCAGCCCATCGCTCAGTCCGCATGGGCAAACAAATACCGCGGGGTGAGTCCTCTGCCCTCTTCTCCCCATTCGGTATTCCGCAAGAGTCAACAGGAACAAAATAACTAACACTCACCGGCATAATAGGCGACAGTAGAGGATCTGGACCCCAACCCAGCCCTATCTGTTTCTCCCGATGACCTGATCTCCACCGCCATGATGGCCGCCTACGAACGCGATTACACACACCTGACCGTTACTTCCTCAACGAAACGTTCTCTGGTCGGATACCTGAGCATCCCCCGACTAAAGGAGCTGCTCAAGGAGGGCGCTGTCAAGGAGACCGACCCTGTTTCTGCTGCCATGCAGCGATTCAACCGCAAGAAGGGTACATACCAGGTTATCACGATGGAGACGCCGCTGGAGGAGCTGGAGCAGTTCTTTGAGAGTGAGACTGGTCCTAACGGGGAGAAGAGGGCTAAGCAGGATTTCGCCGTGGTTACGGACGTTTCGCGCAAGTTCGTGTTGGGTGTTGCGACAAAGGCGGATTTGGCTGAGTTTGTGAAGCGGAGACCGGCTTAAGTGGTTGCATAATTGCATATTATGGATTTTTGGGCTTCTTATTCTGTTGATACTTTGCATTATATAATGGAATGTTCGCTCTGGATATGCTGCTGTTGTTGTGTGTGTGCATTTGGCAGCGCATCTTTAAGTGAACCAATACATCATTCTCCCTGGGAGTTCGTTATAGCTTTTATATCCAGACTATCAGGGAACAAATTGGCGGCTTTCACTGTGTATTATCCGCCTTATTGTTGACATAGTATGCCATTAGGTGACCGTAACAAACCACACATTTAGTAAACTGTAAGGTATCAGAACACGTACAGAATTTCCCTAAACCATTACATACATACATACTAGTATCCCGACATAGCTTCCACAACAAAAGATGCGACAAGTACATACTTAGCATGCAAAATCAGAGCGATCCATGAACGCCATTTCTGCAATACAGGCCGCTGGAGCCGAACACGAAAGTAAATGGAAAACAACAAAGACAACAAGACAGTGTGGCTGTACCTCACTGTGCTTTTTTCTCCTTGTACTTAGCGTCAGCTTCCCTCTCCGCCTGATCATCCTTCCACGCAACATAGATGTACGCGAAGAGAACTACGTTCGCCATGATGGCAGCCACGATACCGCCGACTGTGGCGCTTGCTGCTCAGATGTGTCATTTAATATAAGAACATTAGTAACGGGGGGATGTTTGGATGAGATTCTCACCTCCAAAGTCCACTGTAACAAAGTACATTCCGATAGGAATAACGACCATGGCGACGGAGAATCCGAGAAGTTTCATGATTACATTTCTGGAAGTGATGTGTTAGTCAGAGTTAGGGAGGGGGCGTATGTGCGTGATATGTATTGATAAGGTGTATGCGTTCGTTGGGCTGAACCCGGTAGTTCAGGATAGCCGCCATGTGGCCTAGTGTTCGTTGGTAGGGGACGAATGAGATGCACCTACGTGGGAACGGCAGGGGTCACATCTGAGTCAGAGGGCTTTGGAGAGCCCGAAGACGCGACACCATCCTTGGGAGACGGAGATTTCGGTGCGGAGCGACGAGTGGCCATGTTGATGATCGTAGTGGTTGTGGTGGTGATGGTGCCGGACAGGATTGATGTTGGGTGTTGGTTTTCCGGGGACTAATGCGTGAAAGCCGGAGGATGATCGACAAAAGGGATCAGGATATAATTGGTGATGACAAGTACAGCTTCTTCTATCCTATTTAAAGAGGATACTATCCTCTCGAGTACACTGTTTGTCTGGATGGGATCTTGAAATACTAGAGACATGGATTATTTTATACAGCGGATGATTTCATTCCGGAGTCCAGGCAATACCGGCCTCTGATTGGTCCATTTGTAAGAGGGGACATCTGGCTGCGTTTCTAGTGACAAAAGAAAGGCAAAGACGCTGGAAAGAGGATCGCCTTAGTGAAGAGACCAGCCTTGCACCGGTGAATCATATAAAGAGGGAGCTCTGATCCCCCCGATCCAGAGGGGGTTGCTCCAACTGCCATCCTCGGCTTTAATTGAAGCGCCAGACCACGTGACCCCAGCGCGTCCCGGGCGCGTTTTGCGGAGAAAATCCCAGGCGGTCGATTTATCGTTTCGCCTCGAGAGGATCCGATCGATCTTGACATCTTCCTTTCAAGTCCCCCCAATTCGGTTCTCCCTTTGGCTCTTGCCCCGGGGCATGACGCCATCCTCTTGTCTGCCTTTCTCCCTTTGATAATCTTGAGTCACCGATCATGGAGGAGACCGTCCCCGATACCCCAGTGAGCGACAAGAAGGTCGTTCACAGTACCCCAACCAAGGATGATACAGCAGAATATGAGACGGTTGCCACCGTTCCTGTCAGCCATCTCCAGCCACTCGCAACTCAATCCTTGACCCCTGCCACCCAGCGCTACACTCAGCCCACGCAAGTGTTGGACGTCCCCTACTCCGCAAAGAACAATTCCTTCGTTCAGGTCGCCGCATCCTCGCCTCCAGGTCCGAATTCCTCCCCCTCTCGCCCTACTCCGAGCGGCGGTCGTCTTTCCAGTGCCATGGCCCCGGCTGGCACCAGCTTTCGCCCTCCTGCCGGTCCGGCTAAGCGTGCGCCCATAATAGACCTTGAGGATGACGGCCCGACTTATCGCGGCGGCTCATCCGATGATGACGATCGAGCGTCAAGAAGCATAGACATTAAACCATCTTTGTTCGCCAAATTGTCGCGCAGCCCTGAAAAGGTTGCAGAGTCCCCGATGGATCGGTTCAAGCAGATCACTACCTCCGCGGTCTTCAACCCCTCCAGTGCGAAGCGCCCGGCAGCTCAAATGGACCCCACACCGAGAGGCATGGCCGTAAAGAAAGTTCGACAGGAGGGCCCCTCGCGTGCCCAGCCCGTGGGTACGAATATCTCTTCGCTGCAGGACATTGATGACTATCAGGTCAAAGTCAAGGTGGAGAGGATGTTGAAGGTCATGCCGCAGAAGTCTGTGAACGCATGCATGCAGGCGCTTCTTTCAAAACGTGGGAATTATGAGGCTGCTCTGGAGCACCTGGCAGATACGGACAAGGCTGATTCGTCCGAGGACGAGCTGATTACGAGCAAGCGGGCCTCCCCTGTTGCGCCCGCAAAGCAGCAGATTAAGGCGCGCGGAACTATTCAGGACAAATGGTCTGCCATGAACATGCAGAGGACATTGTCGGCCCAGAAGCAGCAACCGCAACCGTCACAACCGTCGGAAGAGGACGCAAAACCGCGCAGGCGCTTGATGAGGGGACCCAAATCCAGGGTGTCTTCTCCCAGTCCGGTTCGTTCTGAGCCTCGTGCGGAGACGCCGCCCAAGAAGACTGGCCGTTTGGTCCAGGGGCGGAAGCCTGCGTCACCTCAACGCTCGGAGTCCCCTGAGGCTATGATAATATCAGATGAGGATTCCGATTCTGGCGTAGAGGAATCAGCAGGGGATGGTCAAGTGGAGACAAGAGTTTTGAACTTCTTCAACAAGTGCAGTGTCCTGGACCTTGCTGACATCGCCGCGATCACCGAGGATGTTGCGAAACACGTCATATCCTTCCGACCGTTTTCATCCCTAAACCGTGCCCGTGCGGTTCCTCCCCCGGCGAAGGAAGAGACGAAGCCCAAGGGCGGCCGTGGCCGTAAAACGCCAAAGCCGATCGGCGACAAGATTGTCGACAAGTGCATTGACATGTGGGTTGGTTACGAGGCGGTGGATTCTTTAGTTGCAAAATGCGAAGCGCTCGGCAAGCCAGTCGCGGCGGAGATGAAGAAATGGGGCGTGGACATTTTCGGAAAGAAAGAGGGAGAGCTGGAGCTGGTATCCATCAATCCCAGAGACGCCAACTCTCAGTCTCATGATTCCGGGATAGGAACACCCGCAAGCCAGCGCTCGGATGAAGATAGTGACGGACCCGCGCCTGGTCCGCGGAAAAGCCGTTTCATCTCTCAGCCTGGAATCATGCGCGATGATCTGAAGATGAAAGACTATCAGATTGTGGGCATCAATTGGTTGTCCCTCTTGTTCGAGAACCAGTTGAGTTGTATCCTGGCCGACGACATGGGTCTTGGAAAGACCTGCCAGGTCATTGCTTTTTTGGCGCACTTGTTCGAGAAGGGAATCAAGGGACCACACCTCGTCGTTGTTCCCTCATCTACAATTGAGAATTGGCTTAGAGAGTTTTCGAAGTTTTGTCCCACTCTCTCCGTCATGCCTTACTACGCTGGACAGGCAGAGCGGGCAGTCATCCGAGAGACGATTGAAGACAACCGAGATAGTATCAACGTCATCATCACTACTTACACGATCGCCAAGGGCAAGGTGGATGCCCACTTCCTCCGCAATATGGACTTTTGCGTCTGCGTCTACGATGAGGGTCACATGCTGAAGAGCAGCACATCCGTGCTCTACGAGAAGCTTATCAGAATCCCAGCTCGTTTCAGACTCCTCTTGACAGGTACGCCATTGCAGAACAACCTCCAGGAGCTAGCCTCATTGCTGGGCTTTATCCTTCCGAAAGTGTTCCAGGAACGCAAGGAGGAGCTTCAGTACATCTTCGCGAACAAAGCAAAGACCGTGGATGAATCGCATTCAGCTCTCCTTTCCGCGCAACGGATTGAACGCGCAAAGTCCATGCTGAAGCCTTTCGTCTTGCGACGCAAGAAGCACCAAGTCATCGACTTGCCTGCGAAAATCTCACATGTTGAGTACTGCGAAATGAACCTCGCACAGCGCGAGATTTATGAGCATGAGAAAGAGGAGGTCCGCAAGCTGTTAGCTGACCGAGCTGCTGGAAAGAAGACCGGCAACAAGTCCGCCAACATTCTGATGAAGCTCCGACAGGCTGCCATCCACCCCCTGCTATACAGGCGTCACTATGATAACTCCACTCTGAGTCGCATGGCTAAGGCTTGTCTCAAGGAGGAACAATGGTCTCTATCAAACCCGGATATCATCTACGAGGAACTCCAAGCATATAACGACTTTGAGTGCCACACCATGTGTGTGGACCACCCTCACTCTCTGGGCAGGTTCGCTCTCAAGAACAACGAATGGATGGACTCCGGTAAAGTGGACAAACTTTGCGACCTTTTGAAGCGGTTCAAAGAGAATGGCGACCGTGCTTTGGTCTTCTCTCAGTTCACACTAGTCATGGACATCCTCGAACACGTCCTCGAAAACCAACACATTGGCTTCGTTCGCCTGGATGGCAGGACAAACGTCGAAGACCGCCAGTCCATCCTGGACGCGTTCCACGAACGCACTGACATCCCCGTCTTCCTCCTTTCTACCAAAGCCGGCGGTGCAGGCATTAACTTAGCTTGCGCCAACAAAGTCATCATCTTCGACTCCAGCTTCAACCCCCAAGAGGACGTCCAGGCAGAGAACCGTGCCCACCGCGTCGGCCAAACCCGCGATGTGGAAGTCATTCGCCTCGTGACCAAGGGGACCATCGAAGAGCAGATCTACGCTCTCGGACAGACCAAGCTTGCGCTCGACCAAGCCGTGGCCGGTGAAGACGGCGCCGAGTCAAAGAAGGCCGAGGACGCAGGCATGAAAGTGGTCGAGGATATGGTTCTTGCGGATATGCAGCACGATAAATCTGATGACGCATAAACGTGACACATTATCTTGTACTCTTGCTACTATGTGCTATATGGTAGCTTTAAAACATGTACCGGCGCAATCTTGTTTCATTTTATACTCTGTTTTGTCTCATCCAACCTACAACTCTTTGTTCTCATCCCTCCGTCTAATACACGATTCACCAGCGATTGATAAACTGATGCTCTTTTGCATGTGACCGTTACCTTGTGTTTACAAGCGGTCTCTTCCACCTACCTACCTACACACCCTACTACATTTTGCCTTACATTACTGCATCACCACATAGAGTGGAAGTGCTTACATACATACCTACACGACGCAGAGAAGAAAGATGCCGGGGAACTTGTTTTGTTTTCATTAGTAGTTCACCGAACATCTCGGTTATGTGGCTGGACAATGAGGAAGTAGGGTTCTTCCATTGGGTCTTGGTTTCTCTTGTTTCATTTACACTGTTTGCTTATAGAAAAGGAGTTGGGGTTTGTCTTTTTAACACAAAATTCTGTGTCTCGGAGGTTGGTTTTAATACGCATACTATAAAGGTGGGCGTTATTAATATATCGATTAATTGATTGATCGATCATCTGGATGTGACTGTGCTGGCCTTTTTTTCGGCTTTCCGGGGTAGACTACCACTGTGTATTTGTCCGTCTCTGTCGAGGATCATACAATGCGGATTACGCCGGCAGCTAGACATAACTAATGGATTCGTATATATTCGTATAGTACTATGTATGTATAATCCTGGGAACACGAGAGCCTCTATTAACAACACACCGTGGGAATCTATTTAGAAATGCAGAAATTGGGGAACCGATATTCAACACCAGATAATGCGAGACAGTAGCTTGGTAATCAAAAGGAGATGAAGAAGTAAAGCAAGAATAGGACGCAAGGGACGCAGAGGCATCAGGTAGAGGGAGTAGAGTTAAGCTGTCAGCTCCTGCTTCTGAGGCGCAGCTTCGGGAGCCGGAACAGAGACATCGGCCTGGGTCTCCGCCTCCGCCTTGGTCTTCGTAGGAGCTGGGATGGAGTTCGTGCGAATGGGACCGCCTGCGCTGACCGCGGGGGAGGTGGACTTGACGCGAGAGGCACCGCCAGCAGCCCGCGCGGATTCGTTGTTCTCCATGGCGTTCTGAACGGCCTTGCTGCGGGTGTGTTCGGCCTGGAGGTCTTTGGTAGTGACTGACTTGTCGGTGAGGTTGAGGATGTCGTCCACTTGCATGGCGAGGGGAAGGAGATCCTCGAATCCGAGGGCGTGGCATGTATCGGCATAGGACCTGGCTGCCTTTGCAAGCTTGCCTTCCTGGAGCTTGCCGGGGACGAGGATGTTGAGGAGATATTTGGAGTTGCCGAAGCGGTTCTCAGACTCGAGGCAGAACTTGATATATTCGTGGACTACCTCCTTCCAGGGGAGAAGGCCGCCCTCGGCTTCGGTACGGAAGCAGGATGGGTTTGCTTCTGCGGCTGTGGCGATCATCGCGCCGTCGACGCCGAACTCTTTCATCAAGGCGTGTCCCTCATCTTTGGAGGTTACATCACCGTTTATAACGCATGCGACACCAGCCTCATGACAAATGTCGGCAATCATGCGCACCTGATCACGGATAGCGCGTTCACGGGGCCTCATGGGCGGCGTCCGACAATGCACTGTCAAGCCCGTAATGCCTGTCTTCACGAGCCGCGACACCAGAGCTCTCGTCTCCTCGGGATCTTTCAAAATGCGGATCTTGACCGAGATACCGATCTGGAATGGCGTCCCGACCTCCTTCACCAGGGCTTCCAGAATCGCAACCAACTTATCCGGTGTCTTGAGAAGCGCCGCACCCATACCACCGCTCGTGCTAAAGGGTTTCGGACATCCCGAGTTCACGTCGATACCGGCGACATCGCCCGCGACGAGTTTGGCTGCTTGGACGGCGATTTCAGGCGTCGCAGTGCCAATTTGATAGATGAGTTTGCCTTTCTCGCGGACGGGATCGAGACGGTAGATCACGGATTCTTGGCCTGCCTTTTCGGTGCGGCCGCCGTTGGAGGGCATGCGGGTGAATTCGATGGTGCCGTTGCGGGGGTTCACACGGCGGATGGCGCCTGCCATAGCCCGGTCGATGGTTTCAGGGCCCCAAACTAGATCGGCGCCATACTTGAGGGCAATGAGGCGGGAGGGCAATTCGCCGGAGCGCACCATAGGGGCCAGGACTACTTTGCCACGGTAGTCGACCCCGTTGGCGGGGATGGGGACGCGGGGAGGAGTGGTTAGAGAGGCCATTGCGGTGCGGAGGAATCTTAGCATAGCATTATCGAGTTAACGGTTTTAGAGAGAGTGCAGTGTGGGAGAGTATCGAGCTGTGTGAGCGGTATGAGCCCGTAGGGATGTAGTAAAATGATATTATGGATCGAGTCGCATCCAAGATCGCTGATGGATCAAAGCCGGTGGAGGCGGAGACGAAAAATGCCGGGTCACGTGGAGATACCCGATAACTTTTTTCTTCCCTGAAGAGTCATGTGATCTATACTAGGGCACTTTTGTACGGAGTACTGGGAACATACAGGCGCTGGCTGGGAAGTGGTTCCTTATTGAAGGTCCATAAGCATCACTATCAGCTCTACATAAGGTTGTAATCTACCAGGAAAGTGTAAAATGTCTATTGTGCCATTGTATATGGGTATCTCAGACAGTATCGGCAGATATCAGGTGATCTACTCTTTAAAAGGTTTGATCGAGCCTTTGCAGTGGAGATGACCGCAATATTACCCCTTCAGGAAATAGCTACAACTTCATTGCTATCTCTGGCAGAGCAGACTGTGCTTTAGATTTATCCATGGTTCTGGTTGTACCAGTGACTTCTGATCACATGGTCATTTGCCTGATCGGTTCTGGTGAGGTTACAATGAATTGTTGCTTCGCATCTCTCTCTCCGTCCGGGTACCTGCCAAGGCCGTGAACATGACAGGTATGCAACACTGAGAAATAAAGGATGTCAATTGCAGAGACACATTTGACTGCCTTGACGGATGATACTACATGCAACACTGTACATGGCAGCAGTGTGGGGAGCGTCGTCAACAGCATGGAAGAGTATAAACTGCACAACCTCAGTCATCATTTTTGGCTACAGCACCAGGCCATCGCAAGGTACTCCGGTTGGCTACTGGGTTCTTGGGACCACGAATGTCGCAATATCCCACCAGTCAGACGATTCAGGGACAGCACAAGCCAGAAGTGTGGAACGCCATCTGCGGTGGAGACCCATCCAGGACCAGTCATTCTGCGGCGAAAGTCTCAGAGGTGGTGGGTGTCCAGCCAGTATGGAGGGTTGGGAGCAGGTTGATTACTAGTTGGAACTAGAGTGGAAGAGTCCGTATATTGCCTGGTCATGTGTGACTTGAAGAAGGGGTGTGTATAGCTTCCCCTTCGCTGTAACCATCAAGCACTTTGTTACTGAGGGACATACTTAGGGACGGGTTGAACAGATAATAGTCCAGAGAATTATTACATGAGGAAAAAGAAGAAAAAGGAATAGTAGAACCCGAGGCTGGGTCTTTTTTCCCGACCGATTTTCCTTCCCGACCGTGGCAGGTCCATTGATTCCCATCCCTTTTTATACCTCGCCGTGGACGACAAGCACGAATTCCCACCCTGTTCGGTTGTCAATTGAACCAATTCAACACGGGCATAGCCTCAAAGCCAGCTTCAATGTTCCTGGGGGTCCGTAGGGTATCCAAGGGAGTCCAAGTTGGAGGCCGCGCATTGAAAGTGAATCCATTGAGCCGGCCACCCACCGCCTGTCCGATCCTCGCGCGTACTGGCTGTTCGCCCGTCCTTCGCACATCCGCAACGCTGGCTCCCCCCACCAAGCAAGCCCCCCCTCCTCCCTCTCTCTCTTCCTCTCCCTCCCCTCTTCTTTCTTCCTCTCCTTCTTCCTCCGCTACAGCTTTGTCTCCCTCTTCCTCCTCTCGAGTTGATCGTTCGGTTTCGTCCGCTTCATCTCGTGCTGCCCTTCTATCCAAACACTTTACCACCTCCGCTGCCCCGCCGCAATCGCCCACCATGTCCTACACCGTCCGCAAGATCGGCCAGGCCAACACCCTGGAGCACCGTGTTTACATTGAGAAGGATGGCCAGCCCGTCTCTCCCTTCCACGACATTCCCCTCTATGCCAACGAGCAGCAGACCATCCTCAACATGGTCGTTGAGATCCCCCGCTGGACCAACGCCAAGCAGGAGGTACGGACGCCACAATACACACACACAACGAACCCCCCCTTTGCAAGTGGGGGCTACGCTGTAGCTTGACGTCGGTATACTGATTTTGCGACCCAGATCTCCAAGGAGGAGTTCCTCAACCCCATCAAGCAGGATGTGAAGAAGGGCAAGCTCCGCTACGTCCGCAACTGCTTCCCCCACAAGGGTTACCTCTGGAACTACGGTGCCTTCCCCCAGGTATGTAAAAAGAGTGCCACGTCAAAATTTGTACCACCCCGCACTGACCCTTTACATAGACCTGGGAAGACCCCAACACTGTCCACCCCGAGACCAAGGCCAAGGGTGACAACGACCCGCTCGACGTTTGCGAGATCGGTGAGCTCGTCGGCTACCCCGGTCAGGTCAAGCAGGTCAAGGTTCTTGGTGTGATGGCTCTTCTCGACGAGGAGGAGACCGACTGGAAGGTCATTGTCATCGACGTCAACGACCCCCTGGCTCCCAAGCTTAACGACGTTGAGGATGTTGAGCGCCACCTCCCTGGCCTCCTCCGCGCCACCAACGAGTGGTTCCGTATCTACAAGATCCCCGACGGAAAGCCCGAGAACCAGTTCGCTTTCTCCGGCGAGTGCAAGAACAAGAAGTATGTGTTGACGGTACCTTATATTATGTATCCAGGCTAACGTCCAACCCCTAGGTACGCTCTCGATGTCATCCGCGAGTGCGCCGACGCCTGGGAGAAGCTCATCTCCGGCAAGTCTCCTCGTGGCGAGATCAGCGTGTAAGTATCCTTGTCTCCTGACTTGGGTAGAGAATATACTAATTGCGTCTAGTGCTACCACCCAGGTTGAGGGTGCCGAGCGTGCTGACGCCGCTCAGGTTGCTGCCATCCCCAAGGGCGAGAACCTTCCTCCTGCCCCCATTGACGGCAGCGTTGACAAGTGGTTCTTCATCTCCGGTGCCGCTGTCTAAATGTATCTTTACTCTAAAATTTAAATACCACAATACCACATACCCGAGAGGGAACTTTACAGAAGTGCAATCTTATCTTTTGTTTGTCGTAGATGTAATCAAACGTATATTCTATCGGATTCAATTCACATGTATGCGCTCTTTAAGTATTGCAACCTTACCAAAAAGTACTGCCTATCACGGCATATGAAACCAGCACTATAAGAAATGGAGTATCACTCAATGGCTAATATATACACATACACATACAGAACATGATAGTACAAAGTACGACCAGACCGACATAGTCACCCTTTCGGTCCTGAAAGCCCCAGTCATACTGCGCAGCCCTTCATCCACTTCCAGAAGACAGGAGAGACAGGACAGACAAGTAAAGTCTTCGCATCACGATGGAAAATCCTCACCCCATTCATGCCGATGCAAACCATACCACACAGCTCATGCAAACAACCCCCCGCCCCCCAAAAAAACAGCAAAGAAAAGATCTAAGACTTCAGCGCCTCCTCACGCTCAATAGCCCTCCCAACACGAGCAATCTCCTCAACGACATCCCCAATCTTCATCTGGCGCTTTCCAACCTCGATCTTCAACTCCTTGCCATTCTTGAACCCTATCGTCAGCTCGGGCTCTTGCGTCGATGACCGCGGCAGCTGAGTGACCTTGATGTCGATGTGGCCGGGGCTGGAGGCGGGCGTGGTCGTGGGATTGCGGAGGAGAGAGAGGATGAGTCTGCAGGGGCGGGCGGAGCGGAGGAAAGGGTTGAAAGTGGTGCGGAAGGTGGAGATTGTTGAAAGAGGGATGGTCATTTTGGCGGTGGTTTTTGTTGTAGTTGTTTGTAGGGTTGGACGGTCTTTTTTTATTGTTAGTTGATGGTTTTTGATGCGTTTTCGGAGACGTACTTTGCGGATGTTGGGAGGTGTAGAGAGGTAATATGTGGTGTTGAGTCAAGGAAATTGACCTTGGCTATGTAACTGAGGTAATTGCGTGGTGTGGTGTATAATTTCTGGAGAATTGAGCGGAGAAAATAATCACCCTGTATGGATCACTTCAACTATCTTCAAATCCGTCCGCTCTCCGGATGCGCAGCGCGGTCGGTCGCTGGGTGTTTGTCTCATATGCAAACATGCAGTGTGGTACGGTAGGTGGTAGATCGGCGGCGGCCTCAGGAACGGGACTCGGAAAGCGATGACGCTGTAAAGTAAGTTGCGGACACATTGGCCATCTCCGCTTTCCCCCCTCTTGATTTCTCACCTGCTTTTTCTATTTCGGTCTCTTAATTTGTTTGGGGGGTTTTGGTCTACTGTGGATGCGGTAGTGAGGCGGTTTCTGTATAAACATTGTATTTTTCTGCGATATCTACTACTACTTCTACATCATCGCACACGCAAAATGGCCAGCATCGCCGATCTACAAGCCCGTTTGAAAGAGCTCTCGACAGCTCTGTCCCACATCCAGCCGCTGGTCTCTCGGTTAAAGGGCTTTACGACTGCAGTTGGACAGGGCGATCAGCCGCGATTGGAACTGGGGACGGAGATCCATACTCGACTGAAAGAGGCGGAGGAGCAATTGGAGTTGCTGAAGGTCGAGGTTGAGGCCCTGGAGGCTGCAGCGGATACGCGGCGCAAGGGTGTGGATAATGAGAAGGAGTCGGAGAGGGAACGGGTTATTGCCTTGGCTGGACGGTTGGCGGATGATTTGAAGAGGTAGGTGGAATCGACTGATTGCTCTTCCTGGATTGTTTACTAATGGGTATGTTACGGCTTTGGCAGAACGAGAGGAGACTTCCGGAACGCACAATTACAAGCGAAGCGGAATGCTGAAGTCGCCCGACGGAAAGAGCGAGAGCTACTGTTTACGAGGTCACAAAGTGCGGAGAGGAAGAAGCAGTCGAGTGAGAAGCTGACGCAGGATGATATTGTCATGAATGCTTCGAATGATGTTACGGCTGCGCTGAGACGGACGCATCAGTTGATGCAGGCGGAGCTGTCGCGGAGTCAGTTTGCGCAGGAGACGTTAGGTTTGTGCTGGTTTACCTTGGGTGCAGGTCAGGGTAATGGCTAACATTGGTGGTTTAGATCAATCGACTGCTGCGCTGTCCTCGCTGTCAGAATCCTATACAGATCTCGATTCTTTGATTTCGTCGTCACGCAATCTCATCGGGTCTTTGCTACGCTCGCAAAAGTCGGATACTTGGTACCTTGAGACGGCTTTCTACATATTGGTTGGCACCATTATTTGGCTTGTCTTCCGGCGGATATTATATGGTCCCCTGTGGTGGCTCGTCTGGCTGCCTCTCAGGCTGTTCGCGAGGTTCACGTTTGCTATTTTGGGCGCCGTCGGGATTACCAGTAAGGCTGTTCAGTCTTCTGAACCTAGTACGATGCTCGAATATGTGCCGCAAGAGACCCCAATGGTTGAGCAGAAGGTGGAGCCGAACATCCAAAGTGCTGAGGGCGAAGCGGTCTGGGATCAAGTTCCAGTTACGGATGAGGCAGAGGAGGACCGCTTAATTGATGAGATCGGCAAAATGGTGGAAGAAAGCGAGGAGCAAGAGGAGACCAACATTGACGACATCTCAGAAGAGGAAAGGCAAAGGCAGGCGGAGTTGCCCCGGAACCCTAAGAAGAGGATGTTCGAGGCTACGGATGTACCACAGCAGAAGGACGAACTATAGACAGAAAGTAATGTGTGACGAGAACTGCCAAGCGCAGAAGCGTACCTGCTCATTAGCTTCTTACAGCGAGTTCAATTGCCTTTGTAAATTTAGATGACTCCGTAGATAGTAGATCACTGCCTCGGCCTCAAGCGAACAATAAATGGCTTGGCGCCATCGCGTATCACGTGGAGACGCGTCCCGACACGCTTTCCGCCCGTGTGCCAGAGCTCCGACAGCAGCTTCCGCTACACCATTGATCATTTAATCGCAGTGCTGAAGTCTGGTACTCGCTCTCTAAGCCATGGCTGCCAATTTCTTCAACAACAAGGCCCGCGCTGCCGCGGCAGCAGCGAACCCTTCGAAGCCGAAGCCCACAGATAACAAGGAAGAACAAGCAAAGCAACAACCATGGGTTGAGAAATAGTATGCCAACTACTAGACCAGACAGTATAGCACTCAAACTGACAGCCACATAGCCGTCCCAAGACCCTCGATGATGTCGCCGCCCAAGATCACACAACCAAAGTCCTTCAACGAACACTCCAAGCTTCCAACGTACGAAATGAATTCTATCGTCAACCAGAAGAAACGACAACCTGCTAACGAGTACCCAGCTCCCCCACATGCTCTTCTACGGACCCCCAGGTACCGGAAAAACATCCACCATTCTCGCCCTCGCCAAATCCCTCTTCGGACCTTCCCTCTACCGCTCGCGCATTCTGGAACTGAACGCCTCCGACGAACGAGGTATCGGTATCGTGCGTGAAAAGATTAAGAACTTTGCCCGTGCTCAACTCACACACTCTACGGGGTTGGGTGAGGAATACTTGGCACAATACCCGTGCCCGCCATTTAAGATTATTATTCTCGATGAGGCGGACAGCATGACGCAGGATGCGCAGTCTGCGTTGCGTCGCACGATGGAGCAGTATAGTCGGATTACCCGTTTCTGCTTAGTTTGCAACTACGTCACGCGAATCATTGAGCCGCTGGCGAGTCGATGCAGCAAGTTTCGATTCAAGGCTCTGGATAACACGGCCGCTGGAGAGAGATTGGAACATATTGCCAAGGTGGAGAATCTAAGGTTGGAGGATGGAGTTGTGGATAAGTTGATTGCTTGCAGTGAGGGTGATATGCGACGGGCGATTACGTATATGCAGAGTGCGGCTAAGCTTGTCGGGGCTGGCCGGGCTGGGAAGAAGGACGAGGACGAGGACGAGGAGATGACAGACCAGGAGTCGGAGGTGATTACTGTTCGGACAATTGAGGAGATTGCTGGTGTTGTTCCGGAAAGTGTATTGGATGCGTTGGTGCAGGCGATGCAGCCGAAGAAGATCGGGTCCTCGTATGAGGCTGTTGCGAAGGTGGTTACGGATATCATTGCTGATGGGTGGAGTGCAACGCAGCTTCTTTTACAGGTATGTAATCGGATAAAGTGGGAGTGTATTGATGCTAACTTTGGGTAGTTGTATCGACGGGTGGTGTTCAACGACGCGATCCCTGATATCCAGAAGAACAAAATCGTTATGGTGTTCTCGGATATGGATCGACGTCTGGTTGATGGTGCAGACGAGCATCTGTCTATCTTGGATGTGGCCCTTAAGATCTCTGGCATCCTGGGAGGAGCTTAGATCAAGTTAGAGAATCCGAGATTCCTGGCTACTCTACTTCATAAACAGTGCTTCCCGCTGCGACACCTCCGGTAGGATGTGGAAGAGCCGGCGGCAAGCCGTGCATCCTGATGATATCAGAGGATGCAGAAAAAAAACCGCGGAATATGCGACGTCGTCCACAGTGGCAGTGAACTGAACATACAGTAGCGGCCGCTACCAGTGGAAACAGCAGACGTGCTGCTCCATTCGATTAATTATTTGCTCGGAGAGGATTTGAAATTTTACGACTGTATGATATATTAATGAACGAGCTAAAAGCGTCCCTACGACTTTTGAACTTCTAGACATGCATCAGATGCTATAACAACTACAATGTAGTTCATTCGTAGGGCTGCGATATCCGCCCTCGGCCCCTCACGTGCGGCCCGCTCGCTGTTCTCACCGAGATCCGGATTGCTGTACGCCGCTCCAGTCATTCGTCTGTCTGGCAAGCAATTCTGTCATTCCTTGCATTTGCTCGTTAGAACTGGAAATTTCCGGCTTTACTATCCCTTTCACGATAGACCGCATACAATAGACAGCCAACATGGCGACTTCCGCTCCCTCCTCGGAATACCCCGCGTCGACGCATACACCCCGCTATTTGACCGGCGACGCTGCGGGCATCCAAGAATTCCTCGACAAGTTCGATGTGAGTCATACCATGATTTCCTACTGACTGGATAGTATACTCGGAAGCATACGATATATAGATTGACTGACAATGACATCAGGTCTTCCTCTTCGACTGTGATGGTCCGTCGCATACCCATGCGCCTCCGCGCTCTCCCGACTTGCTATACATACATACTGACATGATGCGAATGCAGGCGTCCTCTGGTCCGGCGACCACCTCTTCCCCGGCACAAACGAGACTCTGGAGATGCTGCGGAGAAAGGGTATGCCTCCCTTACATGCCGGTGTTATTTGAGACAAAACGTTAATACGAATCTAGGCAAACAAGTAGTCTTCGTAACCAACAACAGCACCAAATCGCGCGCCGACTACAACAAGAAGCTCACAGCACTAGGAATCCCCAGCAACACCGTACGTCAATCGCCTCCGCCCAGTATCCGGTCCCATCCCACATCTAACCCCGTTATTAACGAATAAACAGGAAGAGATCTTCTCCTCCTCCTACAGCGCCTCAATCTACATCTCGCGCATCCTCTCCCTCCCGCCCAACAAGCGCAAAGTCTTTGTAATCGGCGAAACCGGCATCGAACAAGAACTCGCCTCGGAGAACGTCCCCTTCATCGGCGGCACCGACCCGGCCTACCGTCGCGAAATCACCCCCGAAGACTACAAGGACATCGCGAAGGGCGACTCCTCCACGCTCCTCGACCCGGAGGTCGGCGTCGTCCTCGTCGGCCTGGACTTCCACATCAACTACTTCAAGCTGGCGCTCGCATATCACTATATCCGCAGGGGCGCAGTGTTCCTGGCCACGAATATCGACTCGACGTTGCCGAACTCGGGCACGCTGTTTCCCGGAGCGGGTAGTATGAGCGCGCCGCTGATTATGATGTTGGGGAAGGAGCCGACGTCATTGGGGAAGCCGAATCAGGCCATGATGGATGCAATTGAAGGCAAGTTTCGGTTTGATAGGAGTAGGGCTTGTATGGTGGGGGATCGGGCGAATACTGATATTCGGTTTGGGATTGAGGGAAGATTGGGGGGTACGTTGGGCGTGCTGACGGGGGTTAGTAGTAAGGAGGAGTTTGTGGAGGGGGATATTAGGCCCGCTGTTTATTTGGATCGGTTGGCGGATTTGTTGGTTGTTGATCAGTAGATTCCATAGATGGATTGTGGTGCGGGTAGAGGGTATAGTTAGCTGTGATAGACGTACATACATACATACATAGGGAGACGAAGTTATAGAAGATAATTACTCCTCCACTTACTCCTCAACCTAACCTTCACCTTCGGCGGTTCCAACACCCCATCACTCCTAACAAACCCTCTCAACCTCCAAAGTGCCAACATCGCCTCCACTGTCGCCTTATTATCCGGCCTCAACACCACCGCCGTCTTCCCAAAAAGTCTCGGACAATACTCCCTCAATTCCTCCAACTCCTCCTCTCCTAACATCACCGTCAAATCAAACACCGGTGCCACCTTCTTCTCCTTCGATATACACACGATCTCCGGCATCCGCGGCCACAACCCCGTAACTCTCCCGGGCTTCCCCCTCCGCCGATTCATCACCAACACCCCGCAACACTCCATCCGCTCGAACGGCTCCATAGACCACGTCCGGCGCGCTAAGTAAGCTCGTCCGTACTTACTAACCGGCAGAACTGTCCACACTCGACGCTTCGCTTCGGGCTGCGTGTTGGGTGGGTCGGACGCCGCTTTGAGTTTCTGGACCACGTCTCGGCGCATCATTTTCAGAGTGAAAGTGGGCGTGTCTTCTCGCAGGGAGAGCTGCGATTCCTCCCAGCTTGTTACGGGGCCGAGGGGGTGTTTCCAGCGGTGGGGGAGGAGTTTGGCGAGCGGTTCGCGCTTACGGTTGGTTTTGGTGCTCCAGTAGGTTGAGGTTAGGGTGCGGAGGAGGGGGAGGCGGTCGACTATGCGGAGGGTTAGGTGGCGGGTTTTCTTGTTGGTGTCGGTCTTGTCATTGTCGTTGTCTTTGGTGTGTTCTTCTTGGGGAGGATTTGTGGAAGAGGGATATAGTTTGTCCTTCATAAGTCCCACGGGTAACAACCAGAGCTTGTCTTCAACGTCCGGACGTTGTACAAACCCCCATTCGCTCATAAATGCGCGCGGGACTCGCGCGCCGGTTACTTTGCAGGCTCGGAGAGGCGAGGCGAGGGCCTGCGCCCAGGGGTTCAGGTGGATGTCGGATTCGTTGGGGTCGGGGCGGCGTTTCTCCTTGTGTAGCTTGTCGTGGCCGGGGCGGGGGTTGGTGAGGAGGGGGGATTGAGGGAGGAGTTCGGAGGGGCGTGGAGGTCGGCCTAATCCTTTCTTGTCTTCAGAAGCAGCAGCTTCTGCTTCTTCTGTCGGGGTAGACTTCAATGTCTTGTCCGCGGAGGCCGCCGAACGAGGTTCCCGTGCACCATTGTTGGTCGACATAGCACGATATCCCACCTCAGGGGAGCCATTCGGCTGGAAAAGCTGCCGGAATATCCTCAAACGCCAGGAAGCGTATGAGATCCGGCTGTTGAGACACGCCATGGCATGTGGGTGGTGAGAAAAGGGAATATAGTTGAGAAATCGGGAAAAAAGGCGGCGGCGGCGGAGACGATGTCGGACGCGCTAAGCTTCGGCGGGATCTGGAGCTCCGCCGGCGGACCAGATCTCCAACGCATCATCTTCATCAAATCTCTCTTCCCCCCTCCTTTCTACCATCGCTCTTCACCATTGGGGTATATTGCTGCACATAATGAACACAACACGTCCTCTTCAGCGATTAGCTCGCGTCGTTGGCCGTCAGACTGTCAAGCCGGCGCTGTCGCGCAGCTTCGCCAGCTCTGTTCCGACGTTATCAGGTGCCCGGTCTCCGCGGGGGTGGACGCCGACGCCGTTTGTTACTGAGACTGTGGTAAGTCTGCACATTCTTTCTTATAGTATATGCATAGGTGAGGGTATGCTAACTATAATTAGGGAGGAGGATGGCACACATGTACGTTTACAGCAGCAACCCCCGTACCTTACCGCAACTAACTAACCAACTACACTCCCATCACAGACGACATCTTCTCTCGTCTCCTTAAGGTACATACACCCACCCACCCACTTCCCGCCCCATTCCATACTCATAACCCATAGGAACGAATCATTTGCCTAAACGGCGAAGTCGACGAGACCATGTCCGCCAGCATCGTCGCCCAACTCCTCTTCCTCGAAGCCGACAACCCGCAAAAGCCCATCCACCTCTACATCAACTCCCCCGGAGGCTCCGTGACCGCCGGCCTCGCCATCTACGACACAATGACTTACATCGCCTCCCCCGTGAGCACGATCTGCGTGGGCCAAGCCGCCTCGATGGGTTCGTTGCTGCTCTGTGGTGGACACCCGGGCAAGCGGTTCTGTTTGCCGCATAGCTCTATCATGATGCATCAGCCGTCGGGAGGGTACTTTGGTCAAGCGAGTGATATTGCCATCCATGCGAAGGAGATATTGAGGGTACGGAGCCAGTTGAATAAGATTTATAAGAGGCATTTGACGGGAAAGAAGGAGATGACGTTGGATGAGATCGAGAAGTTGATGGAGAGGGATTATTTCATGGGCGCGAAGGAGGCGCTGGATATGGGGATTGTGGATGAGATTTTAGATAGGAGGGCGGCGCCTGGTGGGGAGGGGGGTGAGGCGATGCCGTGATGTTGTGGTATACCCCTTGTTATTTAGTTCTATTTATATGGTTTTGTTTGTTGGTTTGAGATGGGTAAATGTGTATCAGTATCGCGTGATGAACTTATGTTATGGTTGCAATATATGATATGATAACTATTCGGTATCCTGTATCCGTCATATAAGCATTGGTATATGTACAAATGTTGACTCATCTAAATCATTACATTACAGTCAACCTCAACAATATCACGCCTCCGTTCCGATCCGCTCCATGCGCCCATCTGCGCCAACTCGAATGCCAAACCGCTCTCTCAAGAACGCCGCGGTCTGATCAGAGGGCACGTACGGTGTCGTCCGCCGCGCTGTCGCAGGGCTGTACCGCCACTGATCACGAACAAGGTCAACCAATCCCATATCCATGATCACTGCCTGACCTGACACAAACGTATCCATAGGATGGGCGTGCTGTGCATTCCTCCCTCCCTCCTCCGGATCAGCTAACAACTGCGTCCTCTCCATCTCACCCAACTCAATCGTCTCCTCCTCCACATCATCCTCCAATGTCCGCGTCGACAATCTCGTAGAAGGCCCACTCCCTCGCAACCCCCTCTCCTCCAGATCGTGATCCTGTCGCTCTTCCTCCCCCTCGGGCGTGGTCTCAACCGGCGTACTTGCAGTAACCTCTACTGTCTTTACCCGCTCAACGATCAACCCCAACATGACCAGATCCAGAAACAAAATGAGGCAATCCAGGAAAAGAAGTCTAGCGAACGGGATGGGCGCTTTCTGTCCAATAAAATCAATCAAGATCCCGCCATGCAGGTATCCGCGCGTCGATTCGCTGGCTTCGGGTCTAGTGAAGAATCTATGGAAGATCATGCAGAAGAGGTTACTACCCAGGATGGCGCCGACGAAGGGTTGGTTTCTCGTAGGGTCGAAGGGGGGTGCTTTGGGTGTGAAGAAGATGAGTTGGATTATGGCGCGGAGGGCGAAGAGAATTATCGAGCAGCTGAAAAACATGTATTGTTAGTTGTGACTTATCGCTTGATAGATTATACTTTATGGGGTCCGCGCTCGTGCGGAGTTGCGGGGGCGGGGGGTTGATTTCTGCTCACTCCATATAATACAACGCTGAAAGCTCACAGTAAATAAGGATATCTAGGTCGCGGAGAAGTCGGTCAATGAACGCGACTTTCGCGGCCGTCTGCACCTTTCTCAGGCGCTCGGTGCGGCTGGTGGAGTTGGCGCTGGCGCCGCCATAAGGGTCGATGATGCCGGACACGTCAGCGATGTATTCCGCATCTCGATAGACGTCCGGAGTGGTCATAGAGGGTCATGGGGGCATGGATGGCGTCAGGGGGGGTTAATGAGCGAGGGGGGAAAGGTCTAGGGGTGCCACTGCAGACCGGGGGGATGAGGTGCTGGGGGGAAGATGGAGTAGTTAGGGTGGTGTTTCAGGTGGAGAGACGGAGGGAGTTGGAGGTGGAGCGTCACCGGCAACGATGATGGCCGATGATGTGGATCAGGTGGCTGCGGACTTTTCTCGGCCCGGAGCGCTGCATCTGGCAACATCCGGGGTTGGACTATTTACGTCTCACCAATGATAATCTCTTACTATGGCGATCTAACTATGGAGATAAAGTTGTTTGCTTATTTTCACGTATTATTCCCGAATGATGCAGCATAGATATCCTCATGCTTCCTATATAATCTTCACCTACCCCGTAGACTTATCTATTTAATCAACAAAGATGGTCTTGGAAAGGTTGGCGTAGTGCTTGAAAAATCCAGTGAACAGACGGATCGAGTGTGCCACATCGAAGGTACCTCCCGTCTCACGGATACTGTGCATGCTCAGCTGGGGGTTACCCAAGTCCAATGTCCGAGCGCCAAGCGCCGCAGACAGCATCGGGCCAATGGTGCTACCGCAGCTGGAGTCATTGCGGACAACAAACAGCTGCAGGGGAACCTTTTCGCCAACATCTTCACCAGCCTTGCGAGCAACTTCCTGAAGAAGAACAATACCGGGCGAGTTGGTCGCGTAGCGGGCATTCGCGTTGATCTTGATAACAGGGCCCTTGTTGATTTGGGGCCGGTGGTCGTTCTCGTACTTGGCCGTGTAGTTCGGGTGGACTCCATGGGCCATATCGGCAGACACAAGGAAAGATGTAGACAGGGTCTGCTCGTACGCAGTGGCAATGTCGTCACTATCGCCGGCCGTCGACGGGAGAACGGACAAGCGACGGATGACGGAGGGGAGGATGTTCGAGTCGGCACCTTGAGCAGTGCGGCTTCCGATTTCCTCGTGGTCAAACAGTGCAATGAGGCGGATAGCAGGTTCCTCATCCAACGCCGAAGAATCAGCCACGGAGTCAATCAAGCCGACGGTGGCACAGAAGGAGCTGTTCAAGTTGTCCAGGCGAGGCGAGAAGATGAACTCCTCCAACAGTCCACCCAGGTTCGACTTCTGGGTATCGAACAGGATCATCTCGAAGTCAAGGACATCGAGGGGCTTGACGCCGGCCTCGGCAGCAATGAGCTCAACCAGATAAGGATGGTGACGCTCGGTGATAGCCTTCAGAGGAGACAAGTCACCCTTATCCTCGTTGGCTTCCTTGGCCGCTTTGTCAGTCTCCTCGGAGGCACCGGTACGGTTCAGCTCAGCAGCGACAAGACCAGCGATGGGGAACAGCTGAGTTTCCTTGTTGAAGGCAAAGGTCTCTTGGCGGTCAAGATGGATGGCCAGAGTGGGAATGCGGAGAACTATGCATGGTCAGAAAATGCCGGTTGTACAAAGGCCGAACGAACTTACTGGGTCGGTCAATCTTGATCAGCTTCTGCACAATTGAACCGTCGCCATTGCGGACCATAGCCCGACCTGCAACACCCAGATCGCGGTCGAACCCTAAAGAATGTCAGCGATGCATATAGGAAAAGTATTTCAGTTACCACGGACAGGTATGCCAGATGCCGCCTCCATAGGTCTCCACGCCCACTTGAACGTATCCTTCCCCGCGTTTGTTGCTGACAGGCTTGACTCTCAGGACGGGAGAATCGGTGTGAGCACCGATCATTGAAATGGGATTACCAGGCTAAACAATTGGTATAATTAGCACAAGGGTTAGATCATTAACAATCGGCAGAAACCATACCTTCCATTTCTTGCCGACAGCAAAAGCGATGATGGTGGACTGATTACGGGTCAAGTAGTACTTTCCACCAGGCCGGCAGGTCGACGCCCAAGAGTCCTTCTCCTACACCAGGAATTAGCGGTTAATTCCGTGATACAATGCAGCTATCGCATACCTTGATCTCCTGGAAGCCAGCCTTGGCAAGAAGTTCCTTTGCAGACTGGACGGCATGGAACGCTACAGCAAAGTTAGTACTCGACTACCTTAAGATAGTATAGAAGGTGATGTAATTACGGGTAGGAGAAGCATTGACAAAGGACAGAAAGTCCAGAGCCGGCTGCTTCAAACTTTGGGCAATTTTGGAAGTCATCTTGTCTCGAAGGTCCCCAGGAGATGTGGATAAAGAAACATGGGGATCACGGGGAGGGGAAAAGTGGGCATGAGATCATAGCAAGGCGGTCAGTTGGCGTGTCCGCATGGCTTCATCGATCTAGTAGATAACAGTGGAGGCGTAGACTACGGAATCTACTGATATCGCTTATTTGATTCGCAATACCACTAAAAGTGCTGCTAGATAGATAAACAGAAGATTAGTTGGGTTGGCGTAGACTTTCCAATAATGTATGGGCAGACATTGAATGGTGGTGTCATGGATTCGGAGTCAAACAAATAAGAACCAATAAATGACCTCATTATCTACAAGTCGTCCGTCTGTGAGCATTCCTAAGGTTTTCAAAAAGTTTCAATCTAATTCATATTATTCTCCTTAGAGTCTAAACTTGTCTTTCTGTCTCCCTTGGCTGGAAACTGAAACAAACACGGTCGCGCCCTGTTCATATAGGTGCTCGTCATGTGTTTTCCAAGACACGGTTGTAGCATGAAACCCAAAGCATAGCAATGAGAAATAGCAGTCTGAGACTGGGCGTTAGTGTTTGTCAACGTGAAACGCTGCGCCATCGGAAATGGAACAAATAAAATTGAAAAAAAGCAACTGGAAATAGTCGACCGTTGAGCCTCTAAGCTAGATGATTATCCGGTACGGACGGTTGATCGCCAGTATACCCTGGAAATCCACGCCACGAGTCAAGCCGTTATGCTAAACTAATGCTGTACTGTGATCGACGCAGACGGGAACCGGGAGGGATCTCAAATTGGATTTCTTTGGCTGGAAAGTCTCCTTTCCAGCTGTGTATGGCCCAAGCTTTTGCTGTCGCGTTCACCAGGCGCGTGGAATGAGAGGCGGTCGCGGTAGTGCTCGTGGCGCTGCGACAATCGATAACAACGGAGTAGAGCGCGCTGGCCCAATCACCACGACGGCGCTTCGCGTTAGTCCATGGCACGCCTCCTGTAGCACGGGCGATTTGATCGGATTGGTTAAAGATTGTTTCACGTCTGATAATCTAGCCTGAGTGAATGGTCAATTTCACAAAAAGGACCTGTCTGCTTGTGATGGGAGGGTCACAATCGATCAGACACGGAGGTGCATCTGAAGGTACAGGCGATCCAGCGGGTGCAGATAAACAAATCCTCCCATGCGACAACAACACCTGACGAAGATCAGTCGGATGAGACCACCCACCCACCACTATTCTAGAGGGGAACGCCTGACTAAAGTCAGATATGTCAAGACAATGCTGATCAAGGCTATAAACTTCTTTGTAATGAACGATAAACTCATCATTGTCTCTTCGCAGGAGGGCAAGTATAGAATTAACACCAACCTCCTGCGTTGCCCAAAGTGGTTTAGCGCAACCGACGCGTGACCGCTGCTGGGGCTCCCCTTCGAACGGCCGAGCAAGAGAGGAAGCCCATCGCCAACCCTTGGATCAACTGTCTCAATCCTTCCTCCCTCACCAGACGGTGGTCAGGTCAGTATCAAATGACCTCCACAAGCTGTGCGTTTCTTCCTTGTCTGCCTCGGGTCTGGTGAGAGACACTCTGTCGTCACTCTCTGTTCGCTCCTGTGCCCGCTTGCTCCTAGTTTATTTGGTGTATTGATCGGAGCGGAACCCAAGGGTTTGGCTGTTGTCATCAGCAACCTCTGCATTCACCACCGTCTACAACCCCGAGCTGCCGATTGACCTGAAAGACAACACTATATTCGCCCATATATTGAATACGATCTACCCCAGCTTTTATTCCCCTCCCAGTCTGCCGCCACTTGCGACCCGACGACGTTTGAGACCTGTCGCATTGACCCTGCCTCAGTTGATCCCGCATTCGACCGCCATTTGCACCTCGTGAGGTTCGCCCCTCCGACAACCATGGGCGACCCCAAGAAATCAGATCGGCCGACCACCCGCAATGCTGCTGCAGGCGCACCAGCCGTCAAGTCGCCGGATCGTACCGGTCCAAATGCGTTGACGATCGCATCACCTCCTGGCTCCAGGACGCCCCCTAGTATGCCGTCGAAGAAGACCTTATTTTACCCGGAGCCGCAAGGCAGGCGCCAGAATTCTCGAACTACCTCTGGGCCAATCGATCCAGACGCCCTTGCGAAGGCTCTGAAGGATTTTGAGGATGCTGGACGTCCCCGCGAGAGAACACCGGGTACCAGTCCCAGCAGGAAGAGGCAGAGAGTGTACGGTGATAGGTCAGTAAAACATTCAATGGTGCTCTTTGAGAGCGATTTATCGGTCATGACCATGGACCTATGTCCCTTGACATCATGTCACTAAACTGTGGATCCTACCTCCAGGTTTATTCCCAATCGTGAGGGCCAAGACCTTCAAGCAACGTTCAGCCTGCTTCATGAGGACGGCTGCCCTTCGACTCCGTCAAAGTCGAAAAAGCGTGCTCCACATTCGGAGCTTCACTTTCAAAAGAGTGAGTCGCATCTGCCGTGATTCTGGCGTTGCCGATCACCGTCGCTAACCCCAGTGTAGCCGAAGAAGCAAATCGCATGTACTCGCGAGTTTTGCGAAGTGAACTGTTTGGGAATACTGTTCCACAGGCCGATTTGGATTCCCTATCACCGGACCCGTTGTTGGGTATGGGTAATGGCATTAACGACAAGACCCGCTCACATACGCCACCTTCACATGTAGTCTCGAACCTACCACCTGCCAGCATAACACCATCGACGCCCCACAAAAACCTTTTCAACTACGCTTCCCCACGTGCTGGCTCAGCTCACCCCACACCTTCAAAGACTCCGCGAAGTCAGCACGGTCCGAACCTCAATGTCCGTTCAGAGCTCTATAGTCTATCACCAATCCGCCTCGACAGCCAACGTATTCTGGAGACACCCCGGAAACAGCCTCGCTATGTGAACAAGGTACCCTACAAGGTCCTTGATGCGCCCGATCTGCAAGATGATTTCTATCTCAACTTAGTCGATTGGGGCAGCAGCAACGTTCTTGGAGTGGGCCTAGGAAACTCGGTGTACATGTGGAACTCCCAGACAGGCCGCGTGACGAAACTCTGTGAGCTACGAGATGATACAGTCACAAGTGTTAGCTGGATACAAAGGGTGAGTGCCCAGATATTGGTCATCATGTTGGACAGAAGTGCTAATGGGACTAGGGAACACATCTTTCAATAGGCACAGGCAAGGGTCTTGTACAAATATGGGATGCTGAGCGCTGTCGGCGTCTCCGTACGATGATTGGACATACGAATCGTGTAGGAGCGTTGGCTTGGAACGATCATATCCTCACGTCCGGCTCTCGAGACCGACTGATCTTCCATCGAGACGTCCGGTCCCCGGATCAATACCTGCGTCGCTTATCTGGTCATAAGCAAGAGGTATGTGGTCTCCGTTGGAACACAGAAGATGGTCAATTAGCCTCTGGCGGGAATGACAACAAACTGCTGGTCTGGGACAAGCTCAACGAAACACCGCTTTACCGTTTTTCCGACCATACTGCGGCCGTCAAGGCAATCACTTGGTCTCCACACCAGCATCACCTCCTCGCATCTGGTGGTGGTACAGCTGATCGAACCATCAAGTTCTGGAACACGTCGACGGGTTCCTTGATCAAAGAAGTCGACACAGGCAGTCAGGTCTGTAATTTGGCGTGGTCGAAGAATTCAGATGAGATCATCAGCACGCACGGCTACAGCCAGAACCAAATCGTCATCTGGAAGTACCCTCGTATGGAGCAGATTGTCTCTCTAACCGGCCATACATTCCGAGTACTGTACTTGGCCATGAGCCCTGATGGCCAAACAGTTGTCACCGGGGCTGGAGATGAGACCCTGCGGTTCTGGAAGATCTTCAATAAACGACCGGGCAGAGAGCACGGGCGTGAAGGTAGCAAGCTAGCAGAATGGGGTACCATACGCTGACGGGAAGGTTGCTGTTCATTTCGAACTGATTCGGTGCCATGGCGTCCTTGAACTTCTCGTTGGAATTACCAATATGCATTAGATATGGCGTTTCCAAGGCTTTGGCGTTTCTTATGATGCTGGGTTCTGTCCATGGACGGTCTGGAGGAGAGGGTCTCTTTTTTTTTTTTTTTTTTTTTCTCAAATGGGTCTAGCTTGGGCATTTTTTCGCATCTCATGGGGTAAACAACAGCATATCATGGGTGATTAAAGGGTTCCTTTTCTGCGTCGTTTTTCTTTTTACTAGGTTCTTTCTGCTGGCTGCAAGATCTCATTCCATGTATCTCTGACTCTGCCTGTTTCTGCTTCTACTTTTCTTCTCTCGTGTTCCTTTCCAGCCTACTCTTATTTTTATCCTCGCACTGGTGCCAGCCCATGTCTTTGCAGCAGGCACTCACTATCTGCAGGTTTTCGCTACTACCCATGGAAATGAATCTCAGCGGTGGCGCTTATGGTGTTTTCCTCAGGGTGACCAGGTAAAACCAGGACCAAGGCGTTGCTCTATCCTCCTACAGAGTCAGAAGGATGGACTTGATTGATCAATTCGTTGGGCTTATACACTTCTCTTTCAGAGTTGCATGTACCACACACACACCTCTCCCCGCGTTCAGTGTTCACGACGACACGATTTACAACACATCAAGAGCTTCGAAAAGGGTTTGCTTGAATTGATTATTATGGAGAACGTGTTCGCGGGGGAAAACGGAAAAAACACCTAATGTCATAGATAACGAGAATGAAAGATGAGAAGGGTAAAGACAAAAAAAAGATGGTGCAAATCTAGGCCGGTTAGTTCGATAGTATAGCTCTTGAGTACATAGTTGTAGTAGATTCTACCGTCTTCAACTTCAATGATATACAGTAATGAGAAGAGGTTGACCCAGTCTACTATAACAGTAGTAGCCTATCACTTGGACTTTCAATTCTAACTGAATGTTTATTTCATTATCTTCTTGATTGATGTTATACTTATATAAAACGGTTCATAAGCCCAATGAAACTAATCCAAGAGATACGATGGTACGAGACAAAATTTTGTCTCCTGTCTTCTGCGCATAACTTACAGCACGAAAAAGTGAAAGGGGAAATAACCAAGGAAATGGGAATGAAAAAAGAAAAAAGGAATGGAGATCTATAGAACCAGCCTGCCAGGTTCAACAGTCAACAAGGTCTTCACGCGGTCCAAGAAAACCTTCGCCCTCTTCTCCTCCTCAACCGGGACAGTCAAGCTGAACACGTTCGCCGCCGGCTCAACAACGCTCTTAGCAGTAGCAGCAGCCTTCTTGGACACCTTTCCGGCCAAGAAATCAATCAAATCATCCTCCACCTTCTGCTTCTTCTGGACCGGCCGGGCCTCCTCAGCATTCAACTCAGGGATGTACTCCCCCCGGGTAAACTTAATGGGCTGAGCACCCAGGATCTCGTCGAAGAGCTCATCAGCGGAAGGAGTCTCGCGGGAAGAGCGGGGCAGGTCGTCGTTTGCCAGGTCGGTAGCGCGGGCCAGGAACGTCGACAGCGGCACCGTGGTACCCAGGGTTTCTTTAATTTTCTTCTGAACGGACAGCACGGCGGCCAAGGAGATGGAGACGGCGACGGAGGTGGTCGGAGGGGGACGAGCAACGGGCTTCTCTTCCACGGCAGGGGAGGGCTCCGCGGGCTTGACGGGCGCGGCGATCTTGATGTTGCTCAGGTCGAGGTGGGCGAGCTTGGCGAGCCGGGCTGCTTGCTCAGAAGGGTACTCGGCGGGGATGGCGCCCAGGTAGGCGAGAACGTCGCCCTTCAGGAGACGGCCCTTAGGGCCGGACGCGGGGATCTTGGACACTTCGGACTCCGGGATGCCTTTTTCATGGAGGAGCTGGGTGACGGAGGGATAGAGAGGGTAGGCGGGGTTCTGGGTTTGAGGGGCGGAGGTGGAGTTCAGGCCTATAGGGTGAATGCCATGTTAGCTGTATTGAACATGAGGTATTTGATGGGTGAGAATGGACGTGGAAGGGAGGGATATGGTGATGTGGGAAAGTTGATATCAAGTTGTATTCTGGCGGGAAACTCACGCTTGGAAGTGCTGAGAACACGGGATTGGCGGCGGGCAAGCGCGGCCGGAAGCCGGCAGACAGAGAAGGTGGAGGCCATGTTTGATGCGTGAGGCTTTTGGTGTTTGTATAGGACAAGTGAATGCCTTTTCCGAGGGGTGTGGCTATCGTCGGGATCGCGAGCGCTGGAGCTTGGAGTGGGCGGAGATTTGATGGGATCGAACAGGAACCCACCACCAGGCTAACGGGGCCGCACAAAAAGCACAGTGAACCCTAGAGAGTCGGATTATTGTCGCGATCTGCGAGCTGAGCGTTGCAGGACGTTCCAAGCCGGAGAATTGCGTCGCTATCGGAAGGGTCAGCTCGGAGGAGGTTGAGGTGATTATTGTTGGGAGCTTCACCGGCGGCCCGGACGGGAACATTTTTCTGCCGCGGAGAACGACGGCCTCGACCTCCTGCCCTTGCACGAAGCCATTGGCCTTTATTCCGTTGCTTCCTGGTGAGTCTGATCATTTTATCTCTTTCAGCCGTTTGGCCCTATTCAAACAATACCTGAATATGTGAACCTTGATGGCAGGGGGCCCTTGTGGCCTGCGCTCCAACTTATACTCTATCCTAACAATCGGAAATACCAGGTCGACAAGATGTTTGCCCGGCCGTTTACCTTAAGGGCATTCGCTCAGCAGTGCCCCCGGAGCACTCTCTCATCCGTTCTCGAGTCCTCCAGCCCAGCATGGAGGTACTTCTCCTCCAGCGCCTCGCGAACCAAGGCTGCTAGCAAAACCCAGCAAATTAAACCCAAGGTGGTGCGCACGGCGCCTGAAGACAGCTTGAAGTTTGCCGGAAGGCGGCCAGAAGGATTTGGAAAGCTCGAAAGAAAGGTCGCCAAGGAAGGAGAGATTGTCTTGTTCCGGGCACCATCGCAACGCGGATACGTGTTGGGCGCTTACGGTATTGCGGGTTTCTGCTTTGCCTACGCTGTATACAATTCCAATGCCGTCTTCCGGGATCCCCTTATACCTCTCCCGATGTGGCAGCAAGCTCTATTCGGTGGTATTTGCGTCACAATGAGTGTTATGGGTACGGTGTTCCTTTTCAAGACCACCCGGTTGATCCGCGCCATCAGGGCCGTCAATGTCAACGGCCACACACATCTTCGCTTCACAGTTCGAAGCGTGGTTCCGTTCCGCAAACCCTACGAGTTTGACGCCTTGCCGCGCCAAATCGCTTTCTCCCGTCGTTTGGTGATCTCGCCAGATTCATCCCCCGATATGCTTTTGGAATCTATTCCGGATGCTCCTGGTATTGCAGGAGAGCGCACTGTGGCTCAGGGTGAGCAAGCGAAGGTTAGCTTCTTTAAAGCTCCCTTCAAGAAAATGAGCATGTCTATGTGGCGGTTGTTCCGGTCTGTTCGGCAGATCTTCTCCCAGGAGGACTTCATCCTTCTGGAAGTGGAGGGCCAGAAGGGCGTTCTGCGCATGGATTCTGGTGGATACGTCTCCCAAGACTTTATGCTTGTTGGCAATCCTGTGAGTTTCCGGCGCTGATATGAATACAAAGAGGGGGTCCCGGTATTCGCTATGATATCCTTCTTTTGATGTCTAATTACTCTACTTTTTGTCCTATCACTTTCCAATTAGCCTGCGATACGGCATGTCAGACCACCATGTATATATGGAATGAAGAAATAAACACAAGCAATTACCATAAATTGAAGATATGTAGAGTATAGGCACTGCTGGGGCCGAACTGTGTAAGGAGTGGCCGGAGTATATGCGGAACCACGTGACCCTCCGCAGCGCGTCCCCCCATCAATCAATCAATCAATCAAGACGCGACTCCGACGATAAACCATTGCGCGAGCCCCTCCACAAACTCGACCCTCTCTTGTGGGCTGTTCCAGCCTGCCGCCTTATCCTCCAGGCGACCTTCACCGGTTCCAACCAACTTTCATTTGCGATTTGTATCCCCATTCCCGCAGTCGCTGAAACGCGGCTGTCTGTCGCAAGATGGGAAAGCTCATCCGGCTTGAGCTGTTCAGTAAGCGACGTCCTCCGTCGGGCACTCTCAACCGCACTGACACCTGCTCTAGACTTTAAATCGTACAAGGGTCACCATGTGCTTCTCTTTGGTGATGCCTACTTCACCTCCATCATCGGACCCAACGGGTCCGGAAAGTCCAACTCGTGCGTATCATTTTACCCTATGTCGCGGAGAAAGGGAACCCAAGCGAGGAAAAGTACATTGCGCTGACCTTTTCCAGTATGGACGCGATTTCGTTCGTTTTAGGTATCAAGTCGTCCCACCTACGATCCACGAACCTTCGCGATCTCGTATACCGGGGCCGTGTCCTGCGCACGTCAAAAGTTGATGCAAGCGGCAACGCCATCGAAGCGGAGGCCAACGGGGATGACCAAGCGGAGGACGGAATTGATGGTGAACAGTCACAGGATCCAAGCGGAAAGAATGACCCCCGAACCGCGTGGGTCATGGCAGTTTACGAGGACGATGCGGGTGAGGAACAGCAATGGCGCCGGTCCATTACCAGTGGGGGTGTTAGCGAATACCGCATCAACAACCGCATTGTCACGGCACAGCAGTACAACGAGGCCCTCGAGGCGGAGAACATCCTGATCAAGGCCCGCAACTTCCTAGTTTTCCAGGGTGATGTGGAGGCCATTGCCTCGCAGTCGCCAAAGGATCTGACGCGGCTGATCGAGCAGATTTCGGGAAGTTTGGAATACAAGGCCGAATACGAACGCTTGAAGGCGGAGGCGGAGGAGGCCGCAGAGCAGCAGACCGTGCAGTTGAACCGTCGCAGAGGTATCAATTCGGAAATCAAGCAATACCAAGAGCAGAAGCGAGAAGCCGAGAACTATGCACGGAAGGCCGAGGAACGCGATCAGGCCATAATCACGCATATTCTGTGGAAGCTTTTCCACTTCCAGCGCCTTATTGATGCGTCGAGTGCGGATATCCAGAAATACCAGGATGAACTAAAGGAGTTCCGCCGCGGCGTTGAGAAATACGAGAAGAATGTGGAGGATGCTAAGAAGGATCATGCTCGGGTTGGACGAGATGTTGCAAAGGCCGAGAAGAACATCGTGGCCAAAGAGAAAGAGATCGAGGAGGCTACGAATGCCCTGGTACCTGTGGATGAGAAGGTCGATATCACGAGAAAGAAGGTCGAGCGCTTCACCTCTCGGATTGCTGAGATTACTCGGGAGCGCGAGGGTCAAGCGACGAATGCCAAGCAGCTCGAGAAGGATCTCAAGGTTGTCGAGAAGGCTCAAGCTCAGTGGGAGGCCGAGTGGCAGAAGACCATGAGCAAACAAGGTGGTCAATTGAGCGAAGCCGACCAACAAGAGTACAAGCGGCTCAGGGAGGAGGTCAACAAGAAATCTTCCGCGGAACAGCTGAACCTGGACAATCTCCGTCGTCAGCGGAAGACTGAAGCGGAGGCCTACAACAGCCTGAAGAGCAAGTTTGAAGGCACCGAGTGGCAGCTCAAGACTCTGGAGTCCGAGACGCAAACATTGTCCGAGCGCAAGTCGTCTGTCACTGAGACCGTCAAGTCCACGTCGAAAGAAATCGAGCGCAAGAAGAAGGAGCTGAATGCTCTAACGTCTGAACGGCTACGCGTCTCTCAGATGAGAACGGAGCTTGAGGAGAAGCTCCAAGTTGTGTTGAAGAAGCTTCTCGAGGCAGATGATGGCAAGAAGCAGTCCGAGAAGGAAATAAGAGCCAAGGAACTGATTTCGACTCTCAAGCGGATCTTCCCGGGCGTCAAAGGCCGTGTAAGCGACCTTTGCAAGCCTAAACAGAAGAAATACTCCGATGCAGTCAGCACCGTACTTGGGCGGCACTTTGACGCCATCGTTGTGGACAACGAGAAGACAGCGAAGGAGTGCATCCAGCACCTTCGCGACCAAAGAGCTGGACAGGCGACATTCATTCCTCTGGAAACGATTCAAGTTAAGGCCTTCAACTCCAACCTGAAAGGTCTGCACAGAGGAATGCGCCCAGCGATCGAGACCGTTGACTATGACGACTCGGTTGCCAGAGCCATCAGCTACGCTTGCGGCAACGCCATTGTCTGTGACGATTTGGCTACCGCCAAGTATCTTTGCTACGACAGGAATGTCGATGCGAAGGCCGTTACTCTTGATGGGACAGTGATTCACAAGGGTGGTCTGATGACTGGTGGTCGCGGCCCTCAGCAGAACTCGAAGCGCTGGGAGGACTCCGAGGTCGAAAACTTGTACAAGCTCAAGGACAAGTTGATGGCGGACTTGGGTAACCTGCCCAAGGGTCATCGCCGAGGAACCGAGGAGGAAACCTTGCAGGGTGAATTGGTTGGTCTCGAGCAACGGCTCGCTTACGCTCGCGACGAACTGAAGGCCCTAGAGAGAAACCTCGAAAGCAAGCACAGTGAACTTGACTTTGTGAAGCGCCAGCTTGAGGATGTAAGACCAAAGTATGTTGAGCGTCAAGAATTGCTTGAAGAGCTTGATCAAATGATTGCTACCTCTCAAGAGACTGTCAGCAGTGTGGAGGATGAGGTATACAAGAAGTTCTGCAAGCGCCTCGGATATAGTAATATCCGCGAATATGAAGTTCAACAAGGCTCTTTGCAGGAGGAGGCTGCTCAGAAGAAGCTCGAGTTCACCACACAAAAGAGCAGAATCGAAAACCAGCTTAGCTTCGAAAAGCAGCGCCTTCAGGCAACGGCTGACCGTGTTGCTGGGCTTCAGGCACAACAGCAACGTGACGAGCAGTTAATCGAGGAGCTTCAGGCTGAGCAAGAGAGCATCCGAAACCAATTGGATGAATTCGAAGCCGAGCTTGACATTTTGCGTGAGAAACTCGAGAAGCAAAAGGAGGCTTACGCGCAGTCAGCCGAGAACCTTGCACAACACCGCCGGGAGCTCCAGAAACGTAGCAGAGAAGTCGAAGGGACGATCAAGAACATCAATGCCCTGGAGGCGGAAATACAACGCAATTCGTCTAGTCGATACGCTCTACTCCGGCGTTGCAAGCTTGAAGACATTGACATTCCATTGACCGAGGATTCGAATCCGCTTGACCAACTTCCTATCGATGAACTGGTTCAGGCGGCAGACCCAGACGCCATGGATGTGGACGAAGATGGCGCTGGAAGCGGTGGTCAAGCGTTCATGGTGCAAGACTACGGCATTGAAGTCGACTTTGACTCCCTGGGAGAAACTCTGAAGGAGGTGAGCTATTTCGTTTCGGACTTTTAGAAATATTTGCTGATTGTCAACAGGAGAGCGACGAGAAGTTAGAAGAGGAGCTGCTTGAGAAGGTTCGGTCCCTCAACAGTGAGCTCGACAAGATGGCACCCAACACGCGCGCTATGGAGCGTCTTGAGAGCGTGGAGAACAAGCTTAAGGCGACGGAGAAGGATTTTGAGGACTCCCGCAAGCATGCTCGACGGACCAAGGATGACTTTGAGGATGTGATGCATAAGCGTTCCGACCTCTTCAACAAAGCCTTCTCTCACATTTCCGAGCAAATTGGCCCCATCTATCGTGAGCTGACCAAGAGCACCAATTACCCGCTGGGTGGACAAGCGTAAGTGGTTCTCTACGGTTCCCATGTCGAAGCATCAGCAAATTAACAACGATACAGCTATCTCGACATCGAGGACTCCGACGAGCCGTACCTCGACGGTATCAAATACCATGCCATGCCCCCTCTCAAGCGATTCCGCGACATGGAGCACCTTTCCGGTGGTGAGAAAACCATGGCTGCCCTGGCCCTGCTATTCGCCATCCACTCTTACCAGCCATCGCCGTTCTTCGTGCTGGACGAGGTCGATGCGGCGCTGGACAACACCAACGTTGCCCGGATCGCCAACTACATCCACGACCACGCGGCGCCAGGCATGCAGTTCATCGTGATCAGTCTGAAGAACGGGCTCTTCCAGAACAGTGAAGCGCTGGTTGGAATTTACCGGGACCAGGTAGAGAACAGCAGCAAATCCTTGACCCTTGATGTAAGACCCTTCACTTTCTATTTTTCGTTTGGAGTCATAAGAATACTAACATTTCTTCAACAGCTTCGTAAATATAACTAAACGACTGAAAGGCTGTTTCTTTTTATTCCGGTGTTATGTAGATTATCTGACGATGGCTTGATGGGCAGCATGCTTTTCTTTCTCTTTAGTCGAACTGTTTACGGATTAATGCGATGATTATTTGCTTCCTTACTGAGGCGTTGAACAGCTACATACATTCTCATCAAAACGGTACTAGTAGTAAACCCAACTTTTACTGGTGTACCTGGGCATATATGTAGAGGTCTGCGGGTATACAGCTGCGGTTAATGATAGCCTTCAGCCTTGTAGTAATACTAATAACTCCCAGCCTTGCCCAGCACGCCCATTCAGCGCGTAACACCAGAACCCATGATCGAACGAATAAGAAATTGAAGGGACAAACAACATCGACAATCTCCTTCCCGCATGCATGAGGAAAAAGAGGACATTGTATAGATTGATATAACATTCAACTCCAGCAGAGGCACTACCACCTGACCAGCCACTCAGAATCCAGATCGAAGGGCTCCTAATCGCCATACCAAGGCTCCTACCACATGTACCATGGCATCTGAGTCATCTGCACCGACCGTTCCCGCAATTAGCAGGCCCGGAGCTAGCACGATTGGCTTATGAAACGATCTACGGGCACGAAGCTTGTCCGGAAGACGTACCTCGTGATCTTGTCGTGCGAGATGAGTATTTGGGTTGGATGATGGGAATGTTTCCGGAGAGGTAAGTTATACCTACTAAAGGAGGAAATTGTTTCTTCTGTCACTACGGCTGATAATAGCTTACTAGAATGAATGACTACTACGGAGTAACATTAGACCACCTTGTTACAACCCCGAGGCATTGCAGATTAACATTATTGAGATTGAAGATAATAGGGGCGTGTATGCGAATACATGGCTGTTGTTTGGTGTACATCCGGCTGACTATATCGGGGAAAGGGAATTAGCTGTACCGAGATGTTGTCAGAAGAGAAAAGGGAAAGACGCTTGGAGAGTAAATGCACCTGTGGATCGGAGGGTCCATAGGAGGGAAACATCTGAATTGGCCTGAAGAGTTTGCTCAGGTGTTCTTGGTGGTTATGAGAAACTACTTGTCCAGCAAAAGTCAGATCGACTATGAATGTTAGATACCACTATGCTCAAGCCTTTCAGAAGCTGTCTTTGATCTTTCCGAATAAACTGATGCAATGGTTACTTAATTGCGTGTTTGCTTGCTTGCTTTACTTCTATGCATGTACTTCCCGAGCAACTCCATCTTGTTCATCTATCCCCTCTCACCAAATGAACCCTTATTACCCGTCTACCGAACTATTACCCGACTTCTAGAGAGCAAACAAGCAAAGCAGTGGGAGAAAAAGGAATAGATCTGCATCTACCAAATAGCAAACAGTAGCAGTTCCAGTTACATTTGTCTCTCATCCCCGCACATTCGGGAGGAATTCCCCCGCGCCGCCAATTACCCTCCAATGGATGGTTTCAATTCATCAAGGCTCCTTCGGGGGTGGTGCTATGATAGTCAACCCCGCCGGTTAAAGTAGTGTTGATTTAATTAATAAATATCATGGGGGCACTGAAGTTAGAAGGTGCTATTTACTGAGGGTGTTTTCGAGCAATCCTACGAAGAGTCAATGAGTATATAAAATATATATCTATACATATATATCCTTCAACAATTACTACATACTACTAACTGAACGATTGAAATCACCAATAAGCAAGAACCTCCATTGCTGGTATAGAGCATTACGGAAATGCATCATCATCCAATCACATTACTTTCTCTCCTACTTGGAGCTGCACAGAGCATCGCAGCTCATCCGACCGCTCATGATGAAAGACGCAGCTCATCATCAATCGGTCTGAGTGCATCGGTTCCAGATGATGCTGCTTTGCCGGTTCTGCATCCTTTTGTTTCGTTTTCTATTGAGTTCGCGTTCTTTCCAGATTTTGCAGGTATTTATCAATCTCTCCTAATTCTCTACTTCAATAGTATGGTAGTATAACTATAATACTACTATGCTATGCAGTCTGAGTGTAGTTGGCGGGGGAACTGTGTGGGTTATCTTTATATATTAACATGATCAATGAAATCACAGGAAACCTGTCACACCCGAATCTCTTCTCGAATCAGTTGCTAGACAACCTGGCCGAGTTGCAGGGCGCAAAGCCGTACATCCGTGTTGGAGGCAACACTCAGTACGTATCAACTACGCCATCCTCGATTCTGTTTCCCCGTCAAGGCAAAGAGGGGAAGGAGGGGTAAGGATCTAATTAAATCACGCAGAGACTTTGCGCTGTATGATCCAAAGCTACGAGCAGCCACAAATGCCACATACATTACCAGCATTTCGACGGATTACCCGCTGATTCTATCGTTCGGTCCCGCCTTCTTCGAGTCGTACTTCACCTGGCCAGGAACAAAGTTCATCCACGGGTTTAATCTGGGAAAGAATAGCTCGTCAGATATAGAGCTCATGCTAGAGTCCGTGCCGCTAGCGTGTAAGGCTTTGGAAGGGGGCAAATTGGCGTATTGGGAACTGGGGAATGAGCCGGATTTGTACAAGACGTCCGCACAGGGCATCAGGAGACCGGCAAGCTGGACGGAACAAGATTATGTGGATGAGTGGTTGAACAAGACGGCGCGGATCGAGAAGAGATTGGTCGAGGCGTGCCCTGAGCTTGCAGAGTCAAAGTATATTGCGCCTTCATTCGCCGGAGTCACTAACAGCTTGAATCCTGTGGTGACGTGGGAGAAAGGCCTAGACAAGAGCCGGAACATTGCCCTCAATTCCGAGCACAAGTGAGTTTGGTGGTGGCCAAGCCTCCCAACCCCCCAGCCCCAGTTGTACTCTGAATGCGAAAGGATGGAGCACAGGTCGGCTTTGGCTAATAGGTCGCGTTTGATGCAGCTACATCGGTGGCGCCACTCAGCCGGGAGTAACACTGCAGAATACGCTAATGAACCATACTAAGACGGTGGAAAGCGTCGCACAACAGGTCAACGTCTCACGTATCTTGTCGAAGGACAACCTGACCCCGGGCATACCCTATATTCTGGGCGAGACCAACTCCTTGTATAACGAGGGCGCGCCTGGACTGTCCAATTCATTCGGAGCTGCGCTTTGGGGGGTAGACTTCAACCTTTACTGCGCCTCGCAGAACATCCGTCGGACCCATATGCATCAGGGAAGTAATTACAATTACATCTCCTGGCAGCCAGTGGGAACCAATCGTACAACCATAGGCACGAAGGCGCCGTATTACGGCAATGCCATGGTGGCGGCCATGCTCCACGGCGGAGACGATGTCCGAATTGTCAATCTCCCGCTGGCCGCGGATACAGAAGCCGCATACGCCGCGTATGTGAATGAGACTCTGGTCCGAGTGGCTGTCATCAACTTGGTGGAGTTCAACTACACCTCAACTGATTCGACAGCGGAGAAAGTGGAGAGCAGACCCAGTGCGAAGTATACGTTCCAGTTGCCTTCATCTGAATCGGTGTACGCCGGCTCGGTTTCAGTGCAGCGGCTGATGGCGAATGGCAGCAACGCCATCACGGGGATCACCTGGGACGGCTGGTCTTACAATTACGAGCTGGCGCAGGGTAAGCCAGTTCGATTGCAGAACGTAACTACTGGAGAGGCGATCTCGGTGGGCGACGATGGGGTTGTGAAGATCGAGATCCCCTACTCCAGCGCTGCAATCCTCAGTCTGTGAAAGGTCATCCGGCGTGGGCCGAAGAGCTATAACAAAATGGTATGCATGGTAGAGGATATCTGTCCGCGGAACCCTGGCCTCCGTATCATTCATGATGCGGCTCCCACGCGGTTAGCAGCCGTGGAAAGGATGGTCAGTCTGAACCTTGTTAGACCCTGATAGTACATGTGGTGCTCAGAACAGAAGAGGAAAACTGGGTTTGGTAATTACAATATACTATAAAGTTCCAGAGTTGTTTAGCTTTTCTCTAGATGCGGATGTGTAGCTCAAGCTTGGGCATTTGGTGAAGCACACAGTAATTCCCGTTCAAAGTATTGGCGGCTTCATCGCTATGCTCCAAGCAATACGGTAAGAGAAGCCGAATCATCACTCCAGCTTGGTGATCAGCCCCAGCTGCCACTTTCAGACGAGGAAATCTCAACCCCGAGCCTGCCTCGTACTGATGCGGAGTACGTGGGAATCATCTGAGACTCGCGGATTTGCCTCATGTGTGGCAACCATGATTTTCCAGCCGGAAAGGGCGTTTTGAAATTTAGCAAGCATCTATTTCTTCGGAGGATATCTTTCAGAGACGGAAACTGAGAGCAAGATAGTTCTCGGTTTGTTAAAAATAAACAAAGTGGATGATGGCAACTCTCCCGGTACGGCGTTTGCGGGAGACCTGTCGACCCATGGCGAGACAGATGTAACCTTGATTGGGAAAAGAACGGTCGGTTACACCATGTCTCCCGCCGCTACAGATTTTGAATTCTATTGATCGAATAATCGGTGTACAGCTAGTCAATGATCTGCGTTAGCGGGTTGATACGTAGCTTCCCCCAAGCCACGGCCCAATTAGCCGGGCTGAGGGGTGGCGCGACGGACGGCTATCCCACTTCCTCGGAGTTCCAGGACTCGCCTGATGGATCGATTCATGCAAGTGCTCGGACTCTGACCTAGCCTTTAATTAATCTTCCAAGGATCGATTGCAGCAATGTCTTCTGTCTGGTCAAGTCTCCTTGGGGCAGTAGTAGTTAACCAGAAGGGTTGTTGTCGCCAGGTAGGGCATTGCGGATTTTCCAAGCGTGAGGCATGCTCTGCTTCGCTGCCCATCGTCTTGCCATCTCTACTCCGTAGTCATGGTTCACTCGGGCTGAAGTATGCAAGCAATCGCCATCATGCAGGGTTTCCTGGTAAGAAAGCAAGTTTGCAGGACGATGTACGTAGGCGGATGTCTCACCGTCTGCATGTTTCCTACAAGGGCCCTAAAAGTCAAGGTTCGGGAAGCTAAAATTGAGAGACTGGAAGGAGCTGAAGAAGAACTGTAGAGGGGATGTTCCCCCTACGCACTGTGGTAATGGGTATGGATCCCCATGCTCTTTCCCCTTTTCTTCTCTATCTGTCAGTGGGTGTGTTTTCGATGCTCGATAGGTGGCCTACAGGATAGTCCCCGTCCAACTAGCGACTAGCGTTCCACGCAAACATTCTGTGGATCATCGGTCCACCGTGGCTTGCCAGGCTGGTCAAAATCGCGAGACGATAGCCAAGGGGCCCGTGTGCTGTAATACTTGACTTTTTCTGCCTAGCCGTTCTTGACGCAGGCTCCGCAAGTAATGGGAAATACCAGACCCAATCGTCAGTGATGGATGTCTTATCCGTCTGGGACATGGCACAATACCCCTCCCAAACAACCAAAGGATACGTATTTCCCTAGGTCCTACAGTAGTTGCGCAAAAACCTCCCGCTTGGACTGGGCACTGTTCGCGAGACCGAAAGATTGTAGGGTTGTATTGGCTTCATAGTGCGGCAGCCGGGACACTCTCTGATCGATTCTCCACTCCAACGCGATACAGTTGAACCTTAAATGAGAATTTAATATGGCTGCCGTTGGCACTTGACAGAGTATGGCTGCGATCGGCGGTCAGGCTCTAGGGGTGGTTCTTGGGGTCTTACGCCCAAACTCCGCAATTTCCGCACTGACTGCGAGAGAGGCAGTATCAGCAAAGTCTAATCGTGAGGACTATAACAAAGGAATTATTCCCACTGGTGGAACGCCGATCCTAGTCTTCTTGTGGCTAGGCTTCACTTAAGCAACCCAATCTAGCTGTCACTCAGAGTTCAGTCTGACCTGCGGGCTCTGGGCATGACAGGAAGAAGCGAAGCCAACACCATACCCACGGCTCGCCGTAGCACTATGGGAGGCTAGCAAGTGTCTGCATTGGCCTATGATATCTCTTCAATGGTAGCTTCCGGGTATTTCCACTGCCATGTGATTTTTGCCTTTACCTATTACGGTGTATTGGCTCTTGCAAATCCCGAAGGTAGCTATCATGTATCAGCTAGCCTGCGCTATTGCGTCAAAACAAATATACCAACCTACTGTACCCCAGAGACGCCTGTGATTGGTGAATCGAGATGAGTCTATTCCCTGAATTAGCTTGTCGGCCAAGGGAGTTCTAGTCTGTCATGTACATGACGAAAATTAACCAGGCCGAGCGTAAATGCATGATCCCTGAATTGCATGGCCGTCACTATGTTTCGGAACCCAATGACCTTGACCTGAGATTTTAGTGGAGTCGGTGGATGCTTGAAATGTACCTATTCGTCTATCTCGACTTGGGCCTATCTTTACCCTTGCACAGAGAAGTGGCCTATTTGTTGGTCATGACTCTTTTGTCTGCGACACTGATTAAAACCATGTAAAGAATACTTAGACGAGTACGAGTGTCATAATACCTGTGGCTTTTCAGTCATGTTTGTAATGAATAAGCATTTGCCACTGTATCGCTCGAGCCCTCATTACATACACAGATTTTCTGCTCCGTAGGCGATGGGGCTAAGGCAGCCAGACGTAAGCCTCAAACGGGAAAGACCAAAGGGAGATGCATGGCTAGGCTCCATGCACGCATGGCAACGGAAACAGACCAGATGATAGAGCGTCGTCCGTAACAATTAATGGTCAGACTCTGTATGTATTTGTTTTCCTTGCATTAGTTTGCACGTCATAAGTGCCAGAAGGTCGCGTTGAACACTTATGACATGATCCAATGGCCGAATGTTGACCAACGTACTTTTGTCCACATATGTAATTGTCCTTCGGTAATCAACGCCGAATGATTTTTGTTTCTTTTTCCCTCGGCATGTTATATTTGGTAGTTCCAGACCTATATAGGCCGTTGCCCGAGCCTTGAAGATCATGCACACGAAACTTCTTAAGCTGCCATCTCCCCATTGGCTTCCTTAAATATTGATGTGAGGTGGCAGTATCTGAATTATCTATTCATTCCATTATCATTGTCGGTAGTCGGCAAAGAGTGAGCATAGGCAACTCGGGCTCGACACTGACTTCCTATAGTAGAGAGTATGACAAGTCCGGTCCGTGCTACCATTGCGATAGGTCAGTCCACGAAAGCTAATAAAGCCCAGCATCAGATGTTATCATATCACGATATGACTGCTCAGGCGAGCCACACGGTATGGACAAAACTCCCCAGTCTGAACTAGGATGGATCATCCGACTGATGTCACGTCATGGTAGGAAATGCAACGTGCATCATCCGCAGTCAACTTCCGTTATACGCACTTCGCGATGCTTTGCATTGACCACAATGGCGACCTTCGCATAGAAGCGTCACCGTCCATTGCAGGCTGCGAAAAGGCGATCTTCACGGACGACGTGCAGGATCGATTTCTGAAGTCAGTGACTACAGCATGGCAACCCAGCCTGCAGAGTCTCCATTCCAGTAAGTGACTCGGCGAATGTAAAACGGGCCAGTCAAGGATGGAGTAGTAACGAGGACGCGCTCCTGCCCGAATTAGACACCTTGAGTCACATGAACGGCGATGTCACGGGAAAACCAATGCTTCTGTCCAGTCCTTCACTTGGCCTACAGCACGCCTGGTATCAACCAAGCCTCCCCCGACAGGCCGGACTCATTCCATGTGAATGGCAATCATTGCAGAACAAGCGTCACAGACGTAGCTTGAGACACGAACTCTCGGGTATCGGGCTTGATTTAGATACTGCTTCACCCACGCCGTCGCTACGGCGCACAGCAATTCGGCTAGGGCAGACGGATCTTGTGCGACGATACTATGAGAAGGCATTTGAGGCATTTCAACAGCTGAACTGCAGGGTTATTGCCAAGGCATTTGTAAAACTTGTGGAACCGCGCAAGCAGGTCAATCATCCATACAATGGACGACGAGCTGCTGGAGGTTCATCACAGAAGATGGACTCCGAATTGACTAAGCCGAAATGGTGGCCTACTGGGGTGACACACAAAGAACCCGACCATCTTCAAAAGGCTGGTAAGATGGTCCTTGCTCTCTATCCGGTTGAATCATGAGATTTGAATACTCACTGGTCCCATCAATCTCACTAGAGAGAATCAGGCTGCTTGTCCATATCCTGTGCGAATTGAAGGAGAGTCGAGGAATCACTGCCGAGAAGCTCAAGGACGCTGGACAAGACGTGCGGCGTCAGATTCAGCCCGAGAGCCGTCTACAGGTTCTAGACGAGATCTACTACGTTCGCTATATGGAAGAATTATACATGGAGGGAAAGATTAGTATGCATCTGCTTCCATATTTTCGTGGACTATATAGCCACAGCCCAATACCAACTGACTAACCATCTTCTATAGGCGGGGACACAATGATCTACGTCTCGCATGTCCATCTCGATGAGGACTTCTTGTTCGCTGAAATACGGGAACAGACAACTAACAACTCTCGCGAACTGTCGCTTCCGATTATGAACAACAAACCAGATGCCCCCAAAGGGACGGAGGGAAGCAAGAGTCCAGGGGACCAGAGTGAAATACAGGCCGCCACGGACAAATCGCACACTGATATGCCTGTGTCCTCCGACGAACGGCGCCTGCCACCAATGGAGGTAAATCACCAAGCAAAACGCCCCGCCAATCAAGACTACTGTTATCCTCCTTCGCCCGTATCCAGCCCCTCCATCAGTCGGAAGAGCTCCTTGGAAAGTGGCCTATCTACATACTCAACAGACATGGCTGCACCGATGTTGTCAGGGAGTGAACCCAACGGAGCACCTTGTACCTCTAGGGATATCCATCCCGCCGAGGCTTCATGCATGCCTGACTACTTTGGTAGCCAGCAAATGGCCACTTCATCTGCTGAACAAAATCACCAGCCTGGATTTTGGAGCCTTCCACCCGCCCATACGGCACTGCCATTTAATGGATACTGATGTGGGATTATCGTCCAAATACGCACGGCGGGGACCCTTTTCGATGGACGTTTTGTATATACTGGATGATCTCAGACATGCTGAGATCTGGGTCTCTCGTCCATTTGCGCTTGCATTATCTCCCATTGTATCATTTTATCTTTTTGGTGGGTTTCATTTTTTCCGGGAAGTGACGGGGCCAAGATTACGCGGAGTTCAGCGGCACTATGGCTGGCGCAAGCGGCGGATCCATACTATTTGTGATATAGACAACTTGCTCCTGTATTATCTCATTTTCTTGGACTGGGTGCAGTTTAGCGAGGTAAGGTGGTCAACTGTTCACTGATAGTCAGTATTATCTGTTGCATATAGGAGAATCAAATCAACTTGAAAGGGGAAGCTATCGGAGGCCATTTGTTATCAAGTTTTGTTGGGATGCTGCAATTACTACTGAGCGGTTTAGCCTGCACTTAGTAAGGTAGGGCAGCGGCTGCCAAGTGCTTAAGGGGCCGCGAGGGTGATCTGCTACACCTGCACGGACGGATCCCAGTACTTTATATACAAAGTATGTATGACGCCAGACACGTCCCTGGTGGTTTGATCAAGAGCCGAGTCAGCATCACTATGTCCACAGCTGGATAAACACGGCATAATACATGGTAATGACTAGTAGCAAATGATGCGAGACATAACAGGGTGTGTCAGGTACCTTACTCCCTGCTTGATGCGTATTCCGAAAGGAGTAATAATTTCCAGGAGACTGGGGGCTCTCGAAAGGGCCCATGAGGTCTTCGCCACTACTGGTACTGCAGCGATAACAGAAGCACTTGGGTTAGATGCCGACAGGAACAAGTTCCCAACAATCATAGTTGCAGTAGAGCAATTAGATGTCCTAATGAAAGACATTGGTTTACTTGTACTTGAATGTCCAGCCGATCATAAATCGAGCACAGATGATTAATATGTGTGGAAAGGTTAGCAGATGCTAGGTACGGCTAACTAGTAGTCAGAGTAATAGTGAGAGTGTACTGTATATAGTAGAATGCGCAGAGAGTGAAATGCCCGAGACCCTTGAAGATGCCCCAGATAGCATGGCAACCGCCTGAGGCATGGAACCTAAGCCTCGCAACGGGACAAGTGAACCATGGGATCCAATGGGGGCAAATCATGTGGAGCGATTTACGGCATGCCATTGGTGGCAGCACTCCGCAAGTGGGTCAGGATACATGATCGCCGGTCTGGAACGGCAAAGTCGCGACAAGTCAGCGACAGCCAACCACAAGCTCCAACGCGTGCACACGGAGAACCTCAACCTTTCAACTTGCTCTCAACTACCTGCATCTCTTTCCTTCTGCTCCCCGGCTTCTAGGGTC